GCTGAAGCCAACTAGTGTCACAAAGTTACCCACCCTAACAGAGTTATAATAATATGATTAATTCAATTTGATTAAAATGAATGAAATGTATTAATCGATAAAAAAACAATTGATATATTTACAGTCAACACTGCTGCCAGCTTTCTAAATTTTAACGAAACATAGTTTGGGTCGATAAGAATATACTAAGAAAAAAGCACCAAGGAGCCATTCTTTAATTACGTAAGGGGGGAGGGGGACTTAAGAAAATCTATACATGCCCTTGTTTTGTGGGGAGGTGGGGGGGGGGGTTTAACCCATTTTAAAGTATTATCCTAATACGTTAGAAGTCATAACTTATTATTAAAAATGTTTCTATTTCAAATGCTGAATGATTTTCTTCATTCCATAATGTGCACTTCGATTTACATCTTATTTTACAAATTTTCATCTATTTTAAATGTCATAAATAATATTTTTTCTTCTTCACGAGTGTTAGCTTTTACTCCGAAATTTAGAGTAATTTAAAACTAGTCGATCATTATTTTAAGAGTTATTCGTTTTAAGATTGTTTAACTGATTTATGTTTGATCACTTTAAGATTCTTTAAAAACTTATTTTTAACTATAATAATAATACTCAAAAAACTAGATAGTTAAGTATAAGTATAACCTAAATTATTTGCTAAAACATAAAAATATTTGATTTACGTCAAACTGAGTTTTAGTGTAACTAATCCTTTTCTAACAACGTTTTATTATTCAGAAAAACGAAATTGAATCTTACGTAAGAAGAGGGAGTGGAGTTCGAGAAATCTTATGTATGTATGAAATCTTACATGGGGGTAGGGAGGGTCAAAAATCGTCAAAATCATCCTTAATAATAATAATCCGTATTAATGAATGGCCCCTAATATGCTTGTGCAACTGTTTGAAATAATGCAGATTTTTCAAGTTAGTAGAAGTTAGGCAAAATACTATCTAAGCGAACTAAATAATAAAACTAGACGGAAAAATAACGGCAAACCTAATACTTAACCGTCACTTGAAATTCCAAATAAAATTCGATGTTTCGACATTATGCGCATCACATCAATTATTTCATACGTAATAATTTGCTTGTTCGTATTGGCGCCGACTCAAAGTTACTCTGGTATTTCCATTTGCATAGAAGTTTTAACTAATAAGCTTATTATTTTTTACTTCTGTTTTTTACGTCAATTTAATTTCTCGTTAAAAATGTAATTAAACACCTTAATATTTTACAATTCCATTATGCAATAACAGTTACTTATATTTACTATATAAATTAAACATCGCAAAGTTTAGTATTGTAAGTATTACTTTTTTCTGTACCGTTCCTTACCCTTCCTGTTTGGTGTATTATTTTCGCACAATTTCGAGGCTCCTGTTTCTAAAGTGTGAAGTTAGGAAAAAACAACATTTAAACTAAATGTTAATTATTAAAAAGTGTATATTACCATATCAAGTTGTAAAAGATACATATATTGCAAGGAAATAACTTAATAACTGTGCATGTTAAATTACATGAATACTAAAGTTAAATTTATAATTTTATACTTATGTATTTAGTTTTAAATATATCTCTAAAACATACGCTATTAATTCTAGCGTATATTTCAGTAATAGGAAAGCTGGAAATAAGAATCAAACTTGTTTTACATCTAAGACTTTTATTCACTTAGTAGAAATACTAATTCAGGAAATATTAAATAAATTGTTGACATTCAATTAACTATGCACATCTAGATCAAACACGAAATATACAAAACTCTTAGAACACGAATGACCTATCATAATTTGCATACATAACATATTATTATACTATGGTGAATACGCAAAATTAAAAACGGTAAGATTGTCTAGTCTCAGACACGTAACTGACTATTATTATTTTATTATTATATATAACATGCAAATTCCACTGAAATTAAAAGAAAACGTCTTGAAATACGAACGATTTTACAGATTTGTTATGCTGACACGAGTATTTGCCGCTTTAATGTTATGGGGAAAAAGTTCAAATTCATATTGCTAAACTTATGATTTAGTTGTCCCACGGCAAAAAGAATACATCGCATAAACCAGTGAAACGTGGAAACGTGCGTGACGTATTAAAGCAATGGTGGTTTGTTTAGGGCGGCGAAATAATGGCCGCTCGCACTGATAGGTAAATGGACTACTTAACTCATGATTTTGTCAGCTCCGAATTACCAACTAAATTGCAACGAATCAGATTTAATATGTCTTTCTTGTATCTTAGTAATTTTGAAAAAATATTTACTAATACACTATCAATCAATACTATGATTAGCGTCAAAAAGAGCAAAGCATAAAATAAATTGATCATGGTTAAGGAAAGAAAATAAATTTCCTAACCAAAAAAGATATATAAATATAGCTTGTGTCGTGTACCACGGATAAGCTATCATTCATATTGATGGATACAATATTATGTTATATTTCTAAGGGGTTGTTGTCCCAAACGTTATAAAGTCATTTATAATTTCTTTAAAAGTACTTGTAACACGTAGTACTAGACACGACCGTGACAGGAAGACAACAGATCTGTTTTTTAACCAATTTCATAATCGTTTAGATAGTTCAACCGAACATAGTTCAACCACATTGGTGATCAATGACATTATCATTATTGAGCTATTCGTATTAATGCAATTAATTAACTAGTTCTGAAGTCATTTTTTTTTCAATCATATATATAAGAGACACGATTTCCGAGACGAGACGTTATAAAAGAATAGTATGAGTATAGAGTAGTATGATTACTTTCAAAGGATTTTTGTAGACACTCATAGAATACATTTAAATATACTGCAACTCTTGAAATAATACAATAAAATTTATTAATGAACGTCTTAAATAAAAAATATCCTGAATAACCAGTGTGTTTGGAGTTTGTTGAATATAAACCAAATACGCAATACTATTTTTTTAATTACCTTTGCAAAATGGAATTACATAAACGATGTCATTCCATATTAAAAACTTCAAAAACGTTTTTGCAAACTCGCATCACGATGAATAGGGTATTTGACCAGTAAATTGCCTTGCATGGCTTTTTATGTATCCATCCATGTTTTTTCTTAAATTTCACAAGCGTTTTTTTCTTATTTTTAAAAAGAGAAATGTATTGTTACTAAAAAAATGATTGGAGATAGCGGCTAACTCAATAACATAGACGCGATACTTGTCATTTTATTTTTACTCAGCATATACAATAGATCTGCCCAAACCAAGGGCCCTTTAATTTATTTTGACATTTTCAATGACCCTAGATCGTATCTAGTTTGGACAGCAGTTATATTATACTTTCAAATATGTAACGCCATAGATAAGAAACAGCTAAGGGAAATTAACAATTCGATTTTCCGATGGTATTAGACTGTTGTTATAACAGTTTACGATTAAATGCTAATTAACGTCTCTTGTAGTTGTTCATAAATGTTTTTTCGGTGTTTAGAAAGATGTGTTAGTGAATTGTGGTACTACTACACACCATTTCTAAATAATTTTGTACCAGTAAGGGTACTTCGGCAAAACTAATGGAAGGTGGATTACAAATTATGATTTGACAATGTTTACGTGAGGTCGAAGTCAATATTTTAGCGTAACCCGCATTTTAGGGTTTTGGCCCCCCTTTTTTTACTTATTTTTAATTAAATCGACGAAACGAATTAAATCGCAAATTCATTTCACTGTTTAAAACTTGTCAAATACCTTATTGCATCATTTCACTGTGTAAAACTTGTCAAATACCCTATTGCAAAGTATTTACAAATATATGTAGATGTACTAAAAAGCTTTTGTCTAGACCGAAGGGACAAAAAGTTGTGTATGATTTAAGGTACAAAATAGAGTTATCTGTCTCTTGTGTCGTGGTAAGCTATCTCGGTCACAAACTTAAAAACGTACATACATTCAAAGCGATGAAACGTTGTTTCAACAAGATATCCAAGGCAAAGTTATTGTTGATATCGTTAATCCGTTTAAATTTTTAACCAGATAAATCTATACTAATATTATAAAGCTGAAGAGTTTGTTTGTTTGTTTGTTTGAACGCGCTAATCTCAGGAACTACTGGTCCGATTTGAAAAATTCTTTCAGTGTTAGATAGCCCATTTATCGAGGAAGGCTATAGGCTATATATCATCACGCTAAGAGCAATAGGAGCGGAGCACCAATGAAGAATGTTTCAAAAACGGAGAAAATTTATTACTATTGAGAGACGCAGACGAAGTTGCGCGGGTCAGCTAGTGCTTTATACGCAAACGGCAAGGCAAATAGACTATTAAATATAAAGATGTCTATTGCTGTTTAGGATCTGCTCTCCTAATATTTATTGGTACAGTTGATACAATTTTCTGCTATTCTAATACTGCACTTGTCACAGTCTTACTCTAACATATTTAGACCTACACAATAGGTGTACCTATTATCCAGTACAGCGGATGAAGATTAGATCGAATTATATTACTAACATTTAATTTCTACCAGCCCAACTTAAGCCATGTACACGAGTTAAAGGTTGTGTAAAGTTAAAAAATGATTAATTAGTAAAACCAACTTGTAGGTTTTAATAAAAAATACCTAACCAAAGGGCATTTATTAAGTGTATTAACAATTTAAGTTCACAGAACGATAAGTTGTATTACTACCACTTTTTTGTTGATTATAACTATAAAGAGCTATATTTATGTTACTTGATACAATTATTGCTAAGGCGAAATGCCAGACGCCCTTGGTTAAAACAGATTAAGGGTATACGATTAAGTGAATCTGAAATGTTCTTTTGTAAAATATTCTATTTTTGGAAAACCAATCGAAGGCATACTTTTCAGAGCTAATTTAAACTAAGTAATTTAATTCCTGATAAATCGGATTACCCTTATTTGTACATAACCAACGACTAATTTTAGAAATTAAAATTTCTCCACAGTATTAGGAGCGTAAAAAGTACACACTCGCTCTATGAGAGCCGGTTTAGTATCGACGGCGTTTGTTAGGGAAATCATCCATTTGGCGCGGTCCGTCCCAACCGCGGTTCTGCGGCATGTTGTCATAACCTCCACGTGGCATGTCGTACTGGTCTCTGTAGCCTCCATCCTAAAGTAAGCAATCATAATACTTTCTAATAGAATGACACTCATTAAACCAAAAATGTGATTAATTGATAATCTTAGGTATTATTCTTACGTACTTAATGCGGGTACTGTAGGGCATTTAGCTCATGTGATGTATTTACATAATAAGTAGTATTTAAGGTTTAGGGTTGTCGATTATTTTATAGCCTTAATGAACGCTGGGGTGTAGGTTACGATATTTGAAGAATTACTTTTGTTGAACATATTCCTTTTATTCACTAGGGAGCAAATATTTTAGCAGTCAAGAACGGTATACTTTTATCATTAACATGATTGATAATAGGGTAGACGATGGTCAAGTCAAATCAGAATATTTTTATTAACAGCAAAACGAGCAGTTTGTGGTAGCACCTTCACTGATGTAATTTCTTTCAGTGTTGATTAAATTAACTAATATAAAATTAATAAAATCTTAATACCAAAATTTATGAAAATTTTCGTAGTATTTTCATAAATTTTGGTATTAAGATGTTACGTTACCTGATTTAGGAGAAATAAATGTAAATAAGTTTAAACATAGGCATCTACCCATACTTTAAATAGAGTCCTGTAGTAACCTTAAACTAGCTTCATAACTTTCTAATACATAGCCTATACTTATCGGTTTAAAGTTTACACAAGCACTACAAAAAATTATTGGCAGAACCACTCGAATAATACCTAAATGACATGTAATACATGTGTATGTAGACTTATTTATGTAAAAAAATAACCCTATGATTTAAGATATGCACCACTTCTGCACCACTGCATAACCTAAAGATGGGGTCTGGAAGAAAATGCTTAAGAAGTTAAGTCAGTTTTATACAATGTATTTCCCGGGAAGAAATAAATAAATGACCTATAAGTATTAAACATTTATGTATGTAAAGTGCAATATTGTTTTATTTTTGTTCTATGGCGTGTCTTAATTTGAAATAATGTTGGTCAATACTTGACACTTACACCTATCCTATCTGGTCGTTTTCCAATTAATTCTGCAGCATATCGTAAGCATTTGTATTTTCAAGATTGTATCTCGAATTTAGCGGGCACTATTAACAGTATTATTCCAATAAATTTAAATTAATGTACTCTTACTTATATCGAGTGATTTCCATATAATTCTAGAACAACTTAGTAAGCTCCATTAAGTAGTGGTTATACGACGGACAACAGTAATGTCAGTGAGCTTTTTGAAAAATGAGGTAGTCTTTCATAGTTACGTCTATTGCAAATCAGCCCCTAAGCAGAAAGTTTCTGATAAAGAATTTTACAGCCGGATAAAGAATTTTAAATACTAAAGTAGGCATCGTCTTGCCATTTAAGTGCACATTCGATAAAAAAGAAAAGTTATGATCCTAAACATTTACGTGAAAGACTTGTGACTAACTTGCGTAAAATATTATATGATTTTTTTTTATTATTTTACATAAAAAAATGGATAGACGCGATTTGAATCATTTGTGTAAGTATTAAATGAAAATACAAATTTAAACGACTATTCAAAACCTGTACAGAGCTTTAAATTGAAAACAAAAAGTCATTAATTCTACGAAGTTAGTCCAACAAGTTTTTCCGTTTTTATTTAAAAACCTGCTATTCTCAATTCAGTAGTATAGTAAGTTTCGTATTCAAGTTTTTTTTTTGTAGTAGCTAATTTCATTTTTATTTGATTATTTTCCAAATGTGTGCAATATTTAGGCATACAAGGTAAACGTTTGGAAGTTGTTCCAAAAATGTTCGTAATTATTAGTTGTCTTTTGTTTTAGACTTATTTTATCAAACAAACAGGATAACTGCGTGTATTGTAAACAACACCACATGTACGAGTATAACGGGCTATAAAAGAATTCGTTATGTATTTTTGTATGATAATTTTGAAACTGATCGAGTTCATAGGGGATTCCCAAAAAACACAATAATAATATCTATTACACCAACAAAAAATCATAGAATATTTCAAAATAAATAATCTGCTATTTTCCAACTATTCATTTTTCAACGTATCTTTGTTACACTTCATCTGCTATCTTTAAAGCAACTTTCTGATTTTTAAAATAATTGATTTCGATAAATGCATAAGTTTTGTTTCAACTTCATTACAGTGGTGTCGTTAAAAATTATAATTGGAAACGACACTCCAGTGATGTGGTTCAGTGGTGTCGTTGAGAATACGCGGATAACAGGAAATGAACCCGAGACTTCATCAAAATAAAAATGTAATTTAAATTTCATATTAAAGTAAGCTAGGGTTTATATTCCTAATATATATATATATTTGTATATACTTAGTATATATATGTAGTAAGAAATATTTCTACTTCAAACTCACTAAGCGAGGAGCGACCCTAATACCATCAAATCACGTTTGAAATTTTTTTTTATGTGGCCTCTGTATTTGTAGCTTCGCGTATTACTACTAGAGAACAAGATGCATCTTACAAGTATGGTGAACCAAGTAGCAAGAGCCTTGGATGTGGAAAGGACTAAACCTCTTCAATTACTTGAAAAACATATGGTACTTCTTTAACTGAAAATATTCAGCTATCGGTCCTAGCAGTGAAATATCAAAAAAGCACTGGTAACTGATGTGGATATTTTTGAAGCGAGAAGCGTAGTAAGAAGAGTATTCCCGATATTTTCTCCACTATGATTTTGCGAAACTACTTATGTATTCTCTCTCTCTCTAACCTAACCTAACTCTGTGCGATTCTCGCTGAAACTTCGATTCTTTACGAAGGACATAGGCGGGTGGAGCAGAGGGCAAAACCTAGTGGTAAATAAGATCAACATTTCTAAGAAACTTTTTAACTCCAAACCTCGAACGTCACCCAAGTGACACTATACTATAACGAAAATTGGTATGAGACTAGTTAAACTCAGAATTAACATTAACCAACCAGTTGTGTAGCACTTAACTTTAATTTCATTAATTTGTTTTTGTTACCTGACTTAGAAATGTATAACACCTAATAACACGTCCCCGTATGTTTACTAATACAAACACTTAACAACGAATGCTCGCTACCAGAAAAACTTTACAACGAATGCACGCTACCAGAAAAACTTATCAACGAATACACGCGCTACCATGAAAAACTTACATCGTTGGCAGCGTGCATTCGTGCGTGTTTCTTATTAGTAAAGTTACGGGGACGTGGTATTCGGTATTACACTTTTCTGAATCAGGCAACACACTTGTATTCGACAGTGTTGTAACTTACATTCTGTTGTTAAAATTTAGTTAGAATAATAATGTAGTTCAACGACGAATGATACTGTTGATTGTAAATGAGGGTAGGAAACCGTGCAGTAAAAGAAGTTAAACCAGTATTTTTTTCTTTAAAGGACAAATTCTCTTTTTTATGTAGTTGTATGTATCGACTAGAATTTGTTTGTCAGCTCTCATGTGTACAATATCTATTTTAAATGAAAAATAATAAACAACCCTGAAGCGTCATCCAAACATTAAATTAATAATTATTTATCGTATGTGAGATATCCTTAAAGAATACTAAAATAGGTGTATCCTATAAAGCAGTTAATTTTTGCAACAACTGCTGCTTTAAGTATAGAAGGTAAAAAAAAGATTTAATTTGGTGTAGTGTAAGAACGAAATAAAAGACTAATTTACAATAGTTTGTAACTTTGAAAGCACCACCTTCTCCAAAATATTTGTTCCTTAGTAAATATATTTTAGCTTAGAATATGTTTGTATTTTCATAATTTCGCTTATTATTATAATTGTTTAAGGCGACTTTACGAATTCACACCAATATGAAAGTAGAATCATGTTAAATATTCGTAGTAAATTCAAATTTTATATGTCATTTTAGTAACTCCATAAAACAACACAAAATTACATGTTTCAAATAGGTTTGCATATGAGAGTATGCTGAATGCATTATAAACAATGCAACAGCAGTATTATATCAATAAATTACGATTCCTTGGTTATAAAAATGCATATCAATAATGATAAAGCAGAATATTTTAAGTAATTCACTGTTCCCATAGTAAAATGTACTATAAACGGCTGTGAAAATTATAAGAATACAGAAGCATATTTGATAGTATTGAAGAAAAGAATGATTGATCATTATAATTATATGGCAATATTCATCGCCTCCACATTCAATGACACAATAGTAGATAAAAGATTTCACTTACCATAGGCTGCTGCTGGTCAAACATGCCCTGTTCTTGACGGTCCAGCATTGAACTCAAGTGTTGTGCCTGAGAAAAAGAATTATTTTATTTAGCTGGACAATGAGGCCCTGTGGTAGGGGGGAGAGGGTCTCCAACTGTCGACGCAAGTCCCTTCCGGGCACGGCTATCGGGTGGTACCTGCACTCGGTCGCTAGGAAGGAACTGACTCCCGGCCGTCACCACTGAGATTACAGTGCGGGGATCTCTCGCTACCGGCTGTCAAACGCTCAATGGCCGGTAGCGATATAGATGATTTGCCGTGGTTGCATTGGTGGATTTGATAGGACCCACTTAGCCGACCTGAAAACGGGCGGGCGGGGCAACGACGTCCGCGTCTACCGGACGCCGATTTACTCGAAGGTAGTGCTCGCGCCATTGCGATGAGGATTTGAAATTGAAAAGCAGACCGTTGACCGATGTCTTAATACAGCTGTTCCCGGATCGAGTGTAAAATAAAAAGAGATTACAAGAGGGTTGGAACTGACCTGCACGAAAAGCGTATTTTCCTGTTGACGGCGCCTTAGTTCATCATCCTGGTGGCGCATACGCTGCGACAATTCCTCCTCTTGGCGTAACAGCTGTTGGCGCTCAGTTTCTCGTCGCTCGTCAGCAGCGCGCTCGGCCATCTCCCAGCTACGCTTCTGACGTTCACGGTCTTGCTCACGCTGGCGCAACTGCTCACGAAGTAACTCTGTTTCATGCTCATACCTAAAGACACACATAATCTCTTGCAACATTACTCAACGTGATATACATCTATAACTAGTATTGATATATTACAATCTAATAGGTATTTACAATTTTCATATAAAAGATTTCAATTATATCTTACTTAGCATATTCCATTTGTGCTTCCAATTTTTCTTCCTCTGCTGAGAGCTCCTTCTTGAGAGCCTCCTCCTTTTGCCTGTGAAGTTCATGTAGCTGTTTCCACCTGGTGCCATACTCATGTTCAAAACTGCTCAATTCTGAAAATCGTGGGCCAAGTTCCCTTGCACGAAGAAACTCAGGGTGCTTTTTAGGCAAATTCTTCTCAGGATAGCCATCGAACTCATCTGGTTCTTCAAAACTCTCTACAATAACTGGTCGAAGTGACCTGAAACACATTTAAATGTTTATTTAATGTCCCAAATATTTTTTAACTCTTTAAAGTAAAGCATTATCTTAATGTTTATGACTGAATAGATGGCGTAATGGTTTTCACAAATTGTTGTTCTGAATCTGGTTGTTTTTTGTGTCCGTTTTATGTACGTTTGTAAAGTCCCCGCAACACAGGAACATTGCTAATGCGGGAGTTCTTTAAAAAAAATTAGAAACTGTACTTACGATGTCAGGAAGAAACATTTCTCAGTACAGTTACGGATTGCAGCCAATGCACTAGGTTTGCGTGCAAATTCTACAACCCCTTCTCCTAGAGTTTTTCCCCTGTCATCGACCTTCACATAAGCTCTCTCAATTTTGCCGAAAATCTCAAAAGCACGGTACAAGAGCTCATTTGAAACAAATGGTGGCAAATTCTTCACACGAACAGCACTATTGTGTGGTGCAAATCTTACTCTCAATGTTCTTCCATTTCTCATTTTTCCATCTAAATCTCTCTTTGCCCTTTCTGCATTAACTCTATAGTCCTGAAATAAGTTTAACATTAATAACACATCACAGACTAAAATTGCGCATTTTTAAAATCATTAATAGAAAACTTTACCATCTTAATAAATCCGAAATTTTTCTCTTTGTTAACAAATAATTCTGCTGTTTCACCAAATGGAGCAAACAGGCTTAGGATCTCTTCCTCAGTTACATCACTTGTAAGATTACCAATGTATAAGCGGCTTCTTCCATTAAACTTTACTTCCGACTGATCAATTGGAGGCAAATCTATTAGAGGCCCCATCAAATCTTTCAGTTTATTTGCTAGCATCTGTTCCTAAAAAGCCATATAAATATCAGTAAAATGTTATAAAAACTTACAAATACACAGATTTAAAAAAGTACTACCTCTCTCTGGACAGGTTTTCCCCCATCTTGCTGCGGACCACGCATGTTAATAGAGCGCTGTTGGTTTCTTGCTGGACCCCCTGGCCCTCCAGATTTAGGTCCAAATGGCTTATTTCCTTGGTTAAAGTTGTTACCTGATTTGTTACCAGGGCCTCCTTGACTCCATGATCCACTCTGTTTGTTGCCTCCAAAGCTTCCATTTATATTCTGAGTAAAGATAAAATTATACAAATAAAAACATGCCATTTTCATTTACTTTAAGAGTTTACAAAAGCACATACCCTTTGCTGATTCTGATTAAATGGTTGATTTTGATTATATTGCTGGTTTTGGTTATATTGCTGATTTTGACTCTTATCCTCTACACTAACTGACTTATCAACTTGATCTTCAGTATTAGCTTGAACAGTAGCAGGTTTTGGTTGTTGCTGCTGCTGTGGCTTCTGCTGCTGCTGTAAAGGCTTCTGTTGTTGCTGTAAAGGCTTCTGTTGTTGCTGTAAAGGCTTCTGTTGTTGGGGTTGAGGTTTCTGAGGTTGCTGCTGTGGTTGTTGTTGCTGAGGTTGTGGCTTCGGTTGTTGCTGCTGTTGCTGCTGTGGCTGCTGTGGCTTTTGTTGCTGTTGTTGTGGAGTCTGCTGTTGTGCAGACTGCTGTTTTTGTTGCTGGCCCTGCTGGGGTCCACTCTGAACCTCAGGCTTCGGTTGTTGCTGGGGTTGTAGCAAAGGTTTAATGTTTTGTTGTTGATTTTGCTGCTGCTGAGGTTTATCCAGTGGCTGAACTGGTTTTGGCTATGGATGACAATAAAACACAGTATTTATTACTTACAAAATATAAATATTTGAAATCATATTTAACTATTCAAATTAATTCTTTATATTGAATGGAATAGATTGACAGATTAATTGATCTAGTTGTTAGTGACACTGAATGCTGCTGTGCCAAAGGTGGGTTAGATTCCATCCAAGACAAATCATTGAGTGTTGAACATGATCATTTGTTGTGTCTGGGTGTAACTTATTTATAATATATATGTATTTAGTAATATTTAAGTAGTATTAGCAGTCTGGTTACCATAGCACAGGCGTTGCCTAGTTTGGGATCAGACTGCCGTGTGTGAGATGTGTGAAGTTATTATTTTACCAATAGAAGGATCAACGCAACAAAAACGGATACTCAAAAAGTCAGTTCAACACGGTATACGAAGAACTTGCAGCAGCAGACCTGGACTTGAGAAAAGAGCACAGAACTCTGTAAGTACAACCCATGGTAGGAGACAGCAAAACATACTAAGGGAAATTTCAGGTCCTACGCCCCTCCTCCTGCTGTGGGGGAGCTTAAAGATTGAAAATGCACTTGTGACTACTGAGTTGCAAGTGTCCACGGGCCTCCGGGCCTCTGAAGTCACGTACCATCAGGTGACCAGTCTGCTTGTTTGCCCCTTGTGTCGTAAACATGTAAAATACCATCAATCCAATCAACATGTAAAATACCAGCAGTCTGGTTACCATAGTAGAGGCTCTGCCTAGTTTGGGATAAGACTACAGTTTGTGAGATGTGTGAAGTTATTGTGTTAGGGTTTGTATTTTATACAATTAATTTAACAAATATGCACACTGCATGCTCAACATAAAGCTATCAGCATTACCCATAAACATCCCTAGTTTTGCAACTTCTAGTGTTGTTTAAAATATACCATGACTGCCTCCTGTATAAGTGAAGATATCTTTCTAGAGTTTAGTTAGTACTGATGCAAGTAGAAATCTAAGTCCAACTCTTCAGCAATGAAAATAAAAAAGTGTCAAGTGTCTTTTTTAATTAATAAAAAAAATGAATATATTTTTAACGAAAAGTTAAAATATATTGTAACAGTTTTTACATTGAAAACAAAACCAAAAATGATTTTCTAGAACATGGAATTGGAACAATGGAATCCCGTGCATCCTGAATCCCGCTAAGTTGTAGTATCAAGTTAATATTGATCTAGGTTTAGTTCAGATAAACAGGGGTATATCCAGAACGAAAAGAAAAAACGAACTATTTTCATAATATAAGTTTTACAGGTTTTTTTTCACAAGTTGCTATTACCATTCTACCGAAACAATATTCATGACAATAAAATCTCTTAAATCAAATTAGTTTTTAATTTATTAATGTAGGTAAGCAATCTAGCTACATTCAAGGTAAAAATTTAAAGAGAGGTAACGGTAATACTCATATTTGGGCGTAGGCAGCATTAATATATTTATATTGTAGTAAGTACATAACCTAACGGTAAAATCGATAGTCTTACGACGACGCAGACACCCGAAGCCAATACAAGATGGCGGCGACATCTCAACTTTTACCCATAAATAGACGCTAAATCCTATGATTCAGTAATAATATACGTTTTATAAACTTCTATCGATAAGAGTAATAGGTTTAACTAAATATAATTATGGTAACCGAACATAATATATCTTGATAAAAGTAATTTGACTCACCTCATTGTTGGGACGTTGACCTCCTTGGCCATGATTGGGATTTCGCTGGTTTTGGTCAAATCTTGAATTACGGAATCCTCCTCTATTATTTCCACGCCGGCCCTGTCTCTGTGGCTGAGGTGGCCCACCATAACCTCTTTGGTTTCCAAAATGATGCATACCTTGCATTTGCATTCTAGAACAACAGTTTCCAAATTAACGTTGTATTGTATTCATAGTATTGCTAATCTCAATGCACGAAATTTTATAAACTTTACCTGAGTTGATGCAGATGTTAGGATAGTGGTTTTTCGTTTATTCTAAGTAAACTGCACTTCACAATATCACTACGAAACGACGCACCGCCGTGGCCGCAAAAATGCAATGAATGAAAATGTTGGCAAGCAAAATGGCGGCACTTCCGCAAGCCGCAAGTGTGAAAGTTCCTTCTATGGTTATGTAGTCTATGGACGGTCTCTAGGAGATAAATTAATAACTTAGATTTTACTGTGTCAGATTCACCTTGCCCCTAATAAAATTGACCTATGGCTTTATAGTGGACTCAGACAAAAAATTGATTCTGTGTTTGGAATAAATAAGTATTTTTATATTCATTTACAGTGCTTGCATAAACAACTACCATAAACAACTGCCATGGTATTTTGAGAGGAATCTGGAATAAACGGATAGAAAGGTGGGAAACAATCGTAATCTGGAGCATATCGAGGAGCCAGTTGGCTAAGGAAGACGTGTAGGAATGAATGAGGGTCATTGCTAGAGATGTTTGTGACATCAAGACTTTTTCGGAATGACTTGATTTTTTTTGAGACGAGTGAAAGACTAGAGCGAGGAGATAAGGACTCACAAAATGAACGCCATCCTAAAGATTTCTTAGCAGATAGAAGTCTAGTTGTGCAAGCAGCAATTTTTTTTTATTAAGGAAATCTGACATAGAAAGAGATGAAGCAAATTTGTTCTCAGCCTATTTGCGCTTCTTAACACTGGCAGTACATTCAGAATCCCACCAAGGGGGAGAAGCCATTGATATAATACTTACATAGATGAGTAATTACCGCCTAAAATCGTTGCTACTGCACATCTGTCCACAGGCATATGCGTAGCAAACGTCAATTCAGTGTTCAATGTGGCGTCAACCGAGTTGAACATAGCGACACATGACAGTAACAATCGCCAAAATGGGTAAATGCGTAGTGAAAGAATGCGATTCAAGGTCACAAAACCATAATAAATCATGCGGAATTACTTATCACGTGTAAGTTTATGGTTTTTGTATTGATAATATCGTAAATAAGGCTATAATTGAAATAAAACATTGATAATTGTAATTTAGAATCAGTGTTACCATTAAAAAATCATTTTTGTTTTCCCACATTAGTGGGAGAATTTATAATTTATGAAATAATATGCTTTATACTGTTTTTAAACATTTTGTCAATAATAATAAAATATAGGAAGAACGGTAGTTGTTAGGGCTGAATTGATCACTTTTTTTAGGGACCCGTTGAACGTTCACCTTCTGCCAAGCTCGCACTGCTGGAGACTTTTGTATAAAAGAATTAATTAATTCATTTTTCTTAATTATCAAATATAAATAACAATTGTACAAAAATATATATATATATATATATATATATAAAATAAAAAAGTAAATAAATATAAATGAAAAAATATAAAAAACAATATAAATATAATTTTTTTTTTTTTTTTTTAATTTGTATTTTAAAATATTAAAAGAATTTGCAATACACCCTGGGGATTATTTATTATCAGTACAAGTTGATCATTCACTTTTACTATTAAATGCCATTATTTATACATAGGTAAAAATAAGATTGTATCATGAAAGTAAAATATTCTCACAACTTATAAAAAAGAGTCTAAAAGACAATTGTATACAAAACTAATGCTTCATAGCGGAGTTTGATTTTACACTGAATATAAACCCTTTTAACCAAATATTTCTAGTTATTTTATTATTTATACCTATTCCATTCAATTCGAAATATATTATTTAAAATATTTAAATTAATTTATTTTATTACAAAATTGTTTTAAAAAAAAATTGTTTCTTGGTTGTTATGGGTATAATTTCATACGGTAGTCAAAACTGGCCCACCGTCGTAAAGTTATGTCTTTGTCTTTGTCTAATCCGAGCGATGGTATTGTTCTTGTCTCGCGTGTAAATGAGACATAAATATGTTTACTTGCAAATGTTTAGTGGTATCAAAGCTACGTCGTCAAAGTTCAAAAGTGGTTACACTTTTTTCGACGTGTGATAATGAGGTTTGCTTCTCTAGTGTTGTTTTAACTCAATGGGAGAAGCAGTCAATTTACTAGAAGGAAGTTTGAGGGGAATAGAGCAATCAGCAGCTGAGTTAATTGCAGAGATAAATTGGTCATAGAGGACAAGAGAATTAGAGGGATGAGGGAGAGAAAAAGCTCTGAGGACCAGAATATTGTCACCGATTTGTAAATACAAAGAAATTAGTTCGATATCTCTTAAGAACCGGATTTTGTAGTCATCGATTCTCCTATAGCGATGGCGATCGCTCCCAGTTCTTCAAGCTGTCAAAACTGTCAAACGGCATCTATAAAATTCTAACCCGTTAAATTGGAATAAACTTTGTGTTTGTGTTTTAATAATGTAATTTAATCCCACTCGAGACAATAATATCAGTTGCACTCTATCAATTCTATTAATCTCATAATATTGATAACTAAATGGCCAATAAAATGGAACCGGTAACAGAAGATCCTATTGCCAGTGATGCTGAAGAAGCTCAAATGTTTGCAGATATTAAGTACCCCTTGTTATCTTTTGAGAAGCAGATATTTATAGATGCTTTTGAAAAGGAAGCACTTGTCATAATGGCCAAGTACGTACGTCAAGGTTGGTTGTTTAGTTCATGGTTCCTCAAAACTAATTTTTTTTTTTTTTTTTCAGAGGAATTAATTACAATAACATAATATCTAATTTATTGTGGATATATAGAGACCCTGCCAACTTAGTCCTTGTTATTAATAGTAGTGATCATGAGGAAAAATATTTTACAGAAAGGTTCAATCTAACACCATTACCTACTTTAGGAGCAGATAGGTAAGTGAGGTACCTAGTAACATACTACAGCTACATAATGCTTTGTATCTACTAGCTTGATGTGGTACTAATCTAGCTATTTATTTATATGTATACCATAGCTTAGCATAACCATAGCTATCCATTGACATATATGACTCAATGAATCGAGTTTCATCCGCACCTGTCACTGCAAGACTATAAATCCAATTTTAAGTATAATACTGAAATATTTGAATTGAATAATTTTAAAATGTGCTAATATGGCTGTAAGTCAAAATTGTTACTAACATTTTGAGTCATAGTTACTCCAATAATTTAATTCTATTATTAAAATTATATAAAGTCCTTTTCATTTATTTTTTAATTTCAGGGAAAAGTCATATTTAGAGGGGGGTGTCCACTTTGTGTCTACTCGTATATTAGTTGTGGATCTTTTGAAGAACAGGGTACCTATATCACATATAACTGGCGTTATAGTTTTAAGAGCACACACTGTTTTAGAATCATGTCAAGAAGCATTTGCACTAAGATTGTACAGACAAAACAATAAGGTATTTTTAATTAAAATACATTTAATCACATCACACATCTTATCAACAGCCTTTAACTCCTGGGCCACCAATAAGCCTCTCCTTAGAAAGGAGAGTCTGGCGTACTATACTATGTGGCCAGTGGTGTATATTAGACAGGTTGGTATGGACTATAGGGTTTGTGTCAAGTTTTCCTTCTATTTGCAGTGCTGTTGTCCTACATAGTTTGCTCCCTTAGTCAGCTCTTACGACACCTACTGGATGAATGGGGGTAGTGACACTCTGTATTCTTAATCTGGCCCCATACAGAATGACAGAATGGAAAAAGTACACCACATTTAATACATTAACAGGATTTTATCATAGATGGATTTTCTTAAATAAATTGGGTAATTTAAATAATGTAATAAAATTGACATCAGAGGTTTATGGAATTAAATGTATTGTTGCGCCATAGGATTAAATGGTTTGATTGTTCCAGAATTGTATGGAATGTGGAGGACAGCACCATGTAGTATCGAGTAAAGTGCAACTATTGAGACTGTGAATAATAATTCTGATACTTTACTAGATGGTGCTGCAAGTTACGCCTAACCGATACTGGAATGCTCTTATTTGTCTGGAACGCACTATCGAATACTAGGGATCTTTTTAGTAAATTCGATAGCGCTTTAAAAACGCGCAGCATCGTTTTACGACACAGCAAATTAACATCGAAGTGAATTTATAGTGCGACTAACGAGTTATATAGTGATTTCTTGTGTGTAATAGTGAGTGTTCATAAATACATTGCACTTAAAGTAATTAACTGACAACTTTTATTTATTATATACCCCGCTCGTAACAGTATGCTATCTATATTAGATACTATTGGTTGGGCTCTTTTTCGCATTTAGATTTATTTTAGAAGCACAGAAACCTGGTAAGTTGACAGGCTGTATTGTGGGAGGCAGGATGTGGAGGAATGGGTGAACTTCTCAACACAGAATAACTTCTGTGCTGAGAAGTTCATGTTAAAAATTATATGAACGTTAGAAGATTAGCAATTTTTTTGTTACAGACTGGTTTTGTAAAGGCATTTTCCAATTCTCCTATATCTTTCACGTTTGGATTCTATCAAGTAGAAAAAGTTATGAGAGCTCTCTTTGTGACTGAACTTTTTTTATGGCCGAGGTAAGTTTTTACTTTTTTTAATAGTTTATCTTAGATTCCCGATAAAGAATAGAATGACTATTACAAAGTAAGGCCTTGAAAAACAGGATGTTAAACATATTCAGTTAACATACTATGACATCACGTTGCCACCAATAGGAGCCGATCATGAATGAAAAATGCGCGGGTCAGCTTGTAATTTATATAAATATAATTTTGTTATGATAATTAGTTTTCCAAATACCATTTATAAGTATATCTGTGCCTAATTATGGAAAAATTGTTATATAAAGTTGCAGTGTCACGGCAATGTTGCCCGACTTGATGAGAATACGCTTTTCTATATAGCTATATTGGTTGAAATTAATACTTACCTGTGTTCTAGGTTCCATGGTGCAGTTATTCAAAGTCTCAAAAGCCGACAAGCGCACGTTGAAGAACTCCATGTGCCTCTTACAACAAATATGAGCTATATTCAGACTTGCTTGCTAGATATCATCAATTACACTGTAAAACAACTTAAAAGTACTAATAGAACTTTAGATATGCAGGTGAGGGAATATTTTTTATCTTTCATTTTTAGGGTTCCGTAGCTCAAAAGGTAAAATAGGAACCCTTATAAGATCACTTTCTTGTCCGTCTGTCCGTGTGTCACCACCGATTTTCTCAGGAACGGGTAGACCTAGCAAGCTGAAATTTATACCAGATACTGAGGTCCATAGCCCATATTAGGTGTATAAAACTCAGGGTTCTGAGTCAACACGATAAAAAGATAAGGCAAATTTCGATTTTCGCAAAAATTTGTAAGTACCAAAATTTACCTTAATTTCCGACTTTTTTTTTCAGAATTTTCTCTTTCCTTGTGCTGTAAGACCTTTACTTTTAACCAAAATTGACAATTCTAGATCAACCCGAAATACCCTATAGGTTTTGGGTCAAAAACCTGTATGGTAGTTCCTGTCGACCTAGAATCACGAAATTTGGCAAAAAGAAACGTCGAAACGTTCTAATTGGCCTGTTTTCGAGTCTTCACTTGACGCGTGCTTGAAACATATCTGCCTCTTTTTATATATAAAATATCATTGTAAAGAAGTAATTCGAATTTTCGCGAAAATCTACGTAAGTTCTGGGTAGGTACGGAACTCCCGTCGCACGAGTTCGACTCGTTTTTTATTTATTCTGCAAAAGGTGAGTATGCAGGCTTGATATGCCTTTTTATTGTATATATTATGTAAAGATGTCCAAAATTGAATGGAAAGGATTATTTTTGATGATTACACGAAGTTTAAGCCAAAGATATTATTCTTTACATCTTTTCAATTTTTTTAATATATTTTGGTTATTGCAGGGTGTACGGTGCAACGCCCGTACAAGCTGCTGCGTCAGCAAATTCATATACAGCGCGGATTACACGCGTTATAATATTCAGTTCGCGATCTAGCCGAATCGGGTAAAGACACAGGCTCCACCAAACGTGCTCCGCGGTCATTGTGTCTCTCTATTATAATTTTTATTCTATATTACTATCTTTTATTTGTTGACCTCATTGCAAGGCTAACACAGGGTTTTAGATTAATAATATGTTAAATGAAAGAAAATTGCTTAATGTAGTAATTTTATTTGAAATTGTTTTGAATTTCAGGAGATCACAACGGAAAATTGTATAACAAAGAAATTTCATAAAATACTTCAATCACAACTGGATAGTGTTTGGCACCAGTTGAGTACCAGAACCAAAGAGTACATACAAGACCTTAAAGTGCTTAGAAGCATGACTGTGTGAGTGTTTACAATAAAATTGCCTATACACGGTGATTTTATAGGCGTTTTGGAAACGAAATATTTAAATTTGGAATCATCTATAGTACCCATAAAAATGATTAAATCAATTGTAATGTTGTCTAAAAAAAAGTTTCAGTTTTAATATTTATTTTTACTCGATCGACTCGGAAAGTAGTAATGGACTGATCATTCATTCAATATCTTATATGAATGAAACACGTCCGTGGGCGTTTCGGCGGCCGCTGCGCACCGCTAACGCTAACAGCAGCTGATAAAAGTATACCTATAGGCGCGAGCTAGCGAGTACTTACGTAGATAGACTCCAATTTGTCCTTCATACTTTACACGGGTTTAGGACCGTCGGAAATACCTATTTTATTTAAACTTCTTTTCGATTATTAACCACGATTGTTCTTTTCACAACAAATCAATTTATCAACGGACTGTAGGTATAAATATTTCAGGCGTATTTAAAAAATCGGAGCTATCTACAGAATAATTATTTACATACCTATTTACATACCTATTTACACTATTTACACTTCTCTGTATCGAAGGAACTGCTCAAAATGGAGTCCGCTGCATTCAATACACAAACGTCCACGTTTAATGCAATTGTTTTTTAATTTTCTTATTGTGTCTCTATCACTTTTCACTTTATCAAAAGCGTCCACTATCGCAATGCATAAATTATCACGGCTTTCATATTCCCGTGTATCAACAAGTCTTTTTATTTCCGACCATAAGAAAAAATCCAGGGGCGTTAAGTCCGGGCTTCTAGGTGGCCAAGGCACTGGCCCTCCTCGACCTATCCACCGATCACTAAACTCATTGTCCAGGTATGCCCGCACTACACTCCGGCGAATAATAATTTAAACGTCCTTGACCTTGCGCGTGAGTAGGCGCGAAATTGTCCGTGGTCGAGAAGACGTTGGATTGCAGCCAAGATGGTAGGTGTGGAGGGAATTTGAGGGCTTTCAATTCCACGTAGCCGTAGTGCATTTAAATGCTCCGGCTGGGAATATAAACGCCGAGCCTCTTCCAAGTTGTAGTTGGCAGTAGCGTACAGCTGTACCATTGCCAAGAAGTATTCCACGTTTGAAAATTCGTACTGTCGACTCATTTTAGCGCTAATCAATGCATTGTGCCGTCACGATGTTATGGTATTACTGACCGACTGAAAGCGACGCCTCACGATGACAGGTGAGTCCCGCGCATGCGCCTACGGGGCAGACGTCATTGGTTGAACGACTCCGGCGCAACTCGGTAGCTTTGTTTTTATTGGCGAATACGATTTAATGTGACTCGATATTAAAACGCATAGTATTTTTATTCGTAGTATTTACCTACGTGTGATTGAATAGCCTACTACTACTGTTTCTCACTTTTTCTCTGTAAACGATATAAATATCGACTTTGATGATAAAAAAAATATATATTTTATTAAATTAACGTTATATATAGCTTCTGTTACTGATAAATAATTCAAAATTTTCTTTTCCAAAACGCTTTCAAAATCACCGTGTATATTGACGTGATTTCATATGATTTAAACTTTTTGTTCATCGTTACCATATTTTTAATCGACTTGGAAAAATATTGGTCCTCAATTCGCTTGTATTTGTTTACCTCAAAACTCTGTCATTTATGAATAGATGCGGAAAAATCTTTTTTTTATTTGAAATGGTACTTCCCGTTTGGTTTTATTTAACTTTGAAGAAAAAAACACTAACCCTTAAAGGTTGAAAAATCAAGAAATGAAGAATACAGTTAATTTTAATAAGGTACATTAAAGTAGGTGGTGTGAAGTTAATTATTCAGAAATGATTATAACATATTTATTATCGTTTATAACTATTATTGCATAATGGGATTCTTATAATTAAAAACTGTTCACCTCACACTTTAAAAACTTTTTTGTGACCCAAAAGTAACACACAAACAAGAACAAAAGTATATGTATTAAAATATTAATTGATTTAATATTTTCAGCAATTTAATCCACAGTGATTCAGTGTCATTTTATTCTTTAGTTAGTAAATACAGGACGCCAGAATATGCCAAAATTAATTCAGGATGGATCCTATTAGACTCCGCTGAGCAATTGTTCCGATTATCACGTGGGCGCGTATTTAATCATAAACAAGGTACATAAATTACATAATTTATTTTTTAAAGATTCAATTAAAATAAATAATTAAAACAAAACAATGACGTACAAAAAATTACAAGTCAGTAAGGTACTTTTGTCAGTACATACGAGGGTGCGTTTTTAAGTTCGCGGAATGAGAGGGTTGGAGGGGGGTGATTAGGCTCATTAGAATCGTCACGTGTTCAGTGACGATTCAAGTTCATAATTAGTATAAGTACCAGGTTTCATTGTTATTAGACAATTAGTCTTTGAGTTATCGTCAACCAAGCAACATAATCGGGAGTGAAAAGTGAAACATGGAAAAAATCGAATATCGTGCCGTTATAAAGTTCCTTACCAAGCAAGGAAAATCAGTTGCGACCATAATGAATGAGATGTCATTGGTTTACGGCGACTCTTGTCCAGGAAAAACCATGGTGTACAAATGGCACAGTTTATTTAAACAAGGAAGGGAATCCCTTGAAGACGACCCGAGGCCGGGCAGGAGCATCGAGGTGATCACGCCAGAACTTATCCAAAAAGTAGAAAAAATTGTACTCGACGATGCTCGACTAAAGAAGAAACAACTCGCAGAAATGGTTGGAGTATCTGATACAACCATTTTTAGAATTCTGCACGATCATTTTGGCATGACATAAGTCAGTGCAAGATGGGTGCCGAGAATGCTCACGCCGACGCAAAAACAACAGCGCGTAGAGTGTTCACGTGCATTTTTAGACCTTTGTAATGAAGACAAGGATCCTGTATTGAGTAGAATTGTTACTGGAGACGAAACTTGGGTTCATCATTATGAACCTGAGTCGAAACAAGAAGTGTGTGCAGTGGCATAAAAAGGGCACAGCACTCCCAAGAAGTTTAAGGTGTCACTGTCAGCTGGGAAACTCATGGCAACGGTCTTTTGGGACTCAGAAGGAATATTATTGATCGATTATAAAGATAAAGGTGTTTCTATAACCGGAGAATACTACGCTTCAATATTAGAGCGACCCAAAGAAGCCATTAAAGAGAAAAGACGGGGAAAATTGACAAAAGGTGTGTTGCTTTTGCACGACAACGCGCCCGTCCACAAGTGCCGCGTTGCGTTGGCTGCCCTGCATAAGGTGGGCTTCGATATTTTGAATCACCCACCCTACAGCACAGACCTGGCCCCCAGCGATTATTACCTGTTTCCAAAAATGAAAAAAAAGCTGCGGGGTAAAAAAATTTACCAACGATGATGAAGTCAAGGAGGCAGTTTCGGCGTATTTTGAAGATAAAGAGAAAACATTTTTTTATGAGGGCATAAACAAATTAATTCAAAGATCTAAAAAATGTATCCGTCTTGCAGGTGAATATATTGAAAAGCAAAAATAATTTGGTTTTTTTATTTCCACCCCTTATCCCCCATTCCGCGAACATAAAAACGCTACCTCGTATAAGACTGCACGCTATAAATATAATAGACTACTGCCGCATCCGTATATTATAAATACCGAATACCGAATTGATTTTTATAAGGATTTCACCAATATATAGAGCATTACTGGTTGTTAAATAGTCGAAAAAAACATTCCATGTAAATTTTAGAATCATCATCATCAACAGCCTTTAGTAGTCCACTGTTTGGACATAAGCCTCTCCTTAGGCAGGAGGTTTAGGCCATTAGAATAAATGATCTGAAAAAAGGAATACTTAGATCATATTTTTTGTATTTTACTTTGCTTGCTTAAAATACGCCTCAAACTATCATCCTGTACCCCTAGTAATATATTACGTGAGTCATCGTTTATAAAGTCTCATCCTAACTATTTTCATGTAATTATCGTATTTATAGAACTTTGCTAAAAGTACTTAAAATAAATTATTTTCAAATTATTTTTACAACTGCAATAACTAAACGTTCAAGTGTTGTTAACAAAACGCATTCCTACGTTTAGTAAACTGGCCATGCATAAAATATAAATGACATAAAAAGCTAAATGCATACATCGAGATCAATGTATAAGATCACTAGCGTATTGTCTATAGCAATAAAAAACAAACACTTCTTTATTAATAATGTTTACTGTACAGATAACAAGTAATAAAGGAATGATTATTTCAAATTAATTAATTTAAAGAAAGGTACTAATAAATTTGATTCGAAAAAATGCCGATTATGCTCTGCAAATCGTGCTAAGCCGTGACAATTGCTAGTACCTTTTTTTGACACGTTAGCTGCCTTGATTGAATGATTGTATTCATGTATCAATTTCAGAATTCGACCCTGAACCATGCCCTAAATGGAAATGCCTTAGCGATTTATTATTGAAAGACATACCAGATGAAATAAAAAAGAAAGATGGCAACATTTACAAGACCAAAATATTAATCCTTTGCCAAGATACTAGAACGTGTTCACAATTAAACCATTATCTTACAATGGGGTCGAATAAATATTTATTTTACACAGCATTTAAAAGGGATGTTACTGTAAATGCAGTGTCATCAAAATATTCTCAGTTAAAAAAAACAATGCCAACAGACAATATTAAAAAAGAAAAACCAGCAACAAACGAGAACAATGATGATGATAACAACGATGAGGAGGAATTAAATTTAGATGAAACTAAGTCCAATTATGTGTTGACTTTAACACAAGTTGCTTCACAAAGCTATGAAAAAGAGGATAATGACGATGAAAGCATGTTTGAGCCTATTTCACAAGTAAGATACATATAAAACTAGCTTCTGCACGGGTAAAAGTAATTTTTAATTTTTATGTTTTCTAAGGTACATCAGCGCATAAAATACTAACAACCTTTAGTACTATTTACGTTTTTTTTTAATCCTATTCGGCGTGAGGGGTCTATGGACCCCCGGTCGGAACGAAATTTCTTTCGCTTTTTGGTAGGCGTTTGTTATATATATGAAACACGGGCGTAGCCAGGTTTTAGTATCGGGGGAGGGGGCTTCAAGAAAATAAAACGACTAAAAGGGCATGAAATAACCGTAATATTGTTGCTGTCCCTTTCGCTCAGAAGACAACTGCTCGCTGATGGCCTACTTTACCTCCATCAAGCGTTTCATTACGAAGCAAATTTTACAGTATGCTCCACTTTTATATTAGATATACCAACCAGGGGAATCTTTTCATCCCTTTCATTTTAAAGCGCAAATATCGTTCTGTGGAAATGGAAAACTTTAAACTGGACTTACGTAAAAACCAACGTCAAATTTAGCTACAGAATAAAAAGATGATGTACCAGGTGAGCTGGTGCTACTGCTCGTCGGTTCCAGGCTAAATGTAGGCTCGGTAGTCGTAGACATGAATACTACAACTTAAGTCTAAGGCTCGCTTATCATTACAATCTTATTATCTAAAAAGAACACAGGGTATCTTAAAGTCCAAGTCTTTAGCTTTCAAATGATGTTGAGTTTGCTCAAATAACATTTTTTTCGCTGAAATATTAGTGAACAGGGTTTGCTTAGCTTAAAGGCTTGTTGTTCAGTTAAAGGTTAACTTAGCTGAACTCGGGATAGGCAGTATTTGATTGATTTTGAGGGAAAAAAAAAAGATATTTAAGCAAACTCAATGTCATTTGAAAGCTGAAGATTTAAACTTTCAGATACCCTGTGCACTTTTTAGGCATACTGAAATTTGAAGAGTTAGTAAAATTAATAATTTGTTATGCTGCTCGCCTCTCAATGTTTTAATATTATATCGTGTAATAATATTTATATAATATGTGTAATGTAATAGTGTTAATATCTAAAGATTTCGGGGAGGGGTTTGAACTGAAACTGAGGTGTCGAAAATAAAGTCTTGCTACACATTTTTCGGTCTCGCTCCCATCCGCTCAGAGCGTGTATCGCGCGATAAGGAACTTCGTTCTAATAAACCCAGATTAATATAAACAATGTTTTAGGAAATTTGCCTGAACCGTCCTATATTTCAATATCATCACATGAAAGCGGTGATATCGGCGACGAGAGAGGCAGTCATTGTCAACATTCCGTAGTCAATTTTTTTTTATTTAAGTAATACGTCTATGCTGGAAATCATTGGGAGAGGCCTATAGTAGTGAACTGTAAACGTCTGCTTTATTGTTAAAATTGTAGCTTCATTTTCAGATGGATAATTTGGATATCACTCAATTGGAAATGGAGAAACCTATTATTTGTATTCAAACTTTTAAAGAAAACGGCTGTAACTTTTCGCTAGAGAAAACATTGGAGGCGTTGCGTCCAGAATATATTATACTGTATCATTCAGACATAGCTGCAGTTAGGCAAATCGAACTGTATGAATGTAGGAAGAAACCTGAAGAATCAGAAACTAAAGTATATTTTTTGATATATGACAAAACTGTTGAAGAACAAGCCTACCTTACGACGTTGAAGAGAGAAAAACTAGCATTCGAATTATTGATTCAAACAAAAAGTGTACGTACCGTACTTGATATCTATTTTAGTATAAAGGCTTGAAAACGATACCAAGTCACATTAAAAGTATCTTTAATTAACGTCAAATAAGTAATTCTTACGTTAAGCATGATGTTAACATGTTTTACCTATATCGCTTATATTCTATGCATGTGTGTGAGTGTGTGTGTGTGTGTGTGTGTGTGTGTGTGTGTGCGTGTGCGTGCGTGAGTGAGTGCGTGCGTGCGTGCGTCCGTCCGTCCGTATTAAGTCCTGCCCAAGTATTTGTACCAATTCAATGACAATAATTACATGCAACTTTACAGGTAATGGTTGTGCCATCATATCAAGATGGAAAGTCGGAAGAGTATTTTAATTTAAATGTGGAACACGATGACAATTCTGTTGATACTCGAAAAGCAGGTAAGGCAAAAGCAGTAAGTGTTTTGAATCGTATAAATCTCTAAAACACAGTCTGACATGGGGAGGATAGAGTTTGACATTTGTCAAATTGATCAGAACACTTTTTGATATTTTAATATTAAAAAAAATATAAATATTTTAACTAATGCATGTCTATGTTGAATACAAATGAATGAACTAACTTGTCCGGCACCACAAATTCCACCAAAACCAATAATCTCGGGCGCCAGGTGCCGGCTTAAATGAACACAGGCAACTATAGTCCATCAACGTCGTGCGCGACTGTCCTGTGGGGTGACAGACGGTGGCGGGGACGAGGTACTCAAGATGTCAGCGGGTAGCGGGTGGTGTAGCTTGGAAGGGAAACGCTTCTCTTCGTGTATAGCCGTGTGCTAGAATGACGCGCTACATCGCCCCCGCCACTGTCTGTCACCCCGCGGGACGGTCGCGCACGAGATTGCCGGGTTATAATAACAAATACAATAATTACCTGGAGTAGCTCGGTCAGCGCTTAGACTTTTAATCTAGGGTGGGGGGCAGCTATTAAATAAAGAGATGTTATAAGATAGTTAGAGGCAGTTTATTTATCCCGTAGTGTCTGTAGAGTACATGGAATATTATAGGTCTAATTACAAATGTAATTCTTATTCTCAAATTAGTTCTGTCATTAATGCAATCCGTTTACCTTGATAATACAAATTAAAGGTAAAATATCTTTAAATGTCAAATAAAGACTGTTTAATACAAAAAGAAACTAAAGGTAGTTATCATATACAACAAAAGACATACCGATAACGCCGGCACAGTCCGTTTGGAACTATGGTAAAACTAATTCCTAAAACGCTCACTTCGTCTCTCCACGTGGTTGTCGTCGTGGCGGGGTAAGTAATCCAATCTTCCTGGTTCCTGTCCCAAGTGAATCCAAATAATGGGCTACAGTCAGAGGACTTTTCCCGACATTAGAGGTACTTAGGAAAGGAAATCCACTCTCCGAAGCAAAATAAATCCCTGGATCAGGCAGGTTGTGAAGTAAAAACTAGTTGTAACGTAAGGAATTTGGAATCTAATAAGAAGAAAAGCCAAAGCTAAAAAAAAAGAAAAAGAAACCCTGTTACGGCACTGTAACAAACGAAAATTATAGGTTATTTCCCTATCTCCAAATATGAAGTCTAGGCTTGGTAAGATACAATAATTTACTCACCAGGGTTCCAAAACGTCTCACAAATAAATCGGAGGCATTACTAATAATTCCTGTAACCAAAGAATCAAAGATTTAGAACACTAGTCTCCTTAAGCCAAGTACGAACGTGCTTGGCCAGTCGAATTAAAACTTACCAGAAAGGCAAAATAATATTTCCATTCAAAAAAACTTCTCTTCTTAACAAAACTAGCCAACAATAAAAGGTGATTAACCCTCTGATTATAACAAATGGAAACGGATTTCATTTCCATCTTTCAAAAATCACAAACATGTCTACCCTGTTCACTACGCCCAGGCAAAATGCAAAAGTGACTATCCAGCGTTGCCAGAACCAGAAGTAAAAAAAACTACATTAAAATGAATACTTCCGTACATTAAATAATTCCATGGACCGAATCAATACAATAGTCGATTAAAATAGACTAAAAAAATCTCGACTGTAACGCCATCTCTCTAAGCTTACTGAAACGTCAGAAAAATCCATCTGTCAAAGTAACAACACGTCGATAATTAAATAAACTTTTCTGTAATGGTGCAGAAATGCAACGTTACAATATGGAATGACTGATAACATGCCTAACTGTGCAGATATTCACGTTTGGTGGCGGTGACGTTTTTTCTCAAACTGCATTAAATATCAAAATAATTGCAAGTCCAACTGTAAATGTCAGCGACATAAATAACACTTTTGTATTTAATTAAAACAATAAAAATATTCATCTTACATTCATACTTTCAGTAAAATCAACATCTACCCGTAATAAAGAAATATCAAAACGAAATGTTTTTGTACCTACTATTGATTATCTTGTAATGTAACTTGTAGGAGGCCAAAATCAACAAAAAGAGAAGCCCGTCGTTATAGTTGACATGAGAGAGTTCCGATCAGACCTACCTGCACTGCTACATAAAAAAGGAATCAATATTGAACCTGTTACTATAGCTGTGAGTACTAGCACAACTCTTAAAGGTTATGGAGTGTAGAGGTAAGGAATATTTCTTGGATGAAAGGCAAACCTAAAGTGTTCAGCAAAAACCAGACAATAGTTCTAAAACCCACCAGAATGGCGCTCATGTAGCCAAAGGTAACATAAACATATCCGTTATAGATTAATTTTCCGAGTTGTAGGTACTTTTCGTGTCTACTAATAGTTATAGTAGTAATAACGCGCAGTGTAGTTCACAGTATCTAGTTATTTTTCAAGCGAATTAAAATATTAAATGATACTTTGCCTTCTTTCGATGTTTATTTCTCTATTTTATATTTTGTTTATCTATAATTTGCCACTGCCTTTAAAATTTTCTTAAATTATTTAAACGGGTTTGGACGGACACCTTACAGATGAAGATAATTCTCCTTAACTTACTCTCCATATTAGATATTAACACAAAATCAATATTATTTTATTTTTCTTTCGACGGCTTAATAAGTATCACTTCTAATATTATTGAACGTGTAGGTACAAACGCTTTTAGTGCTCAATTAACCTTACCTAACCTAAGTCGGATTTTCGAAAAGCCCATGATATACATCACTACTTCACCATATCCTTATATTCTTTTGCCAAGTATGAGCTCATATATTAAATATACATCTGCTCATATTTTCTAATATAATATAATGTTTGATATTATATTCAAACTTGGCTTGCTAACTATCGCAGTACATTTATAGACAAGTTTTTTTTTTCTTGTAACTACATCAATATATAATTCTTCTATTTTTGTTTTTCTCGTAATTTTGTTCTAAAACGCAAGGTCCTTAATGTATAAATACACCATACCTTCTTCTGTTTTGGCTAATAATAAAAAATAAACACTGTTTTTCTACTTAGTTAATTTCATATTTTTTTTAGATCGGTGACTACATTCTTACCTCTGAAATCTGTGTTGAAAGAAAATCAATATCAGATCTGATCGGATCACTTAATTCTGGCCGTCTGTATACGCAATGCACTCAGATGTGCAGAAATTATAGTCGACCTATACTTTTGATTGAATTTGATCAGAACAAGCCATTTAACTTACAGGTAAGCATCAAATTCAAAATAATTACCCGCGTAATTCTACGACCACTTCGGACCGGATTTTCACGAATTCGGATGTCGTGTCTTTTGCGTCCGTTTTAAGGATATATTCCTAGTGCAAGAGTAATAGATTTGCCATATTTGGCGCCCAGGTGTGCGGCACAGTTTCCATGATTTTACAAAACTTTATCATGAATCTTCAAACAAGTATACTCTAAATATACCCCGACTAGTAATTGACGATATTTTCGACCGTTGTACAGGTCTTCTTGAATAATACAATCCTTGATGGCGTCATTTTCCAAATGCTCATATATTATGAGTAAATTTTCAGAATTACTAAGCAGTTAAAAAAGTTCAGAAATAGAAGTAATTTCCTGAATTAAACATATTTAGTTGCTTTTAACTACTTTTCAGGGGCAGTTATTAGTACTGAAAAAAAAGGTCTATTTTCTCAGTTACTAGTAGTATCGAAGAGAATAAGATTTTTAATGTTGTTACTTACTTGCAGGGTCACTTCGTTAGTTCCACTGATACATCTGGCGCGGACGTACAACAGAAACTGCAACTACTCACGATTCATTTTCCTCGGTTAAAATTGGTTTGGTCGCCTAGCCCTTATGCTACTGCAGAACTGTTTTATGAACTCAAAGTTAGTATTCATTCAAGAAGTTGAGAAAATTCAGTTACGTTTTGATAAACTAACTTACACGTGAATTATGCCTTTCAAAATAATGCATACGCGCTTTATTAGATGACACTGGTAATATCTTTGTGTAGTGTATGTTGCTACAAAATATTCATTAGTGATTATTATATAACTTTGTTTCAAGTTAATAACTAATATTTAAATTACAGCAAGGTCGAAAAAATCCTAACGTTCAAGAGGCTCTGGCTTTGAGTGGCGACAGTACTGCAGATGATATGAATTATGAGCGCTATAATATATTGGTTCATGACTTCGTACAAAAACTACCTGGAGTCACCACTAAGAACCTTGCAAGAATCATGAATAGGGGCATTTCGTTAGATCATTTAATAACGCTACCACAGGTATGTTCTCTATTTCTAGGAGGGGTCCGGAGGTCCTAATAACAGCTGTATCCGGATCCTCTTTTGAGCGCTGAGTGGCACACCGAGTCGTTTTAGTCGGTTCGATTCCGACACACTGCCCATCTCAAACCCCGGTGAGGTGACGGTCCAGGGGGTTTCAGCACGTAAAAAAAGAAAAGAAAAAAGTATGTTGTCCAATTAAGTAACTTTGTCTCTTATTATATTTATACTAGGCTCTATTTTTGCAGGAAGAACTACAAACAATGATGGAAAACAAACATGAAGCTGATACTTTATTTTCCATACTACACACTAAACCCAAACCGATTGATAGCAATAAAGATGAAAAACATTTCGGCAAAAAGAGATTAACGGGAAAACTGTTTCGAAGTAAAAAATAACACTCGTTTAAAAGTTTTTATTTTTAATAATTTCATAGAACAATAAAAAAACTGCTTTTTTGTAAAAATTACTGTATTACTAGATTAGAAAATTGTCTTGATAAAATACTGTATTAAGACAGCTATCAGTAATATTGAAGCAAGTAGGAGAATACTTATGATCAGTTGTAATAAAACGGTCACATTGGTAATGTCAAATTTTAATGCCAAGAACCTAAAACAAAATCATAAATTGAAGTTTAAAAGTGAGCTGAAAAGTCAATCTACTTATTGGGAGTGAGTAATCTTAGCATATCTGCATCCACAATCGACATGTGTCTATTCATATCATGCGGCAGTTCCCTGCAAAGGACAGCTCATTTTCCTTTACCTAAACAATGATTTGGTAAACAGTCGTGTAACAAATTTTTAATTAAAATATAAATACGCGCATGAAGTTATTATTTTTGACATAGTATGAACAATTGCAGCTGACCTTGATAAGGTTAAAACTATAACTGAACAAATGTTGGCAATCTTATCTATTTTTGCTATAAACCGTACCCTTTAAAAAAATAGAAAAATCGATCATCATCTAGAAGTTTTTTGCAGTGGTGAAACGGTGGAGGTCACTCGAGGTTTATTTTTTTATAATGGTATTTTATATCATCCCAAAATTGGATGAATATTTATTTTGACCGTACTAATTAACGTGAGTTAAAAACCTTCCGACATTACTAGGGATTTCAGGAATTTAGCATGGTGGCTCCTTCTGACGTTGAATTATTAATTTTCAATAACAATATGACCTTCGGCAAGTCAGAGAAGACTAATTAGTTGCCTCTATTTCTACAAGGTTAGAGCAACAGGATTTATTACGTCCTAGTAAATTTTTAGAGATTTAAGATTAAAACAACATTATATTCTAAAATATTTACATATTTATTCTTATTGAACCTTTATTTTGCGAAGCTACGGGCAACACCACAATAGTAAGTAATTGATATAACAGTGATAATTTATGAATACAATACAATGGATAGAACTTGTTAATATTATTAACATAACAGTGAGATAACATTGCAGTCACTTACGGTATTGGTGTTCCTTGTCGGTAAGCGGTACATAGATTACACTCATTAACTTCTTAACAGTAGTAGTGCCATCTTCTGCCTTGTCGACCTATATTTAAACAATTAATTTTAATCACAACACTAGCAGAAATACAGAAACTTAATGATATGCTTCCTTGACGAGTTATTGATCTCGTTATAATAAAACCGGATTAGGCGATGCTTCAATTTTCACAGTACGTGATTTAAAACACATACTCTTCTTACGTCTTTTATCCCTTGCCTCTACATTCTGGACTTAAGTGTTGCATTTTGTTTTGAATACAAACCACAACATGTATATCTAATAATATAATATCTTGACTAAAATAAGTCAATTTTAAATTTTTGTGAGATTTACAGCAAAATATAGTTGCTCTGCCGCAGAGCCACCATAATAAATACTTATATCTTAAAATGATATACGTCAAACGTACTAATGCCCTTATTTCTGTACCTACAATAGCTAACAAAATAATTAATTTTCATAGAAAACGCCGTGTTATCAAAAGTTTTCTTTTTCACCATTGCTATTTTATTGTACTTAGTTCACAACTATATCGGAAAGTGAAAAGTATCAAAAACTCGTTTTAATAATGATCTTTTATAACACGTACGCAATAAACAGTATTCGTACATCAGTTTTCATTAAAAAAGTAGCTTTTATCTGTTCTGAGTACGTGTTATTTGTAGCTTTGCTAGGTAGAATGTTCCGCAGCAGAGCCACAATCGATGCTCATTATTTGTTACCTAATATACATTTGACGTACATCATTTTAAGATATAATTGATCGGTATTAATTATGGTGGCTCTGCGACAGAGCACGACACAAAATATACCTGGGTCAAATGTTGTTCTCCACCTTCAGGTCCCACAGGTACAATAAGTCTTCCTCCAGGCTTAAGTTGCTCCACTAACTATCGATAATAAAACTATAAATGATATCTGCATAAATAAAAAAGTGTTGGTTTGACAACTATTGGGCTGTTTTCGTTATCTTTTCTGTTTGAAATAATTAGAGTAATATATTTATTCACAAGAAAAGTTTACAAAAAATATTGTTGAAAAAACTATGGTTTTCTATTAGGAGAGATGTTTATTTTTAAATCGCATTGTTAACATTGAATAGATTTAATTTAAATTTGTTTCAGTAACCCTGTACCTAAGCCTTTGCAGATTTAAAGAAAATTATTAAGTATGTTGTGTTAATCAAAGTATAAAATTCATAAATAATGAATTAAAACACTACATTTTAAAATGCCTTCCTGGTGAGTGTCACTAAGATAACAACAAGGAATTTCTATCCTTGATGAGGGTACAATTTTATTTACAGGTAGAAAATAACTACTTACTGCTTGAGGCAAGGTAGGAGCAGCAGCTCCAACATGAATTGCATTAAATGGAGCTTCAGATGGGTATCCCAGACGACCATCACCAACTAAAATTTATAAAAAGAGAATTCTTATGTGTCAATCGATCATCATCCTATCGCCGTCTACTGCTGATCTAAGGCCTCCCTCAAGAAGCGCCAACGGTCGCGATTTTTTGATTGCAGAGTGTAATGAGTTAATGACGAATTAATCTTCAAAACTCATGAACCGCTAAACTGACTGTAATGAGATACTTTGATAATGAAGGATGAACATAGGCTATTTTTCACCATCCGACATACACGAGGGCAGAACCACGGCACGGGCAAAGCTATTAGTCAATAAGTTTTATTTGTATTATATTTTTTTTAAACTACTTTCATATGTCATTATTTTTGGAGAATAAGGGTCTGTAGGGTTGAAACACAACGTTGAGCAACAAAACGTCTTAAAAGTGGTTTTCTGTGAGACAGAGGTATCACTGTCAAGCTGGTCAAAAATAACAAAAAATATTTAAATAATCATTTCGCCTTACCAGTTAATTCTTCGACACACCTAGAAATCAAGGTTAACATTAATTTCACTTTATTTTCTTTTCCTATTTTAGAAGATAAATTAAATACTTTTATTTCTTGAAATCTGAGCGGTTCTTGCACCATTATTATTAAAATATATTTTTTATAAGTAGAAATCACTAAACCCCTAAACCAATTGACAGTGATAGTTAATTACCAAATACAAATAAGATTTTTATTTTCTTTTTCTTAATCATAATTTTGGCGAACCTGTAATACGAGGGGTGATCAATAAGTAATGATAATCGAGTATTTCTAGAACGCACAAAAACCCAAATTATTTTTTTTCTGCTTGCTTATATATCCACTACTTCAGCTTCAAAAAAATGTATAAATAGGATACCATTACCGGGAGACACATTCGGCGGATTCGCTCGGACGTCGACGAAGCAACACCTCTCCGCAGCTCCCGAAGCCTGACGAAGTTGCCCGAAGCTGTTGCTGCCTGTACGGAACCGTTTTTCTTTGCCTCCCGGCCTTGGCCGAGTGTTCGCAGGAGACGTCCGCCCACCGATGCAGTGGCAAACAAGCACAACAGTGCTGATATAATTGTGGGTCGACCACAGCCCAATTTGGTTTTCAGCAGTGAATCTGTTGTGTTTGTTTGCAACCCCGTCTGACCCCTGCGCCGCCCGGCTCCGGCCGAGCGACAACCACCAACCTCCTAGGGCAGGCCGCGCGCTTTCTAGCGCCAGCTATGCCCAGGAGACGTGCCAATAACCCCAAGGAGGGTGACGCGGGCTCCTCTCGCGCTCCGCAGGCTCGAGCTGCACCTGCGCTCGCCAGCGTTGAGCATGAGGGTGAGCACCGCGCACCCATGCCCCAACCGGAAGCGCTCGCGCGTCGCCCCCGACAAAGGGCCACTGCGCAACCGCGCGCCGCGAGTCGCGCTACTAGGTCGCCGGCACCGGCGACCTCGAGCGAGGACTCGACGCCGCGCACCCCAACCGACCGCCGCGGAGCCTCCCCGCGTCACCAAATGAAGGCCGAAACGAGACGTGAGATTCAGGAGTGGCTAGCCCGCCAACGACTGCCAACACGAACGCCTCCGCTGTCCGCCTCCTCGCAGGCAATGGACACGGACGCCCCACCGCCACCTACCCCCACTCGTCGTCAGCACAGCCCCGAAGAGGCGGAGCAGTGCGACGATAGGAAGCGCCCCTGCCTCACCACCCGCGAGAGGTCCCCGCTGTACTTACAGCGCGACCCGCGGGTGGTAAGAAGGCAGCAACAGCAGGACGAAAGCCGGCGGGTCGACACCTACGCACAGATCGCGAGGTCCCCGCCCCCCCCAGCCGCCTCCACTGCCGGTACCGCAGAAACTGCGACTACCGCGCCGCCCCAGGCGCCTAAGCGTCGCTATCCGCCGCTAGTAGTAGAGTACCTACCCAATTGGGCCACTCACATGAGAGAGCTCAAGCGTATCTTAGGCAGGGCCGCAAACGCCCGCCCCTTCGGCAAGGGGATACGCTTCTCGCCAAAAGACGACCAGGAGTACCGGCTCGTCCAGCGCTACCTCACGGCGCTGGAGAAGAACGAGGGTATCTCCTGGTTCTCCTACTCCCTCCCGGAGGAGCGCAGCTTGAAGGTGGCCATCCGTGGCCTGCCAAGCAACGCGAGGCCGGAAGAGGTGGAGCAGGAGCTCCGAGACCTGGGCTTCGACCCCGAGTATGTGCGTAACATACGGGGTCGCGGCGACCGTCCCGGGTGCATTCTCCTCGCCATCCTAAAGAGGACACCAAACCTGACACCGGGGATATACGACATCGAGGAGATGTTAGGAATCCCCGGTGTGAAAATAGAAGCCTGGCGCGGGAAAAAGAGGCCCGCGCAATGCCACCGCTGCCAGCAGTTCAGGCACTCCAGCCACCACTGCCACCGCAGACAGGCGTGTGTGCGGTGCGGCGGTGAGCACCCCGCTGTGAACTGCCCCAGGCCTCTGCAGGAGCCCGCTACGTGCGCCAACTGCGGAGGAGAGCACCCGGCCAACAACACCCACTGCCCCGTCTTCCAACGCGAACAGCGTAACAGGAAGGCGGGAACGGTCGCCGTCACCGGGGAGTCGCGCCAAAGGCCGACACCGGTGAACCCACAGCCCATCGGGGAGAATGCGCAAGGGGCGTCGCTTATGGCGGCAGCGAACCCCGCACCTCCCCGAGCATCCACCTCTTCCAAGAGAAGGCGTAAGAAGAGGAGCGGCAAGAGGAGGACCGCAAACCCCGCTGCAGACACCCTGGTTGACAGCGTCGCGGAGAGACCGTCCGCCGGTCAGCCCGCCACCAACCCAGCTACTACCGAAGCCATCGTCCCCCGAAAAAGGGAGACAGAGAGGACCAAGCCGACCGCCCGCGCAAGCACCTACGGACCAGCAAACGCCCAAAGGGCAGAAGAGGATAGCAGCACAAAAGCTGTTATCCTTTTCACAGTGGAGCTGCTCCAAGAGTTGTTGGCCGCCATGAGCCAGGAGCAGAGCAGAGACGCTGTCGCTCGCATCGCCACCAAGGGCGTAGCTGCCCTGATGGCCTGGGGGGCGTAGGCGCCCTGCTCCGCCAACACTTCGACATTCATGTTGCTGCGGCCACCCCGCGGCTCGCGAGCACCTGTGCCTACTTGGCCCAAGTAGGCGCACCGTGTGTGGGCGCCGGTGGCCGCCGCAACAAATAACGAACAGCGCACTCCGCAGACCGCATAGCGGTGCGGACTGCCCCACATACCCCGGACGAGACACCAGAGGGTTGCAAGTAAGTGGCCGCCTCCGTCGCTAGTCGCTCGGAGCTGGGCCTCCCCAGGTACCGCCTGGGGTCTCACCTGGCTCGGGCTTGACCGCCGAGGCGGCGTGAAGACCGAAGCAACCCCGCCTTACCTGAACAAGACACCACACTGCCAAAGCACCCCACGACCTACTCCTATTTAGGAGTAGCGGTAGACACCGCTGGCAGGGGGCTACAGCCCCGATCCAGCCACCACGCGTCCCCTGGACGGTGTGAAGACTCGAGAGAGACACATTCATTTGAATACGAACTGTCGAAGAGAAAACATCAAAATGGAGAAAAATGAAATAAGAGCTGTCATCAAGTACCTCTGCCTGAAAAAAATGTCTACCAAAGACATACACAGCGACTTAGAGGAAACATTGGGGGAGTCTGCTCCTCCATATTCCACAGTCGCACGCTGGGCAAAGGAATTTAAGCTGGGCAGAACCTCCACTGAAGATGAACATCGCGAGGGACGCCCTTCCACGTCCCTTACTGGAGAAAACGTCAAAAAAGTGGAAGATATCGTGTTGGCCGATCGAAGGGTGACCGTAAGGCATGTAGCTGAGGTCACAGGGATCTCCTATGGCAGCGTTCAAAAAATCATTGTCAACAAAATGCATATGAAAAAGGTCTCTGCGCGTTGGGTACCGAGAATGTTAACCGACGAGCAAAAAAAGAAACGAGTCGACATTTCGAGGGTGAATCTTCAAAAGTTCCAGGCCGATAAAGAATTTTTGTTGTCGCGTTTTGTGACCATGGACGAGACCTGGATCCACCACTTTGATCCCGAAACCAAACAACAATCAATGACTTGGAAACGAGCTTCCTCACCAACGCCGAAGAAATTCAAAGTGTCAAGTTCAGCGGGAAAGGTTATGGCGTCTGTTTTCTGGGATGCAGAAGGAATTATTATGGTGGAATATTTGGAAAAGGGGGCCACTATAACAGGCTCTTACTACGCAGGCCAAATAAGAAGATTGCGAGAAGCTATTAAGTCAAAAAGACGCGGTAAACTGCGCGCTGGAGTGCTGTTTCACCAAGACAACGCCCCGGCTCACAAAGCCGCAGTTGCGATGGCTGCCATTGAAGAAACGGGGTTCGAACTGCTCGAACACCCTCCCTATTCGCCAGATCTAGCTCCCAGGACTTCTACCTCTTTCCTCGGCTCAAAGAACACCTCCTGGGCAACAAATTTGAGGACAATAGTGAAGTGATGGCCGCAGTAGAGGCATTTTGGGAGGGTCAAGACAAAGATTTTTTTTCTAAGGGAGTCATGGGCTTAGAAAAAAGATACACTAAATGTATTAACTTGCAAGGAGACTATGTTGAAAAATAAAATACTTTTTTTAATCTAATAGTTCTGTTTCATATTGATTATCATTACTTATTGATCACCCCTCGTATGTTAAATTAAAAATGCTTTACATAAAATTTAAACTTACCTATAAGCTTGACTCTTTCAGATGTTAATAATAATTTCTGATCACTTTCAATATTTTTTTGGGCAAGTGTTACAAGTTCTGGTATGTGTTCAATACCAACAACGCGTCCAGTTTCACCCACCATTATAGCCATACATGCTGTAAGATAACCAGAACCAGAGCCAACATCTAATGCTTTCTCACCAGGAACTAATTGATTTTTCAACCTTTCAAGTGCATGAGCATGCTAAAAGAGACATTACAGATTATTAGCTTAATAAATACTGAATAGAATAAAATACAAATCTATAGTAATTATACAGATTTTGGCGAATTTTACCATGTGTGGAGCACTGATTGTAGCTGAAAATCCAATAGACTGTGGTGAATCATGGTAAGGTGCATAAGGACAATATTTCTTTCGGTCGACAGCTAACATAGCTCTTGCAACACTTTCAGATTTAATTATTCCATTTTCTGTTAACAAAAAATAACGACAGAAATGTTTTATAATTATGCTCTGAATGCTACAATTATATGCTATAAGAAGATTTTAGAATAATGGAAATCACAATAAACATTTTTCTAGTAGTTCAAAAAAAGATTTAAACGTATTTTATGAAAGAAACATGAAAAATCTTACTACGTAAATTGTTAACCAAATCTGTATTGGTAACTCCGTGACTCCTCCAAGCCATTACTATGATAATGAAGCTTATTAAACCTAAAGAAAAATTACGCCATGAATAACTTATTTTATTTCAGTTCTTTTTGTTGTTTGTTTTTCTTATTTTTTCTTGTTCTTATTTCTGACAGCTGTTTCTTTTACTTTCAATGATTGACACAATCACGGTCATAGTGTCATTAAACTAAAGAATACCATAGACTGTAATGTTGCCAGATTTGAATGACACAAACGTCTTTAATCTTTTGAGGTTATAAAAAGAAAATGAGCCCTTTAGTTTCTTAAATTACTCCAAATATACAAGCTCACAAATTTTACATTTTTATAATATTAGTATAGATATGTTGAGATTCTCAAACTATGATTTTGTGTGGTTTTACTTGATGAAATCAATTTTTTTTTCTTCGTCTAATTTTAAACCGCAAAAGACAATTTCTTTAAGGAGTTAGTAGAATTAATAAATTTAATTAAACCATTCGTTAAAAATGCATTCATTTGTTATCTATCATTGTAATGCAATGATGGATAACACCACACCGCAAAATTTTCGTCCACATTACCTTGATAGTTGGCGCTCCACTAATGTGCACTTTTCGAGACACTTTTTGCCCCGCACAACCAATCTGTGAAACCGGTTATCGTCTGCGGTATTTCCGGACCGATACGACTTTCAAATCTCCAAGAAAAGAGCTTACTCCTTCCTAAAAGGCCGACAACGCGTTTGTGACTCCTGAGTTGCAGACGTTCATGGGCGGCTATGCTCACTTTCCATGAGGTGACCCGTCTGCTTGTCTGCCCCCACTAACAAAAAAAAAATCGGTTAGTAAATCGGTTTATGTATTAAATTATTTGATCCGTATCCGATTTTGTAAGCACATACTATTATAGCGTGTGATCGACGCATCGACTCGGTTCTCTGGTATATAATGTTTTATCTACGGACTCGATACAGTATCAGTTAGTAGATAAATCAGTTTTGTTTGGTAGATAAAGTAGAAGCCGCGAGTGCGATGTTGCGATGCGAAATGCATCGCTATCTTATGACACAACTCAACCGGTTTAAACCATGGGCATACTGATTCAACTGGTTCATGTTTAAACCGGTTAAAATCAGTTCGAAAAGTCGAGTCGTCACCCCACTAGTTGTAACAAGTTGTAAACATTATAACAGTCATAGTGTCAAATAGTGTGTAAAAAACTAAAAAATTATCAATATAGTTTAATAAATTATTAGACAAACAAGTAGGTACTTAGTGACCAACTCAGTTTATCATGTCAATTAAAATTAATTGACATGCTTTTGGACGCTTTTTAATGTTATAAAATGGTGTGCGACGGACCGGACCCGCCTGAAAATAACCCACAGGAGCTTGTTCCGCCCCCTAGACATGAACTGGTGATGAACGGCAACGGTGATGACAGTGATGAAGAACATGAATATTTTGGATACGAACCTTTGGCACAAGGACCCGAGGTGGCACATTCAGATCACGACAGCGATGATGACGTAGAGGTAAAAGGGTACCAAAGATTTTAAATTGTTATTGATTGTAGTGATAGTTATTTTTTAACAATTATATGACAAAACATTTATATGTACAAAGGTATTATATTGTTCTCAAAGGAAGAATTTTTCTTGTAAATCTTTCTACTAAGTAATAAGTCCCCTCATCATACCTACCTACTATTTCTAACTATTAGTTCTCAGGGCTACATTTTAGATACTTGTTTAGTGTACAAGAAAGAGTACCTATCAATCTATTTCTTTGAAATGTCTTGTATTGTTTGCAAAAAGAATTACTAATTAATTTTACATGGCAGAATATGTCTTGGTGAAACAGCTTTCTTAATTTGTACTGTTGTAACTTGTATTGTAGGTACTCAGTTTTAATTTAAAAAATATTTTTAACACTATAAACAACTTCAAGTTAGATATGTCTTACGAAAATATTGTTTTTACAGGATGTTGATAGTGCACCCGCACATGACGTACCAAGTATAGAGACAATGGAGAATGTTTTAACTAGAGAAGTTTGGAATGCACCACGTGTTGCTGATCCTATACAGATGGATAATGAGAGGGCACAGCAGGTATTAAATTAATCCTCTTAATTAAAATGAAAAGTATTTTGACGTTAAAGTTATTGGAAATGGATTTTATAAATAGGCCCCTAAACTGGGAGTGTTAGTAAAACTTCATCTCAACTCAAATCGAATATATGCAATATATTTTTTACAAACTAGTACTCAAATCTGAAATGATTAATTCATCCTTTTAAAATAGTTTAAATATAAGGTGAAAACGTTAGATACATAAGAAATATTTGAATGTATACTTACATGTTAAAGCTTAGGTATTCTTTTCAATGTTACCTGTATCTGATTTGAACTATTAGTAATTACCACATTTAGTTTATAGAATGTCAAGTCATTATACTGAAGTATTTTATAAACATGGTTTGTTTACACTGCACCTTTATAAAAGTGTTGACAGATTGATGACTATTTTGTTCAGGCTAACTATTTCTAGCCAACTGCATTATAATATACAAATATATTGTGTTGTATCGGCTGTTCTGGAACTGGTGGGTCGGTATACTTATTAGTACATAATTATTGGAGTAAGATCTGGTGTGTTGGGCGTTTGGTGTCTTTCCACTAAATTACTACTTCTTCACGAAGATTTACTAACATTACGTTAACATGAAAATTCAGGTTTTGCAATGAGTGCAGCCCTACCTAAGGGCATACTGCTTCGCATTTGGCTTTGCAGATACTTTCTCATTTGAAATGCATGTTATCATGCTTTTATAATAATTTTCTTATTTTTAGGTTATGAGAGCAATGGCAAATTTCGCACTACCACAGGATTCAATACCAGAATGGGCTCAAAGCATTAATGAAGAGCAATGGAAACAGTCACTCAAAGACAGGATAGATAAATTGAAAAGCAGTAGCTAAAATAATGTAAACATTTATTCCTTTGTTCAATAGAAAAAAATATATATAACTAAGTAATATAAATAATATAACTATATATAACTAATATATATAACTAAGTATTTCAAAATAGTAAAACATATTTACGCCCTTATTTATTTTCACCACACGTTGTACTACAAATTGTATCATGAAATGTGATGTGTACTTGAAAAATTATGTTCTCTGATTTTTATCCTAGGCAACCTGGTAATTTCTTTGGTGTCCAAACATTTCTTATGTTGTAAAATTAGAATTTACTATGTGTGGATCTATTTGAGTTATTCAATTGTGGGATCAAATATGACAGCACTGAAAGTAACAAGGTGAGTTTTCTCATTTCTTATGAAAATATAAAATGGAGTATCGGCGTAAAATAGTTCAGCTGAACGCGCCAGTACCGCACTAGTGGCAGCCACAGCCTCAGTTCCATATTCTGAAATAAAAGAAGCCTCTTTTTGTTAATTAGAATTTGAAATTATTATAAGATTTTAAATGAGTTTCCATGACTTTTATTTTTTATTTATTTACAACTTTATGCACATTAGAGGACTTAATGCCCTGGGTATTCTCTGCCAGCCAACCTTTAGGTTTTGTTGAAATCTTTTAACGTTACATTGAGGTTACAGTTGTAATCAATAGTTATTTTTATCCATAAATATATAAAACTAACATATACAATGACACACAGACATACACAAATATCATATAACTACACATAAATTCATATACTTTACATTCGTACATTGTGAACGATAGACTAATTATAAAGAGGTGTACTATTGATTTACATTCTTTCTTATATTTGAATTTCTTAAATGTGAAACGGTTTGTGGCACTTTGTGGACATCCTGATTTCAAGTGTGAGCGTAGTCCAGAGCAGTACTCCTTGCACAAAGAACGAAGAATTCACGAAGTCGGAGTTGTGGGAGGGACACAGGAGAAGCAAATTATTTAATGAGCGAAGATTTCTGTCATCATTAGAGGACAAGAAATGAAAGTAGGGATCAAGGTAAGTGGGTGAGAATGGGGAGTTAAGGAATAAAAAGAGAGGTCAGCGTTCAAATAGATAACCATTTTAATTGGGAACGTAAAGCAGACACGGTTATACTTGCGAAGATTGAATATGTATTGAATGCAGTAATTATGAAGACGGTCTAGCTTATTAAACATTCAGGAGCATTCGGGTCGTATTAACACACGTCACCATAGTCCATTATAGGAATAATTAGGAACTTGGTTAGAGAGGTTTTCGTTTTGGGAGGCAGGAAATTCTTAAGGCGGTATAGTGTTGCCAGGTTTCCAGTTACTTTCTGACCCATACGAGGAACTTGAGCCGCTAATCAAGCTAATGAGTCGATGAGCAGGCCTAGGTCTTTGACTAGTTTTTAGTCTAAGAATAATCTTAAGAATTTAAGAATAATAAGAATTTTTGTAATCAAAGTAAAAAATAAACAAAACGTCACTTGTTAGATCTATCTTATCTTTTACCAAGATATTACTTATATTGAGTTCTATGAATTTGAACATCTCACTGAGGAAGACATAAAAAGTTCTAAAAGTGATTTTAGATGATGAGTGATATTCATCATGTCGGGTTTTCTACTGCTGGAAGGAATTAGTATGGTTGCCAAATAAAAGGTGTTTTCGTAGTAAATTATTAAACATCCAACGTTGACTGTAATGTGATTATATCGAATTTTAACCGATAATTAGATCGGTTATCTGCTAGTCTTCTCTCTTAAATGACAGTTGTGAAATCAAAAGCTGATCGGAACTGAATTGTGACCGAACTTTTATTATGAGAATTGGCCTTCTGAATAAAACTTGTGAAAACGGGTTAATGAAAAAGACGAAACACGAACCATTCATAACAAGCAAATATAAGGAAAGTGGGTATTTCCCATGCGATTCTTCTAAGGTCATGTCACGAAGGGCAGAAACCGATCGGATCCAAGCTAGGAAAATCATATAATAAAGATATGAACAGTACCTACTGATGACTTGTGTATTCAGAAACGTTGGCCACGAGCTTTGCTGGGTTGAGAGAATGTTATCCACGTTTAGAGTTTGTTAAATTTAACACATTAATACTACAGTTCCTTCAACGGGCGCTGTTTTTGTTATTAAGTATTTTTAATAAAAAAAATTACCATTTATAGTCAATTTCACTTCGTGCGTAACTGAGTCTACGTGTATGCCTGGATTAGGTAGACTGTCTAACATGTCCTTTATAAGACTTGACTCTTTATCTTCTATCTTAGTTCCACTTCTTGTGATTAACTCCTCTTCCGTGTTGTTAACAATAGCATTTCCATTTACCATAAGTGCGAAATTCGCTGCACCCGGCGTAAACATATCTTGTATACCAATAGCTTTTAAGGAGTTATCTAAGTTCATGCTAGTTTTCAGTTCCAATTTAGGAAAACGCACAACGCATTTTTTTATTGTCATTTCATTAATCGTCTTATCGATCTGTTCGTAGTCTATCTTTTCCATCAAATCCAAAAGATTCAGTTTATTAGGTAACCGAGGTTTTACAGCATACATATTTGTTTCACTGTCATTGTACGGCAACGCTAACATAATGAAATCTGCAATAAATATATTATAATTTATATGTAAAAGACTCTTACGTCTTAATTAGGTTATTTTTGTTTTGGAACTAAGAGATTAATTATTAATAAATCAAAATAATAATATACTATGATATTTACCATTATTTTCAGAAACTGTAAAGTTGAAATGTCCGAAATTTAACATAAGATCAGCCATAACTGTAACCTTTCCTTTTTTAAATGGCAGCCTGTAACAACATACTCAATAGTAGAATTATTTTTTTAGGATCTGGGTGGTGTTCGAGTAGACTAATGTTAATAAAGTTTACAAGAAACTAAAAAGGTGACAGAAGCAGGAATTATTTGATATTATAATCGAAACAACTTACATCTGAATTGGCATAAGAGGGCATGATTAAAATTATTTAAACCTAAATCGTCGATGGATATTTTCCTCTAAGAACTTACTTGGTGGTGTATTCCGGTAGGAAAGGCTTTTCCCACTGACCGTTGAAGTAGAGCGCACTTAATAATGCCACTTTAGTAGACGTTGGTAGAGAGCGCTTCAGGAAGTTTTCTATTTGTCCTTCTGTATTATTTGTCACCCACCTGGAGATATATTATTTTACAGTTATTGTACTTTACAAATTGATTTTAAACAGTGCGTACTAGTGTAACAGTGTATTGCAGTTACATGTTCATTACTTATGAGTCTTCAAGCGGAAAGAATACATAGGTACTACCACTCTGCCAGTACTGTATTTAATCTATATTAAATACTTAAGCTAAATTGTCTATTTCTTTATTAATAAATGGTTTCCATCAAACTGCTAATAAGTATTTGCAATATGAATAGAAATTGTTAACAATCAGAAACTAAGTTCAAGAATTAAAAGCTAACACCGAAAGGCTCGCATGACTGAAAATTCTTCTCTTGAAAAGGCACATTTGAGTGTTTTTATTTTATAAGTCGGAAACCAACTGTACTTTATACCTATTCTGTTGTTCGAAAACTGTCTAAACCAAACTAAAAATCACAAAAAATTGGTTTGTCATGTCAAACAACGTTTCGCATTCTGAAAACGTAGGACTTAACTAATTTCGCTTGTGTAATACTAAATATAGTTAAGTTACTTAATTTAGACAATAATTGGTCATTTGTTATTCTGTTTTACGTTCTAAGCGTCAAAGATTTACTAAAATTAGAAATTGAGACTAAAATTAGAGAATTTTAGAGAAATTTTAGTTTAGTTGTGTGAACCACAGCATTAGCACCATTATCTAACTAAGTACTATTACTAACTTCTTTCTGATTTCTCCAAAATGTATTCAGCAGTTTGGCCGTAAAAAGTTAACACAGTTACATACCTAGTACCTAACTCTGTTAGCTTTTTAGCTTTAAGTATTAATATCATTTTTAATATTAATAATACATACCTACTTTTTTTGCATAATACACAACGCCATCTAGTCCCAAACTAAGCAGAGATTGTACTTACGTTACTAGACAACAACAAATAGATATATCCTCCTTTTGTAAATACATACATATTATACATAAGAACACCCAGAAGAAATCAGTGCACATAATAATGTACACATAATGTATATACTTAGATGTTATATTATATGAGTAATAAAAAACTAGGCGCATGCTCGAAATTAAAGTCAAAAAGTCATACATATCGTAGTATTAACAATTCATTCACATACATTCAGTTTCATTAATATTTCTATACAGGAAACTTTTTTAACACTGAGGGTCTTAAATCAGTAGTTGTGTGTAAGAGAAAAGTTAAAACCATAAATACCAAGAATAATGATAGAATATCCGGCTTTTTAGGAAATTTCTGCACAAAAAAAAATGTTTTTCTAGCTGACTCATCTACAAACTAATCGAGCATAGGCGCCTAAATATAACTACAATACGACAGCACCATTCCTTACTTTGTAGGTAGGTATAGATTTGTGACTTACGTCAGTAAGCTTCATTTGAATCAAAAAATACACACTAATTTTCACATTTGTAATAGGAAATGTCCACACAGTGCTACGGTCTATATACTATGTATGACTCACTCGTTTATCTTGTTTTTCGCATCTTCACTATCTGTAAAGTTTGTGTTGAGGATTTCCCCGCGATACACGTCGTGAAGATAGTTACGGTACAATTGACGTAATGGCGTTTGTGTGTCCACAAATATGGCGTCTGCATACAGCGTTTTTGAAGAAACGTTCGCGTTTATGGATTGCAGTAGCTCTCCCAGTTGTTCGTGGTTTTTGCGGTTTGTGAAGATATCTGTGGAGGTTTAACTGTGGTTACAATAAAAAATTAAATACGCAATTAAATTTTAGAACATGTAGGTACTAGCATAAAATACATGACTGCCAATGTATATTATGCTTCTGTAGAGCCACCACCCAATTCATTGTAAAGAGTAAATTGCGTTAAACTTCGAGCTATAATGTTTATGTCTGCTATTAGTACATACCTACCCATATCATACGCCATAAATTATAATTCTATTTCAAAACTAAATCAGCCAAGAGTGGCAGGTGTTACTGAGATTCTATATTAATTTACTTTGTTGTAACATGTTATACGAGTATATGTATGTACATGTATATATTGTGTTATATTTATGTGTTGTATTAATGAATATCCTCATCATATATTTTAAAAAATTTGCTTACAAATAGAACGTCAAAGGACGTAGAACAAACGATTATCATGGATCTCTCTGACCTTCCTTCCAAAATATGAATAGTATGACATTTATGAAGAGTTATGGCATTAACTAAGTATTTTAATTTTATGAATTTTGGAAGCATTTGCTTGATCCTTAATCGATATTCTCGCATTTTTTGTTTCTGAAGTTTTTAAAAAGTTATATCATAGTGAATATCTGTGGTTAAGCTAATAAAAAATGTATATTCCCCAGAAGATATTTGGACGCTTATTATAACATAATTGTTATTGTAGCATCTATTGTTTACAAATGTCCAATCAGTATGTCAACAAATAAAGCAACTGTAGCAATAACACATTATGTATACTTTTAGCAGCAAATATGTAACTTGAGCAAAGTGACCTCAACTAGTCGACACTTCTTACCTTGAGAAAAACCAAGTGCCTCAGCAATCTCGTCATATGTTGTACCAACACTGCCCAAAAGTGTCATTGCTAACAAACCTGTAACATAAATCAACATCTTCACTAATTAATTTAATTGGCGGACAATGGCGCTGATGGGTTCAAGCACCTTTTAAAATTATTTATTAAAATAATTCAGTTTTAAAAACTATCACCAAGTTTAATGCTCCTACGTCATGATAAATTTTGATAAACTGTGTTCTTCATTCCATAATTTTCCACTTTTTTAAGTGGTATTTTTCTTCAAAGCTAGGGGGCCAAATGGGAAAATGTACCCTCCCAAACACGCAAAGAATTTTCCATATCGGTTCATAAATGGCGAAGTTCTGGGGTAACAAACAAAAATACAATCGAATTGAGAACATTTTTTAACTAACTACCTACCTACAAAAGATTTTCTATAATCGTATCCTCAGATATCTAGTTCCGTAGGCCACATCTTACGGAGCTAGATACCCGATAATACCCGAAAACCGATATGAAAAGAGTGTCCGTATCTGCAACGAACAAATTTACCTAGCAGATCTGCCATTGTATAACAATTATAGAAAAATATAAAGCTGATTTTTTTGCCCGATTGCATTGATATATTAAGATACTTGTTTTTCAAACAAAAACAGTAATCATAAGTGTACGTAGATATATACTCGTAGTTCGTCCATCCCGGGAATGGATCCTCGAAGATTTTGAAATTTTTTACACGACTCATAAACACTTATTTAATTTTCTTTATTTCGACATGACTTCTAAATGCCTGAACAGATATTAATGTATAGGGTATCGTTAGAATCCTGACGTCATCCAGTCCTGAGTGATACAGACTACATAAATTCTAAATCAATACGGCGGTTGTAAAACGTGTGTTTAGTTGTTTAAGAGTGCGGATGTGCTTTTTTATTAATAACTTGTTAATCCCTTCGATTAAAAACACAACAGTGTGGTATTTCGTTCTTTTCTTAGCGAATTTATGTTTCTACATCAAATAGAAATACCCTATATGTACTAACTAGGTTTTAATTTGCCTTAAACGGTTAAGGCGTGACGGGTCAACCTCATTTTCCATTTAGGTAATATTAAGCGAGCTTAGCTACAATTATCACTATGTCGCTCATTAATTAGGCTAAAATTTAATAATTCTATCAAAATAAAAATAAGATTGAGGTGGAGTGTGTAATTTGATTACAAACTATTTCTGCCTGGAACCTTGGGCTGTGACTTTGGAACCTGCGGAACTGTGGCCCGTAGTTGTTTTAAAGTGGTTGTGAATTATTGTTAGAGCAAATCTTACTCAATACTTTATTGCTTCCACAATGTAAATGCATAGGTGATATCAATTTAAATAAAGTAACAATTATGGACCCTGACGGGCGCAGCACAGTTTGTTTGGGAGAGATGAATTAATATTTTATTTATTATTTATCATAATAGTTCTATAATTTATGAATTTTATTATTTTAGAATTCTATCTTCAAAATATTCTCTTATGCTGTAGTAGCTTTTACTTACAAGAAAGAGTTTTAATTTTTTTGTGAAACTTTGTATATTTTTATGGACATTACAAATGGGCTGTATGAGTGCATTTTGAGTCGGGAAGCTGGTAAATTAAGTCTATCTTTGTGTCTAAGCGTCATTTTGGTTTGTATGTCCTCTCTTTTGCTGTCTAGGTGTTGTCTAACGAATTTACAGGTTTCCAATATGTAGATACTGGGTAAGGTTAAAATTTTAAGCTCGACAAAGTGAGGTTGGCAACTGTCTGTGTCTTCTATGTTTACTAGAATTCTAACTAGTTTTTTCTGTAAAGTGAATAGTGTAGGTGCATCTGTACTATTGCCCCATAGGATTATTCCGTATGTGAACCACGCGTAGGCATATGAATAGTAGGTAGCAAGTGCTGTTTTAAGGTCTGTAGTTTTTTTTTATTTCTCGGAGGGCGTAAGTAAATTCGTTCGTTAAAGTATAATGGATCCTTGTATGGATAATGTGTGATTTATAACTGGTCAGAACCGTGCGCGAGGTCCGTCTTTGAAGGCAATGTAACGAGTATTTTATACCTTGATCAACGGAATTAAGTAAGAAATCAAGGATCAATTTTTTTTTTGTTGGCAAGACATTGCCTGTAAATAACTCTTGCTACAAGGAAATTAAAGAATCAAGGTAATGAAGTAATTTACCTGCCACACCGGTTGGTGATATCACAATGTTATCATTTTTCTTTTCATTCATCATCTTGAGTAACAGTTTGTAACCGAATTTATTGACAGCTAAAGCTATATTGTCATTTATTTGTTCAGGTAGTGCCATCGGCAGAATGGTTTCGGTTGTCTCACTGAAATTGAAGAAAAAATGAGCTAGGAAAGAATATCTTAAGTTAACTAATATATGTATAACACCCACCTGGGTAATAACGTACTCATTTCTTCCTGTCCAGAAAATGGGACACATAACGTAGTGATTATGTAGAAAATCCAAAGATTAAGCTGCATTTTCTGAAAATATGAGACAGGTGTTAAGAACGACGAATTTAAAATATAATATCTGATGATGATAAAAACCTTCGTGGCCTGACTACAAATGGAATCGGCTCGTATTGCGTGAGACCTAATAAATACCCCTCAATCTCAGTATTGGTAGTCGATACTTTTTTTGTTGTTGTTTTCTACCATTTAAATACAAAAATTAAATTGATTTATTATTTACTAGAATTATACCTTTTTTAAAGTTCCAAACATCATACGATCAGTACACTGGTCAATGTAGCTTGTTTGTAAATGTAGAATGTTTACAACATCAGGAATGGCACTCGCTTATCCTGTAATTAAAATGTCATCTTGGGGTATCTAGATAGTATATAATTTCAGTTCCCATGAACCCACAGCTTTTCGAATGTTAGGGCATTGACGAATATAGTTTTTTATTTCTTGTAAACTAGTTATGCTTAATTAAAATAATAGCTACAACTGTTGTCAAAAAGTTCTTTGCAAACGTCTACTCCAAGAGAACCCTGTTATTTATAATAACTAATAGCCTTTGTATTTCAGTATCCTCAGCCCTTTGACATTACACATTGGCGGATTATCCCTAGGGCAAAGTAGGCACTGTGTCAGTAAGTACGTACATGCTTACACAATATAAATAATGAGACGGGTCTGTTGGTCTAGTGGTTAGTGACCCTGACTGCGGTCGTAGGTTCGATTCCCTACCAGGACAAATTTAATATTGTGTGATAAGCACGGTCATTTGTTCAGTGTCTGGGTGTAATTTATCTATAATATAATATATGGATTTAGAAATAAATAAGTATGTTTATCAGAAGTCTGGTTGCCATAGCTCTGCCTAGTTTGGGATCAGATGGTGTGTAAGATGTGTGAGATATAAGAGTACTCGTATTATAAAAAAAAAAACTTTAATTCATCTCATCTTTATATTTTGTAATAGCCACTACACTTCACTTCTTTGCTTTCTTTCTCTGATCCCTAGGAAGATTGAGGCTAGTGCGTGTACACAAAAATGCCGTTGCAACTATTGCAGCTGTATTTGAGATTATTCTATGAGTTGTAGTAATAGACCAGCAGGGTTGTCCAGTCAATGGTACACTATACGGTGCACCGCTGTGGGTGGAAGCCCGACCGCCAAAAATAGGACGCGCCTCTAGTACCTTAAGAGGGTTGGAGCAGAACTCTCCAGTTGGAAATGAGTAGCGTAAAGCTGCTCGCCGAGCCACGATGACTCGAGGCTCCACCCGGGAGGCGATCGCTAGAAGTGAATTGAGTTGCGCCTGTCACCACTGCGACTGCAGCGAGAACTTGTCTTAGCACACAGTTGTCAACGTAGCGGAAAGGATTTCTTGCGACCAGCCCTTACACGCTCTCAGGCTGGCGTGCCGCCTTATGAGGCGCTGCTCATGCCGCCCTGAGTGATGTCTCAGGTAGACTAGTTTTCTCAACAATCGCCACGAAGGCCTACCGCGAGGAGGTGACGTCCTCGTGCGGCGGACGTGTAAATTTGAGCGGTTTTTCGCAGGGGTCGTAGTTAGGGCCGCTCCTCTGAAACATCGGCTACGACTGGGTGTTCCGTGTTGCCTTCTTGGATAGCGTCGCCGTCACGTGCTACGCGGATGACATGTTCGTGATGGCGTGCGGTGCGCCTTAGCACCGTAAGGATTCGGCGGCTGGGTCTCAATGTGTACTTAGGGATTTTCCGATACCACCTAAGTATCGATACTTACTCATTTCGATAATACTCAAATCTTTTTTCGATACTACACAAATAAGTACTCCTCAAGTATCGATACTTACTGATATCGATACTTTTTGGAACTTTTATTTTATTATTTTGAGGGTGCTATCAATGAACGTTGAAGGATAATAATTTAAACAAAATTGAGACGAAAAAAACTATTTATTTATAATAAATGTTTATTAGGCTTATTATAATTTAAACAAAAAACTTTTCAGCATTAAGATTGCCCAAAAACAGTAACTGTTCAAGGTATTTAGAAGACAATCTGTTTCTTGTTTGTGTCATTGTTGCACCGGCTTTGGAAAAAAGGCACTCGCTAGGAACTGATGTTGCAACAACAATTAAATATTGCTGTGCATACTTGTACAGACAAGGAAACACCAACTTCATGTCATCCCATTCTGCAAATGGGTTGCTTTTAAGAGAAACTACTGGATTTGATAAATAAAGAGAAACTTCATCTCCCTGATGAGATTTTTTTTTCTTCTTGTGCCCATGTGCTAACTCTTTATGATGTTTCCAAAAATCGTATTCAGGTGGTGCAGTAGATGAGACATCATCTTCTGACTCACTTGGGCTACTTAGTTGTCCGACAACCATGGTTCTAAGTTTTTGAATAGCTCTTCCGCATGCAGAGGGGTCTTGGAAATGCAGATTTTTAAACCTTGGGTCTAGAATTGTTGCAATGGCTGCATGATCGTTTAATTCAATCATCCCATACCTCCTTTTCAGCTCTCTCAATAAAACATCCTTACATTCTTTAACGATAGCGGAGTTTGGAGTGATACTATTCAGTTCTGTAGTTAAGCAATTAAGCATTGGTATAATTTTGGAGATTGTTACATACTTTTGGCCCGATGATTCTCTTGTTACATATTCAAAAGGCTTTAATACAGTTGTAAGCTCATTCAAGGTTTCCATTTCCACTGCACTTGGCAAATTTGGAGCCACTACACTCTCAATTACAATTTCTGATATTACTATTCTTAACTTTAGAAATTGCTCTAACATAAAAAAAGTTGAGTTCCACCTAGTTCTTACATCTGCAATAAGTTTTAAAACTGATCCTGCCGAAACATTATTACGCATTTGGATTTTTCGTAGCTTATCCGACTGCACAACACTATTTTTTATCCAATTAACAATTTCTCGTACTTTTATAACAGCTGATTTAACACTGGGCAACTTTAGTGCCTCTTCAACTACAAGGTTAATAGTATGGGCAAAACACGGTAAATGTTTTTTTTCGCCTAAAGACATTCGTATGGCAGCCAACATTGAACTGGCATTATCTGATACAGCAGCACGAATTTTGGTAAGTGGAATATTCCATTTTTTCAAAATATCCAGCAGGTTTTCCGATATGTATTCAGCTGTATGTCGCTCTCTTAATGCACGAGTTGCAAGATAATACATACACATTTGACCATTTTCTACAAAATGTATGGTGACGCCCATGAATCCTACTTCATTCATTGTCTCTGTCCATATGTCCAGCGTTAAACAGAAATTGTCTATCTTGGATAATTTGGACTTACAAATAGTTATACAAGCTTCGTACTTTTCGGTAGTCATTTTCTTTAAATACTTTGCGCCAGGAACTTTAAAAGTAGGCTCCAGTTCTTTTACAAGTCGTAAAAAGCCTTCACCTTCAACTATATTAAATGGACGCATATCTTGACAGATAAAAAATATCAATGCTTGAACAATTCTGTTATACTTCGTACCACCAGCTAAAAATAAAACTCAATTTTAATACATGTAATATTAAATTAAATATTTATATTTTTTTCTTGAACACTAATACTATATGTATTAATATTATTTTGCTAATATTTAATTAAATATCTATTTATTTACCTTTATTAGATGAAATTCGTTCAAACGCATTCTTTATTGAATTGCTCAGACATAGCTCCCTTGCAGTCTCCGAGTCCATACTTGTTAATGTGGTTACACTAGAGCAATCATCACGATCTTCTGAAATTTTCGATGTTGATGCTTGGGGTTGATCATCTTCCATTAAATGCCTTGAGTTGGCCAACACTATTGTATTTTTTGAACTGAAACATAATAACAAAAATTAACACTTGATAGATCGATAATCTTCAAAGTATCGATAATACCAACTCCAACACTACCGCCATTTAACAACACTATTACACTAACAAAAACAAACACATAACCTTAAATTGTTTAAATCGTATTTATACAAAGGAAATATCTCATCACCGGTCATCAATTATTATTCATATATTATTAATATATAGACAAGACAATCACAGTACCACTGCTGCAAAACTATTTTTTATACAAATAAAATAGGTAGGAGTAGGTAGGATTTTTTATTTAACATCTTAGGAAAGCAATCGCAAAAAAAAAGAAAAGTTTAGAATCCTACCTTTCGTTGGACTTATTATTTTCTTTTTTCTGTAATTTGCCTTTGTCCACAGAAATTCCATGAGTTTTAGAATGCTTGAATAAATTCGACGTATTCCCACAATACTTCACAGACTTAAAACACTGTTTACATTTTGCAATTGTTTCGTTTGTTTTGGTAAAATGTGTCCATATTATAGATTTTGGTGGTGCCATGATAACATTGGAATAAACCGATGAATTTGATGATTACAATTAATAAAATTACTTGTAAGCAATCACTTAACACTTTCACAATGGCGGAATGGCGAGATGATTTGCGAGCGGGTGCGGGTGTTTTCTTCTCTCGCTTTCGGCTCGGGCGGGCTCGGCTGAAGTCGGACGAATTCGGCTAGCCCAGCGCGAGACAACGCGTCACTCACGCCGCCACGCGACGAATACCGGTAACTCGGTAACCTGATTAGCTGACTGTTTTTGCCTCGTTTTTGCTCTCTTAGTTCTGTATGATGCGTTCTCGGTTTTTTATTGTATTCGGTTGTTTTGCTGATTCGATTCGATACCAAGTATTTTTGTTTCGATACCGATTATGTATCGCAAAATTGATTCGATACAATAAATACTTGGTATCGAATCAAAAGTATCGAGTACCTACTCGTATTTATTAGTATCGGAATATCCCTATGTGTACTTTCACAAATCTGAGGCCTTGTTCTTCCATGAGCCTCGCGGAGGGGGTCACCTGAAGGATCCAGTCTCATAGTAGGAGGTACTCGCATTGACATCGAGCTTTCGATGAGATATCTGGGGCTCGTTCTGGTTCGGGATCCTAGGACTAGAAATCAACTAGACAACTCCGCCGCGTCCTCGTGAAGGAGTGGAGGAAAAGACAGAGGCAACCAAGCGCCGTGCACGCCATTATACTGGCGGTAAGGCCCGTTGTAGAGGATTGGCTCTAGAGGAAACACGGGACTCTCTCATACCGGCTGACGCGGGAGATCACCTGTATCTGATCCGCAAGAAAACAAAACCTGGGTGCCAGCGTGCGCAGTTCACATACCGCGTTGTTTTAGTCGGTTCGATTTAGATACACCGCCCCACCGCAAACCTCGGTGGGGTGACTGCCCATGAAGGTTTCTACACGTAAAAATAGAAGAAAAAAAGTTGTAGTAAAGAGATATTAATAAAAAAGTATGAGCGATAGAGAAATGCGGGGGGCGCCGATGAGATGTTTGCCTAGGGCGCTCAAGATACTCAATCCGCCTCTGACCTTACAAATATCTACCTAGTATTTCGATCAGTCTCGCGCTCATGTACCTACTATGACGCGGTAAAAAATATAGTTAGCGAATGTTACACTGTACCTGTAGACTCTTAATGCTAACGATTTTAATTTTGTTGAATGTCATCATACTAGTCTGTCTGTCTATCTCACGATTTCTAAATATATGACTCACTCGTGCACCAGTGCAAAATCGTCGCATGCCCACTGAACTACTATACCTCTGTACACTAGTACATTTACAATTTGCAGTCTATTACAAAAAAGTATGCGAATGATCATTTTTTTATTGATTTAGGTATACCTGTACGTGCAGTATATATCTAGATAGGCCATTTATAGGTACACATCAACGGAATCAGACCTTTCTGATGTTACCAACCTTGGTGGCAGGAACTGGAAAGAACAAAATAATAATACTGTTAAGCATCAATATGATAAATAATTTTCTTGAGATATTTTGAGACTATTTTTTTTAATGAACCTCATAAATAATAGTGTGTAGAGGTGTTTAAACTCAGCGTGGTTGAATGCGGTGAGAGTCCTCGTAGTAAGTAGGTAGGTATAGTCTAACGGTTCCTGCAGTCCTAATGGTCACTAAACTTTCTAATTATCGAAACATCCGAGAATGCTCGTTATACAGTTGCAAACGTAACTTAGAAAAATTACCCGAGTCCCTAGGTCATATCATACAATTTTTAAGGCTATTATGCCTCTGTCGATTTCACCAAAATTATGTAGATACTCGGTCAGTTTGTTTTGGTTTTGACTTGTATTAAATTAAATGCTTATCGGTTCTAAAGAAGGTCGTGTTCAATGTCAGGTTATCGATGCAGTAAAGTTATCATCTAACTTGTTATTTAAAAATTAAATCATTTTTAACATATTTATTTGAAATAAATGAACTTAATTAATTAAGAAATTAACTTAATAAAGAATAAAGCAAATTGGATGTGCAATTTGTAATTAATTAATCGCTAAACGAGTCTTGACACGACAGGCATGTTTCGGATGTTTACAATTTTTATTGAATTCTATTTGCCTTTTAGACATTTTTATGTAATACATAAAAAGGTCTAAAAGGCAAGAGTTGTTGGTAATAATGGAACATATCAATTGAATCAAAATGAAGGCTACGTCCTTACCTCACAATTTCATTAATGTTTACTGACACAATCCATTTAACAGGAAAACTATTCACTAAAACACGTCTGTTCGTCAGATAGAATCTCTCAGTTACTAACCTTCACTGAGTAGTATGTAGCGATTCGAGTATGTAGGCACGACCCGAGTGGTACAAGCTCGCCACAACGCTTATAGCCGCCACAGCATAACAAGAATGAATTGCATTAAGGTTTATGAATAGAAATGAAACAAAAGCCTGTCATTACCGTAAAAAAATTAGAATTTTACAACATAATTTATTAAATTCGTAACCAGTAATAAATTTTTGGCAGAATAGTTAGTCTAGATTAAGATTTCTGTGTCAATAGAAAAATAAAGAAAGCTCGAAACTCATGGTCGAAGAACAATAGTTACGTATTCAAATATTTTTCGTGTCGTTTTTTACTTAAGCACGTAAGTGCGGTGTAAAAACCCTAAATAAGTGTAACTACCTACCGCGTCATTACATAGGTATACATATATACATTGACCTACCTATATGTTTAGTGTTTAACAATAGTAGGTACCTATTAGATTATGTTTAAAATATTAGTAAATATCTATCCAAAATATAAATTAAATATACTTAGGTATGTCTTTATTTTTTATTTAACACGCATATAAGAAGGTGTCATGTGTCGAACAATAAAACACTACTAAATCAAAGTCTCATAAACCTTTTGTTTATACAGATAAAAATATGTTTTACCGGCATTTTAGTAATTTTCGTGTGTATCGAATGTCATTTGTAGTTTATTTAATTAATGTGTATTCTACCAGGTGTATTAAAAAAATGGAAAAAAGTGAATTTCGTGTGCTTATTAAGCATTATTTTTTGCGAAAGAAACCATTACCGAGAGCAAGGCTAAGCTTGATAAATACTATGGGGACTCTGCACCATCGATTTCAATGGTAAAAAAGTGGTTTACTGAATTTCGTTGTGGCCGTACAAGCACTGAAGATGCCGAACGTCCTGGACGCCCAGTTGAGGTCTCTTCACCCGAAACAATCGAAAAAATTCACGATATGGTGTTGGCCGACCGAAGATTGAAAGTGCAAGAGATTGTGGAAGCCGTAGGGATCTCGCATGGCTCAGTGGTTTCAATTTTGAATGATCACTTGGGCATGAGAAAGCTTTCCGCAAGATGGGTGCCGCGATTGCTCACAGTCGACCACAAACGCAATCGTGTAACAACTTCACAGGAAGGTTTGGCGTTGTTTAATCGCAATATGGAGGAGTTTTTGCGCCGTTTTGTAACCGTGGACGAAACATGGATCCATCACAACACACCAGAGACCAAACAACAGTCAAAACAGTGGGTTTCTAAGGGTGAATCGGCGCCAAAGAAGGCCAAGGTAGGTTTGTCAGCCAATAAAGTTATGGCGACTGTCTTTTGGGATGCACGCGGGATAATCCACATTGACTACTTTCAAAAGGGAAGAACAATCAATGGGGAATATTATGCCAACTTATTGGACCGATTCAATGACGATTTGAAAAAAAAACCGACCTCATTTGGCCAAGAAAAAAGTTCTTTTCCACCAAGACAATGCAAGGGTGCACACATGTGCAGTTGCCATGGCAAAAATCCATGAATTGGGCTATGAATTGCTCCCTCATCCGTCCTATTCTCCAGATTTGGCTCCGAGTGACTACTTCTTGTTCCCAAACCTGAAGAAATGGCTTGGTGGAAAAAGATTTGACTCCAATGATGAAGTCATCTCGCAAACAAAGGCCTATTTTGAGGACCTCGACAAATCATATTTTTTGGAAGGGATAAAAAAATTGGAGAAGCGTTGGACAAAGTGTATAGAGCTCAAGGGAGACTACGTTGAAAAATAAAATGATTTATTTATCAAAAAATCTGTGTTTTATTTCAAAAGTCACGGACTTATTGACCCGCCCTCGTAACGTCATATAGATTTAATTTAATACACCTCCTATGCAAACCTTTAATATTAATAAAATACTATTATTGATTGCTACATACTGATAGGTTTGAATTCGGTGCCAAGCCGAATGTAATAGTAGGTACCTACATTCGCCGCGCGTGACTTTCAACGGGAAACAACCCAAACGGGCAGACACGCGCGGGCATATATTATTATCTGTGCGGGCAGACGTCGTTGACGATCGTCTCTAAATATAATAAAATTTTGATGCGTTGTAACCTAATTGATAAATTTGTATAATTTATCTGTTGCACGAAGCTATATTTGTTTTCATAATTATAGGTATTAATTATTACTTAATTCTATTATTAGTTTGTCTTCAAAGCAGTCGTGTCGTGTGCTCGTCACACAATACGCAAACCAAGAGGTCCTTTTCAGGGCTAAAAATATTTTCATATACGAATAATATAGGTTTAATATAGCTATAGTTACTCATTAAGGTATTAATATTTTATATATTTTTATCATAAAGTTTTCATCTCTTTCACATTAATTCACATTGTTTTTAGGTTTATTTCCGTAGGTTAATCCTTACATAGTGTAGGAATTTCATAACAGTAAGTAGGCTGTTTATAATATTAAGTTATATTTTGTTTACGGCTTAGCACCGACTTCAAACCTATCATTTTTCTTTTTAGTGTCTCTAATAGGTTGTTCTGTAAACTACATTATGATTTTTTCTAGATTACATCAGGTAAACTAAAACATTTCGTTGCTTTTTATTGTATTATTTTTAAGTAGCTATGGTTAGGCCTACAAAAGGTGCCGCGCGCCTCAAACAATTTAGATCCCGAGAAAAGAATCACCGAACAATTTAAGAAACCGGAACGAAAAGAAATAGACTCCGAAAAAAGGCTATTCGAAACTTTATTTCACATTCTTGTGAGACGGTGGCAGATCGTGAAGAACGTTTGTTGACTAGGAAAAATTACATAAAATTACTTTCACGCCAAGAAACACTAGAACAGTATGAGTCTAGACTCGCTAAGATTCAAGAACGTCTTGCCAAAGAGACGTCTGAACAACAAGCACATAGACTCGGTCTTAGTTATGACCGTCTAGCAAACAAGTCTTCTCAGGAACGTGAAAACCAGCTGGCGACAGCGCGACAGACGTCACAAAGACTACGTTCAATGATTGACCGTAATTTTCTACTACTATAAATCAGTACGCTGAAGTACCCTGTACAGTTTGTAAGAAATTATTGTTGCGCCATAGGATTAAATGGTTCGATTGTATGGAATGTGGAGGACAGCGCCATCTAGTATCGAGTAAAGTACACCTATTAAGAGGGTTCCCTCTATCTGGCAGAATAATGATGCTCCGAAATTTATTTCGCATGGCACTTGGCAGAAACTTCTTTAAACGAATATGTTTAAGGTATAAAAAATATTGAGTATAATTAATGTTCGGCCAAATGTTTGTATGTCCGAATTAACAATGGCATACTTTTAAGATGACTTAATTTTATTTAGCACAATCACCTTTGGCAGAGTTAAAATTCCGAATAATTTCGTTTAGCATAACATTTATTTAGAGCGACGATTATTTGGTACAATTTCACTTGGAATATTTTTTAGGCCATATTGCGATAAAATAGCATTTTAAACCTTCAATTAAAATATTATCTTAAAAAGTCATGTCTTGCTACAAAAGTTTGTGACAGAAACGAATCGCCGCAAGACCGACTCCACGTAGTCTTGTCTGCCCTACCCCTAGAGTGTAATTTAAGGCCGCGTACGCGCGGAGGGGCGAGGCGGCCCGCGAGCTTAGGAGGAAGTGGTTTCAACGCTCGCCGCCGCGGCTGAGGCAGCGGTGGTGAACGTTGAATTCATCTGCGACGATAAGCTCACGTGGGACCGCCAGAGCTCGTAGCCCCGGAGCCGTGACAGATATGCTGCATACTGCATTCTTGCTTGCATGCTGCATGCTTGCCTGCATTCCTGCTTGTATGTTTCGTGCTTGCCTGCATGAATGCTGTATGCTTGTTTGCATGCTTCTTATAGGGCAATAAAATCAGTTGTTATGCAAAATAATATTATGACATAATAAGTTCTGCTATAAAGGGGGACCCCTATTAACATTGTGATTAATACGAGTAGTTCTGATACTTATAGCGCTAGATGGTGCTGCAAGTAACGCGTGACTGATTCTGGAATATTCTTGTTTGTCTGGAACGGACTATCGAATACTAGGGATCTTTCTAGTAAATTCGATAGCACTATAAAAACGGAGCGTGTTAGCCGTTCGAGACAGTATCGTATTACGCCACAACGAATTAACATCGGAGTGAATTTCTAGTGAGACTAACGAAATATATAGTGATTTGTAGTTTATTATACGGAGTGTTTGTAAATATAGTGCAGTAAAGTAATTAACCGACAACTTTTATTTATTATATACCCCGCTCGTAACATTATTATATCCAAAACAACAAATGTCATTAGTGCCAACACGTTTCGATTTCCTTCCGCAAGAGTTAGTAGCCTTGGAAAAAAAATATCGTATGTTGACGTTGCTCGACTAGCATAAAAAAAAGAAAAGTTCCTTCTCGGGCCTACTGGAACAACATGAAAGTTATGTCTTTGCCTTCTGAACTGGCCGACTTTACAGACGTCGAGCAAAGACTTTTGTCAAGAGTAGTTTCTTTTATGAAAATTATTAAGCTACAAAATCGTTTTAGCCAGAGTTGCTGTCGTGGAGTTGTTGTTTTACTAAAGACGTCGTCGAAGTGGCAGGAGTAGTTACCGTTGCCTTTAACTCAGGCAGGTATTGTGTTCGTAGTTAAAACACGTGTAAATTTACCAAATCACAGGCAGTTTCAAGTCCATGCGGTTAATTCTTCCACTGAAGTAACAACAATAGGGCAACCTTTGGATATTAATGCCAACGATCAATTTGACTTACACCATGATGATAATGACTTAGGAGACTTAAATAATTATGGTATAATGCCAGACGTTTATATGTATTCGTAAGCTAAATATTGAACAAAGGGATTTAATGAAACGAGTATCTGACTCCATTAATAAACCACTTAGAAAATGATGAGAATTACCAACCCTTACTTTTATTCATAACAGAAAGAACTGGGAGCAGCAAATCCTTTTTATTAAAATTAATAGTCAAACATGTCGTCGTTGCTATTCTCCTACTGTGGATTCGTTACTTCAACCTACTTTTATTGAAGTAACGTCTCTAACAGGGGTAGCTGCAAGACAAATAGGTGGTCTTACTTAACATTCAGTTTTCTCGTTACCTAGTGTAAAAGGTAATACAGTAACTTTTAGGAGAATGACAGGCGAAAGATTGAAGAGGAAAAGACTCATATGGCACGCACTTTAGTCAATGATTAGTCATTGATGAAATATTGATGGTATCATATCAAAGTTTCTGACATATTCATTTGAGGCTACAAGAATACAAAAATAATAGTTTGTAGTTTGGCAGTATCAACGTACTTTTATTAGGTGACATTATGCAAGTGCCATCAGTGAAAGGCCACTGGTGTTTCGAGCAGCCGCCATGGTTGAGTGCTGAGGTGCACTTATGGCGCCAGTTTTCATTTTGTGAGCTAACCTTCAGCAAGCGCTAAAGATCAGACAGTGAGTTTGTAGATCTATTAAATAATTTACGGTTTGGGGAAATTACTACAATGCACTTAGAAATATCATGTGAATGACGCTGGGTAACTATTACAGGTGATTTTGCGTGAGGCGCTGCAGTAAGAATATTCCCCACAGTGAAGTTAATTGAAGACTATAATTCCCGAATGACAGAACTGTTAGCGAGAGAGTGCTAAATATTTACAGTTAATGCTGTGGACGAGTCCCTAGAAGCAGCAATGTATGATAAGCGACCTCTGCATAACGTCATTCCTGTAGTGTAGATGTTAACAACTGTGGTGGGTTGTTACTCAGCATTAAAATAGGGATAGGCTCTAGGGTGATGCTAAGGAGAAATATGGCGGTCTTTGATGAATTAGTCAACGGAGCAATGGGTGTAACAAAAAAACCCCAGTGGCCAGCCCTTCGCCGTGACTATCTAACAGCAGTGTTAATGAAATTTGATGACGAGACGGTAGGCACTAGGGTAAAGGCACTATGCGGAGGGCCTAGTGTCAATCGCACCAACATCTGCAACTTTTCAGGCCAATAAAGGTTACGGTGATGTCGAGAAATTAATGCTGCTGCTAATTTTAAGTTGGGCTGTCACCGTTCACAAGCTCCAAGGTACGACAATAGAGAGGGCGGTTATAGACTGATAAATACAGTTAAATCCAAATTATTTTGTTAACTTATTTTTGAAATTTCGTTTTTTAATTCTTCGTACCGAGATTTCATAATAATATAATATGCAATCGTATTGGTTATAATATATCTCAGTTTTTCTACTCCGCACGCTCGCTCCGCTTCAGTGACGGGTGGCCCAAGACCCACTTATTGGGACACGGGTTAATAATAATAATATATAATCAACCTAAATGACACTCCTAAAAAAGCCTTACACAAACTAAAATTACATCGTTCATGTAAATAAAAATGTTCATAAAATGAAAACGACGTAGCCAAACTTTGTAAAAAAAAATATGGGACCAAATGGCAAGTATTGCGCATCAAACTAAAGAAGAATCACGTAAATCGGATCATAAATCTCAGCGTAATCGGTGTACATACATTATAAAAAATACCAATCGAATTGAGAATCTTCTTCTTTTTGAATTCGGTTAAAAACACAGCGGTGTACACTATAAAACATTAAGAATTCAACAACGAAACATAATAATTAATAGTCTGTCTCATATTTCATGAAATTTATTAGGTGAATGACAAAAAAATCTTCGAGTTCAATAAAATTATAAAAAGTTTTAGTCTTAATTTCACTTTTATGAGACTATTCAAGGTGCCTATAATTAGGTACGTAATTACGATTTTATAAAAAAAAAGTGCACAAAAAGTAGCACTACAAGTTTCCGCATGCGACTTCGTCTATGCTACTTTTTAATGTAAAAACAACATAGATAAAGTGTTGTACTCAAAACAACGACAATTATTAATCTTTTATTTTCCTACTACGCTACGACAACGGCTACGAAAAAGTAGTAATAAAATTCAATGTATTCAATTCAGAATTGTAGCTAATTATGTAATGTATATGTATTTCTATTTTCACCAAGATTAACAAGAAAATATAACAGACAGTCTAATAACAATACAATAACAAGATTAACAACAAAATGTAATGTAGTGTGTGTAAATGTAATTTTTACGTGACGTAGGCCAGTACGAGACCAATATGTTAGGAAAAAAATAACGTTGCCTACGTGGGCGCTCGGGCAAGTCTCAAGTTATCGTGGATTTACCTACTTGACGTCACGTCATCGACAGCTACATTCTTCATTTCGGCAGCCACGACTGCGCCACAAATATAAAATAAAATTTAAAGTTATTCTATAATTTGAACCCACCAAAAGGAAGCTGTATTCATTACCTTAAAACAGATCTACAATAAGTAAAATCATATAAAGAGTAAAATGTGCACTTAAACGTGCGGAGCGCAGCAGTCTATCTGCCAGCGACTAACGCTGGCAGATAGACTGCTGCGCTCCCTTTTATTTAAGGTAATTAAAAAAGAGATAGATGAGCGTGTACAGACGAGCTACTTAAAACAACTTGCCCGTGGAACATATGAATAGGTAGTATAAGGAACTTCTTTCTTCTATTTCTTCTTATAAATATCTATCTATCTGTATAAAGATAACATAAACAGAAGAAGTGTTTGGATAATTTGGAAATTATGTGTTTAATAAACGGCGAACGCAAAAAATATGGTATATAAAACTATCCATCAATTAAACATTCAGTTTTTAAGTAAAAATAATAACTTTTCTGAACTTAAATTCCTCTATTACAATTATTATACAATCCAAAAAATGCTTACGACCGTTTACGACGAAAGCATATCACGGCCGGGGTTGCCCAAGTCGTGGAGCGGCACAAGACCCAAGTAAATATGTGACGAAAAAAAATTGCGAATAATTAATTATTACTAAATTTGGGAGAAAACAGATCTTCGCTGGGTGCCCTATTTTTTTTTTTTCCGTGCGGAAATCCCCTCGGATACCACCTGTCGGTGGCATGTCGGACTCGAACCGACTAAAACCGCACGCCGTCTCGGGTACTAATAGCCGGGGAACCAGGTATACCCTTAGGAAGTCCCTGGTACCCCGACATACCTCGGGTCATCTACAGATGAGTAGACGACCCCCCCTCGTGTGAGAACCCCATGTTCCCTGTGCTCCCTGGAAGCGAGCGCGCTTCGCAACGCGCTCGCCGCCACCCCGGCCTGCTTCTGCTAGGGTGACAGATGGCCTCACCTCTCACCCTCAGGCCTGCGCTTATGGAGGACGGAGGTCGTTCTGCGACCTCCGGCGCCTGAGTCGCCTGCGGTACCTGGCCCGTTCCCGGGCCCGGCGGGCCGGGAGAGTCCTAAACCTCTCCCGGTCCCGCTCCGCCGTCTCCTTCGCGAGCATAACTTGCTCGCAGAAGGAGACGGCAGAGTTCCACGCACTCTCGCTCCGCACGATAGCCGCAATCAGGCTATCTAGCGAGAGAACTCCCACTCCGATGGCCGCCACGAGGTCTCGCCTCTGCTCAACCCACGCCGGGCCCTCTGCCAGCGTGTGGAGAGCCGTGTCCACGGTCTGGCCATCGCAGTGGTGGCACTCAGGCGTTGGCTCCTTGCGGATCAGACACAGGTGATCCCCGAAACATCCTTTCCCAGTGATCACCTGCGTCAGTCGGTATGAGAGGGTCCCGTGACGCCTCTCGAGCCAATCCTCCATAACGGGTCTTACCGCCGCGATGACGGCGTGCCCTCGCTGGGTGCCCTAGTTTTTCAAATACGTTTTTAAAATTTGTGCATGCTACCATTGGCGAGTTATTTAAGTAAAGCGAGTAAAAACAAGTGAAAAAGTGACGTAATTGTTATTTGTAGCTTCCTCGATAAAAGAGACTCGTGTTTTTTTACTACCGATATAACCGCGACAAGAAAAACGAACATCACTGTACATATGTACTGTATGTTACATTTTTTAATTGTATTTCTCGTGCCTAGTAAGTGCATACGTAATATATTAGTATCATCGTGCCTTATCTTCTATTAGCTTCCTACTTATTGGTTCACTATACTATTCCGTTTCTGCGCCTAGTTTCATTCCTACCGTGTTGACCATGTTCTAATTTTTTGAAATGGTTGAAGTTGACGTAGTATTGTAGGCTATTGCATTAGAAGAATAAATAATAATTATAAAACACAGAAGAGGAAATTTGTGATAAAAACAAGCACGCGACCTTGCACCTACCGACTATTACTTTTTCCAAAATTTAGACAACTTTTTAGTGGGTAAAAAATTCAATTCCTGAGAGGCAGTACAAAATGCCTTTGAAGAGTTTGTTGCCTCCCGTCCAGCTGATTTTTACAAGAAGGGCATCAATGAACTGCCAATGCGTTGGCAAAGATGCGTCGATTGCATGGGTGATTACTTCGAATAACAGAAATAAGTACTTTCACTTATTGCATACAAAACGGCAATTTCATAGGTAAAGACCTATTATATAAAACTTTACGGATATGATGAATCTGCTAGAGGATCAAAAATGTGAGCTCGGACATTCGTCGATGTCGAAATTATAGGCGGCTGTGTGTTATCCTGATTGTGATGTTATGATAATATAATATGTTGTATATTTTATTAAAAGATATAATTATGGTCTACCTATCTATGCAATGAATAGGCTTGTGTCCATAAATACCAAATCGCTTGGTTTATAGTTTCAAATTATAAATGAAGAGACATAGATAATAAAAAACCAGTCTATTTCTCATAAAAGTTAAAGATTATTAATAATTTTCTAAAATAAATTAGAACAAAATAGGCATTAAGTCACATGACAGCCAACACTAATCACAAAATGTTACGTCACGCCACGCAAAACATCATTGTTGTTGTTGACGTTTTCATACAACAGAGCAGGTTACTCCTTATTGTTTTTCGTTTTTAGCATATTTTCTCACCTTAATACAGATTCAGTTGACACTGGACACAGATGTAAACAGTTTTGTTTTGCAGACTGTGACGTCATTCAAGACGCCATGACACTATTCAGCGTTTTCAAGGGAACTTTAAATTGTTTTTTTAAATACAAAGTATGTAATGTAAATCTTGCATTTTCTTTAAAATATAGGTATTTTGGGATAAAATAGATATTAAAGTAGGGTAAGTCCGTTAGAGATGGCCATAGTTTTTTTGAGGTGAGATTAATCTGAAACCATGTAAGATTTTACGAAGCTGTTTATTTTATATTAAAGTAACATTATTAGACCTTGTGAAAATTAACATAAGTAACTCGAATTACTTAAGTAACATATGATAAAAATTAATAGAAAAAAAATTACGTTTGGCCATCTCTCCCGGCATGCCCGGAAGTCTTAGCCATAGTAGTATGGGATAGATGGCCAGCGCTGCGTTTTCCTATTCCTTTCCCCTTGCCTTTTGTTTTCGCTGCTATCAGCTCTATTTTTTTCTTCTGTCCACATTCGGAACACACATCTTCAAATTCCGTACAGTTTTCGTGTACCCATAGTTCACAAATCAGGCATTGTATCCAGTCTTCGACCAATTTAGTCTTATAGTGATTTTCGCCACACCTTTTGCAATTATTTACCTCGTCATCCATGTTTTCAGTGTCAGAACACAAAACTACATCTTCTTCATCACAGCTAGTTTCTGAAATGCGACGAATAGCTTTTCGCTTTCTTGCCTTTGGTTTGTTAGTTACCTTTTGGTCTTTGGTATGATTGATATTATTTTTTTCTACTTTAATCAGTCTCTTTGTCTCTTTAATAGTCTTTTCTTTCTCTTTGATTTTCCTGCTTTTTATGTGCGCCTCTGAAGTCAAAAGCAAAGCGACTTGCTTGCTGCGTTTCCGAGCTTCTACGACTTTTTGAGGGACAGAAGAGTTGTCTTTCAAAATTCGTGAAGGTGTATAATTTTCTTTGCTACCGCTGGGTCCAGGATTACTCAATGTACTCACGACTAGTCCTTCAAAACTACCGCTAGGTCCAGGATCGCTCGATGTGTTCGCGACCGGTTCTTCAACAAGTTGCGAGGCAAATGTTGTTGTTTCAGGTTGGAAAATAGCTTCATGCTGAACAGCAGTTGTTTCAATCTGGATGGCAGTCATTTCTGGTATGAGATTTGGCATTGACTCTGAAGACCCTCCAACAAATGCATATTCTGGAATTGCCCTCGGATTAAGAGGAAATACTCCGCAAGCCTTAAATCCAGTAATAGCGTTTTCTGCTGAAGCTGTCCTTCCCCAGGCTTTATTTAGCAATGATCCAAATGATAATCCGGTGATACGACGATTAGGATTTCGTTTTACCCAAAGTCAACACTCTTCATAAAAATTTATTTTTCAGCGATTTGAATACAGCCCGATCTAATGGCTGCAAGTAATGTGATGTGTGGCTCGGCATAGATAGCAGAAAACACCCCTTCAGCATTGCAACACCCTATCACGGTAGTGGTTTCCCCTTTCTCAGTTGAAGTTGTCATAGATACAGCTTTAGAACCTTTTTCTGCTAGAAGGGCGGGCGGTGCAGGGCGGTTATTAAGTTGTAGGCCTGTTTCGTCCATGTTAAACAACCAGCCGGGTTTTGCCAATAAATCGTGTTCAGTTAAAAAAAACTTTCCAGTAGATTGAAGTACGTGTTTACTTCATCTCTATTCATAGCCTAACTACGAGCCACTGACACGCCTTCCGATTTTCTAAGTACAATATCTGGGTGTCTACGCAAATACATTTGTAACCAGTCGTAACCAGCTTTTTCTGTTGTTTTGTTAAATTAGTGTTTCAAATTCAAATTTTCCGCAAATTTAAATGGAATTTTGGCACTTAATTATTTGTGTGTTTTTACTCATATATATAGCCTGTAAAAATAGTTGTTTTTAAAGAAAATAAATAAATAAATAAATAAATCAATTTTAAAAATCTTACTGCATTAACCAAATAATGAAAACAGTAGTTGCAAAAAAAGCAAGTGACCTAATGTCTTAATATCGAAATTTTATTTAAGAATTGTGTAACTACCTGTACCAATTCAATACTAGTATTATACTGTAAATTTTAGAATGTAAAATATACCTACTGCACGGCCGCTTTTTTGTAGCCATTCGAACTCGGTCGGGTTGTGTACGAATTGCGATGGTTGTTGGTATTGTGTTTGTATTTCGTTAATTATTTGTGTACCCCAGCAAAATAATGTCGAAAATGGTCATTTAAACGTTATAGATTATTAGTTGCCCCCCCTTCTGTAATTGCTGGCACATTTTTTAATTTGTTTCAGTTAATTTTTTTTAAGCTATTTAAAAAAAAACATTTCCTGCTGGCTGCTGGACATTTTCTATTTTAATTGTAATATTGAAATAAATGTTAGCTCAATAATTAGTTATCTGCACTAGGTAAATGTTACAACTTATTTGGTATTTGTATTTTCTTCGGCTGCGAAGTTATTCGAGATCCTTCTGGAGTAACGTTTGTGGGTTTGCTGGATCTCTGAAACGGGTAAGCGGATTGTAACCATCTTTTGTACATAACTTCTTAAGGATTAGTTTTAATTTCTTCGACAATAAAATAACAAAAATAATGGACCGTTTAAAAATTATTTAGGTAAGTATGAAAAAACTTCAATACGTCCTAACGCTTTAAATAAGACCTCTAAAGACTTACTTCAAACGTTATTCTATTGCTTGTAACTATCTTCAAATGTATACGAATTTTCGTAAGTATACTGTAAGTGACTAAAAAGTCATGATGAAATGTGGCTCTCCACGTTCACGATCACAATGTGTGTGGCCTTTTTTGGCCACCGATAAACCTGTGTGTGGATATATAAACTGAATGTTATGCCAATAATTAGTTGTTTAGTTCAGTTGTCTACCTGTAAAATTTCAGCGTAGTACATATAATAATTTACGAGATAATTAAATAAAAGTCATTTGAAGGTGCAAGACCGTGGTAACCCGACCATGTTTAGGTGGTTACAAAAAGCGATCACCCAGTACATTGTGCTGGCTTTTAAAATATGTAGGATATTATTTGCAAGTTTACTACGGATATGTACATAAGTGTTACAAAAAACTACATGTTTTTTAAATATTTTTTATTTAGGATTGTTTATTGCATAATTAGTAATCAGCCGGGAGATTAGGTATTGTTTTGAATGCTTTTGTTTTCTCGTAATGTTTAGGTGAATTGTTTATAGTTGTTCATAGAATTGGTACCTGCGTAGTATTTGTTAGTTGAAGTTTAATTTTAGGGTAGGTATAGGTAATTTAAGAAATATGAAATGAAATGATAATTTTTGAAGAGTGTAACGTATGCGTTGTAAATAGGTATTTTGTGAATAGATGGGGTTTTTTTTAAGTGATGAATCGACTTAGGCTAGCATATCGCGAACAAACTCTGTATTGCATTATTTCTGTAATAATGTTGGAGAAAATAAAATATTTGATCACAAAATCGCGGTGAGTTAAATTATAGTAAAATAAATTATTTATGTAAAATTAGTAATAAGTGATATACCTACCTAAAAGTTATGATCGTTTTTAATTTGTTCACCTTGAACGAAATTTCAATATTAGCATTAGGAATTAATATCCTAAGACAAGAATTGACAATTACTTCAATTGAATCGAATTAGCATTAATGCCTATTATTAGTAATTAGGTACACACATATTGAAGAACTCTCAAGAATACGATAAATATTTGCAAAAGTAGAAAGCGGAAGCGCACACGTACTTTACAACACGTATATTATTTGCCTAAGGGTCAAGTTTAGTGCACTAGATGCAAATTGCAAACAATGAAGTATCCCTTCGCCCCTCCCCTCCCGCGTTCTAGCGAAGGATGTATTATCAGCGATTCTTGATTGACAAATATTATCTGACCAATAATTTTATCTATAAAAATGTATCACTTTCACTCGATAAATTAAATTACCGTTATTATATCAAAATATCATTCAACAACTGTTCGTTTTTAACAGAAATCAACAATCACAGGCTTAACGCTTAGCGGTAGGTACATAGGTATAGATAATTCTCGGTTCTAGGTATAGACAACAGAACAATATTACCTACTCTTAGGAGGTATACGACTGTTGGGCGATGCAATGTTGATGCATTCTAATTTACAACTGTATTCTTCTACTATTCGGTCTATTTTAACTTATTGTAGATGACTTGTTGCTTTAAATATTTTGATGCATTCAAGTCTAAGCTCTATACACCCCAAAATAAAATACAATTACTTTATTAATTACGATTTCTTATTGGTTTAAATTTTCGTTTTATTGCAGTCAGGTGAATCGTTCATACATGTATCTACATATTTATAATTTTAGCGGACCAGTGCAGATTTTCTGTTGATTGTAGCTCCGGTAGTAAAAAAGACTAAAGAAATTTTAAGTAAAGAAACTAGTGCTTAAGATCAATTAGGGAAAAATAAATAAATAATAGGTAATAATAATGAATAAATATTGAATGTATTTAACACTGTACGCAACTGTACCGAAATCGTAAGGTGTATTACACTAAACATTTTAAAAGACAGCGCAATGTACTGGGTGATCGCATTTTTGTAACCACCTAAACATGGTCGGATTACCACGGACTTGCACCTTCTAATGACTTTTATTTAATTATCTCGTAATTTATTATATGCACGACGCTGAAATTCTACAGGTAGACAACTGAACTAAACAACTAATTATTGGCATAACATTCAGTTTATATATCCACACACAGGTTTCTCGGTGGCCAAAAAAGGCCGCACACATTGTGATCGTGAACGTGGAGAGCTACATTTCATCATAACTTTTTAGTCACTTACAGTATTCTTACGAAAATTCGTACACATTTGAAGGTAGTTACAAGCAATAGAATAACGTTTCAAGTAAGTCTTTAGAGGTCTTATTTAAAGTATTAGGACGTATTGAAGTGTTTTCATACTTACCTAAATAATTTTTAAACGGTCCATTATTTTTGTTATTTTATTGTCGAACAAATTAAAACTAATCCTTAAGAAGTTATGTACAAAAGATGGTTACAATCCGCTTACCCGTTTCAGAGATCCAGCAAACCCACAAACGTTACTCCAGCAGGATTTCGAATAACTTCGCACCCGAAGAAAATACAAATACCAAATAAGTTGTAACATTTACCTAGTCCAGATAACTAATTATTTAGCTAAAATTTATTTCAATATTACAATTAAAAAAGAAAATGTCTGGCTGCGGTAACGTTTCAAACGTTACCCCAGCAGGAAATGTTTTTTTGAAATAACAAAAACAGTTTAAGTGAAACAAATTTAAAAATGTGCCTAACAATTACAGAGGGGAACAACTAATTATCTATAACGTTTAAATGACCATTTTCGACATTATTTTGCTGGGGTAACGCACACGGACTATCCGCACTGGTTGTAAAAGATTCGCGCGAAAAAATATCGGTGCGGACGGGGCCTAAAAAATGACGGAAGCTTTGAGGTAACAAACAAATTATACTCAAATAGAGAACCTCCTTTTATTTAAGTGGATTAATTAGAAACATTGTAAAATATAATAAAGGAATTAAGTGGTTTCGACGGGGGTATTCCTTTACGTTTCCAAGGGGTCATAAAAAACTGTGTATTCTATGCGGTACATTCTTATTTTACATGTACACCAGGTCGATACAGCTATAATTGAACATTGGTAAGAATAAATGAAACGCTATAATATCAATCTTTTATAAATGTTGGTAGGTATAGGTCAAACGTGGTACATTTAAAATCAGAGGAAATATTTTATCAATTTCATATCAAAATGGAAACATTCATGCGTTATTTTCTACACTTTATCAAAGTATTTATTGTAAGAAGTGTTATGCCATTATTACTTGCATAGGAACATGAGCCATGTCGATATCAGTGAGAGGGTGAAACTGGAACATCTAGATCGTTATATACGAAATATACATATGACTAAGCTAATGTACAGTATTTTATACATATTTTGATATTAAATATATAAAGAATAGGAGGAATGATTTCACCCCATCACTAATCACTTATCCAAATACTCTGCCAATGCATAATATAAATGCGATACAAACTGAGGGCATTACCTATCAGTAAAATTATTTTATTTCAGAATGTTAATTTATAAATATTAATTAGCAGAAAAAAAAAGACTTTTATATAAGTATTACTTTTAGATGACTTTATAATTAAGCAATGTATATATAAATGCGATAGAGTGTAGAAAATTGAAATATTATTGAATGAGCATAAAACCAATAAAACGTGGCACACAATTTGTACTGCAAAGTAAGCTGTTTGCAGAAAACACCTAATAGCACATTGCCAAACTGAAAAACTCGGATTAAGAACTATTTTGCATCTGTAATTGATTGAACACAAGGGGAAAAAGTAAGATATTTATATTTAATAAAAATATTTCACCTAAAACCCAATTAGTTTAAAAAAAGCTAGGTTCTCAGTCATACTTGTAGACCTGCAATTTTAATCCTATGAAAAATTTAAACACGAATTGATAAAATTAATATATTTTACTTACAAATATTGTGAACTTAAATTATTTGTTACCTTATACTCAGATTACAATCCCTAGAAGGTATCAATACATAATTGTATGTTTTATTGGTTTTAGCTATATACAAAGAAAAGAAGTTGATTAAATATAGAGGCGATCATCATTTACAAACTAATTAATAAGAAATAACCATTTTAATACTTTAAGACATAAATAATAACACATTTTAAACAATTTAACTTGCTTCTTTGACTTAAAATCTCTTATTACTATTTTGACTACACTAATAGTATAACCAAGTCCGTTATGTTACATTGTTAATTATGCTATACTGACATAATGTAAAGGCGGTAGGCAGACAACTCCTTAACACTACGGACTCAGAAACAGAGTGCAAAATAAGCGTCGTGAATAGATAATATGACTGCAGGGCTACTTTACATGAAATATCCTCTCTTAATAGGAATAACCTTTTTAAAATTGCTTTAAGCCCTGTTTAATAAATAAAACTTACTATTGCAAATGGCATGTAAAATAGGGAGTTTCTGAATTTAACCAGTAACCATCAGCAGCATTGAAGAATTAAGGGACATTTCAAGTACAAAGCTCTGTTTTCAGTATCTTCAAATTGACACAGTTCCATTAAACACATACATAGACAAACTTGCATCACACACCTTCACTAATCACCTAACAGAATTAGAGAGATCTACATCGAATCGAATCGAAATATACAAATATATTTCGATTCTTGTAATGGAACTTGTCTTTACATAAAATTTTACTAGTCATAAGTACAGTAAAGTATGATTGACATAATTATTGCCATGTTAACAGAGTATGGATCTTTGTAAGACTGTCAGGTCAAACAAGAATTTTTTTAGCTTTATTATTGCAACATACATACACATAAATAGCTACATAAACATAACAACCACACACACACCGACAGACACACACACTTTATTCTATTAATATGGTGACTTGAACTAGCGTAACTTAATAATGAATAAATGATCAGTCTTAAAAATTCATATGGTCTTATCGCAAGGACCACAGTATCATGTCTGCAATGCATTGTACTTTTTGATCCACTCTGTCGCTGAGTCAAACTTAAATACATTCAAAACTTACCAATAAAATATTAACAAAAGAGCACGGCATGTTACATATTTTATAACAAAAATGTCAGCATATTTAAGCAAACATTAGTTTAATCACTGTATAGAATTACATTAGCTAAGTCAGAGTAAACATACAAACTGTGAGTCTTAATGCTTACAAAATAAAACTGTGAAACATGATTGTTCACTGTTTAGATTCCAAAAGTTGATTCAATCAGACATTCAGTGGTCTCATAATTTTTTATTGTTCATATAATTAACTGGTACAGTTAAAGGGTCCGTTCATTGCTGTATCATGTTTGACAAATACATGAGTAGTGAAGATGGTTCTTTGTAATTATATCATCCACACTTGTGACATGTGTCCAATATGCTTTTTATTAAAGTTGAACAATTAACAGTTTTCTTATAATGGTTTAAAACATACACCATTTGATGCCAACTACACTACCTATTTAAATCCTAAATGATTAAGACCTAAAGTAGAAGTTTGAATTAAAGAATGCTTATATGAAGCAATACATAATTACACTAATCAGTTTAATTGAATAAATACATTATTACCTTATGTTTGAATCAACTATGTCTCATACACAGAATTACTCTCTTCAGGAGAATTCAATAACATGGAATGCTCGAAACTTTCTGTGTCTATAATTTAGGGATGGCGTAAAGCGCCCATAATAATTTACTAAGTTTACATATAAAATATGCATTACACTGGGATCTTATTCTGAACAAAAAAAGCAGTAACACTGGATTAACATTAATTCATAGATTATACTATAGATTCTATACCAAACTCTTAATTTATTAGTGAAATGTCACCATCATTACAAACTGTAGGTATATCTCAAAGAATATTATCTGCAAATGGCACACCAAACAAATTGGTGACGTAAATATAGTGACTAATCTGAAACGCCATTATTTAATAATGCACCTACTGTAATCAAATTTATTTCAAATGACTATTATAAATCAATTTATAAAGTCCAGTTTTAAAATTAATAAAAAAAAATGGATAAGTCAAACACCTCCTTTAGCCGCATGCCTATGTACCCCCCTGCATAACACTAAAAGCCAGTGATAAGTAAATGTCTTGCTCAGTAATGTTAGTCCTAAATTACTTAAATGCAGGGTGATTTTACTACTTATGCCATATGCTTTTAAAATCACTAAACTGATATTTGAACAAAAGGTTTTATCAATTTAAATGAAATTAATCAATTCAAATTATTGCCTTCCTTGGTATTAGTACTCTATTTTCTATTACACTATGCAAGTTTGACAATGATTCCCTTAGATTACTTCCAGGCTCATTCCTAATGGTTGCAAAATGAAAAATAAAATTGGCATGCGGCCTACATTTAACTAACTGTACATCCTTCATTGTCTTATCTTACATAAGTCAGTCAATCTTCTTTCCATCCACAAAATATTCTGCAAAAGGCTCCATAAACATAAAACTATCAATATAATTACATTTGAGACTAAACTAAGCACAGCGCCGACCGGCGTACGCGCCATTGCATCCAGCTAATTCTATCACTTATCGATTCGACATCAATGCGTTAAAAAAAAACAAAGATGCAGACTTATCGATTCGTCACTTTGGAAAAGATAACTAAACAGCTAAAATTTAAAACTATATTCGAGGAGGGTCAGGAGTGCTCGCTAAGCTGAAGCAAATTTACGAGCCAATAGTTCAAAATGCTTTTAACGCGATCACGAATGCTTCACCACGATAACACCCGGTCTCGGTGGTGGCGCATGATCTGCCTTCTTAGTCAGAGCTAAAGGAGCGTCGCCTACTTCTTCACGGAATAGATGATCACCTTCTAGATGGCGAATGGCCTCCACAATAGTTTCCAGGTTTTGTCGACTTGTGCTTGCTAAATACAAGCGTGATGCTGCATCATGTGATGCATCTGGCAGTACTTCCACCTCGACACGGGGTTCAGCCTTGATGGCTGCTTCCAATAAAGGAGCAGCAACCACAGGTGTTGTAACTTCTACAGGTGGAGTCTCAACTTCCTCACTCTCTAATTTACAATCAGCAATATCTGTCTGGTCAAAATGTATCACTGGACGAGGCAGTTCATGTTCATTACTGGGATAGATTTGTGCTTCCAGTGTATGTAGGCGCTCTTCTAGGTGGCGCCGGAGTCGCCGTTCACGATCCAACTGAACACGCAATTCATTGCTCTCAGGGTCTTTTTTCTGTGGTGCACTAGTAACAGATATTACAGGAACAGGTTCAGGTGATCGAGTATTAGTCATTGTATCTTCTGTAGAGTCAGGTATAATAGCTGGTACATGAGTAACAATTTCAGCTTTCCTCTTTTTCAAAGGAATTTCGCCACCTTCATGTTGGTTGAGCAATCTTTTTAACTGACAATTTTGAGAGAGTAGCCTGGTTTTTTCTTGCTCTAAATTATATATATATTCAGCAGTCTGTTGCAGTATGGCAGCCTGTAAAATACAAAAAATAAGTTCAATTTAAAAACTAAGTTATTAAACAATCTTATTATAGTCCTGTTCTATTCCATAACTAGTGATGGTCTACATCATTAGTTATGGAATAGTAACTTCTCAGGTATCAAATCATCATCTGCCTACCCTCTTCCCAATTTTATTAGGGGTCGGCGCAGCATGTATGATTTTTCCATTCTACTCTGTCATGCGTCATCTCACTGTTTACTCCCTTCCTAGCCATATCCTCCCTCACGCAGGCCATCCACCTTTTCTTCGGTCTGCCTCTTCTCTTGTACCCTTCAACTCCCATACCTAAAACTTTCTTCGCCACATTTTCCTCATCCCTCGGCATGACATGTCCATACCAAGATAACCTATTATTTCTTAACTTTTCATCCAGTGGCGCTACTTTCAGACTCCCTCATATATACTCATTCCTAACCTTGTCCATCTGAGTCACACCACACATCCATCACACAGGTATCAAATATTATAACCAAATTGTGGATACAAACATAAACAGTATAATATATGATACTAGGGCTCCAAAGCCCTCCCTATAAAAGGTTAATACATGTAATAACTTAATTTTGAAGGTAACATGTAGCTTTATCAGACTTTTCACAACTTAAAACTCCAATTGTGAACATGAACTCAAAGCCAGACAATATTTTCAAAAATTTTACAGATTACTATTTACAATTATATTCAATTCCAACTTCATAGCCCTGAAAGGATTAGTTAGTTTTTTTTTTTATTAATATTATTGTTTTTTTAGTTGATTATCAAATTTACTAAAATGAATAAGAAGAAACATCTTATTAGACATGTTTTTATTATGATAGAACATGAACTAAAGTTTGTCAATAACATAAAAAACAAAAAGAAACTGATTTATTTTACCAAAACAATATTTGTGATAAACTTTTAGATCTGCTATGGGTTATTTAATAGAAGTGTTAGGAACTTATTTGAATATATAGAATAGCAGTTGTTAAGTTTAAATATAAACTTACTTTGCTGAGCTTTTCTCCCTCATGACGTGGTAACAAAGTACGTAATGCTTGAAAGCCAGCATTGATGCTCTGCATACGTCTTCTTTCATTGCTGTTAGCAATCTCTCTTCGAATCCTTTTCTCTGCCTCCATGGTCTTACTTCCAGAGTTTGAGTGCTTTTCACTGAGAATTGAAAATTATGTTAACAACTGATTTCAAGAAATGTTAGTCACTACATCTGTGTGAAGAGTTTCGGCTTTAACATAACTTGAATTGACATGGCAAAGGAAAGCTTTAATTCATATTTTCCATTAAAATTATTTCATTTAAAGGAAATCATTAACATTGGTGGGAAATGTTAATCACGTTAGTAGTATCCGTTTTCCGATTAAGTTAAAAATAAGTAATTAATTGTTTGAAAATAATATTTACAATGTTTTTTCAAATATAAAACATGAATGGCTTTATTTACGCTAGATCGTACATATGTTTGATAGTACATTTGCGATATGTAGGGGCGCCTACTACGCCTATTCGATTTGACCAAACATGGCGGACCAACAGCTGACTATGAACCGGCACGGGGCGTGAGCGTCATCATATGGCCCGCGCAAACATCAATTCGTAAAAAAGTCAGAAAACTAACATCAATTACATGAAATTAAAACCGTTTATAGAAGGAACTTACATTATTAGAAGCAAATAAACATGGATTCGGTAACCACGCCGGTTGTACATACCTGGTTAGAGCGTGATCAGATGCCTCCTCTTCGTACAAGTTGTAATCTTCTACTTCTAGCAAACAAACGTCATTACCGTGTAATGACATCACTTATGTACACTTAATATTTATTCCGCATTTAAATTTGAAGAAACACACTTAAAATCGTCGTAATGATAAATCCACAGGCCACAATGGCGGGAAATGACAATGAGCTCAGTCAGGTGACGCTACACTAAATAAAGAACACACCAATTCTATAAGCACTGACCACACTGTTTATAACATTTATGATGAACTAGGCAAAGTTCCGACAAACTATTTCAGTAAAAATTCTTCAGATAACTTATAAAAACAGTAATTATACAGAAGGAGTCAAGGGCAACGCGACATCAATGCATACTACACAATCCATAGACATCTTCGAGGTACTGCATTGAAAAATAGAAAATGATCATAGACAATAAATTTTTGGACTGGAGTCAATCAAAATTTCCGTCATAAAATTTAAAATTAAGTCGTTTGATCAGAATAATAATACAAAATGTTTCATTTAAACATTCTAGTAGATTTATATATCTTTAAACATAAAATAAATTTAAAATCTCAATTAGTAAAATTTTCTTAATAGTCAATACGAAAAAAAAACCTTCACATCACACATCACATCAACCGCCTTTAATAGTCCACTGCTGGACATAGGCCTCTCCTTATAAAGAAGGTTTTGGCCTACTATACCACGCTGGAAAACCTTAGTAACTCAAAAAAAGGAAACGGTAAACAGTATGCGGCATTGTTATTTTCATGAAGTCGAAGTGAGAATTAATAGAAAAATATTACGCTTATGGGTTTATTAGGCGGACCTTAGTTACTAACAAACATCATACTTGACATAGCTTTTTGTGCAAAAGTTCACTTTTCTGACTTGTTTTTGAGTTGAGATTTATTTGCTGTATTTATTAATTTCGCTACCGTGACATGTATAAAGTCGAGGATTAGATCTTCATCAAAGCATAATAAGATTATCCTGTTAATAAATTATAGCCATGTAAAAATTTATCGAGACTTTCTTTTCTGCAATGTTGGTAGTCTCTAGTAAGGTTGGTAGCATTGAAGCGTCTCGGTTAGAATGTCCAATCACAGACAAGTTAAATTTTGAATTATTTTCTAGGTGGGGATTTCGTCCTGTGCCGCCATATTGTGTTGAGCTGTGAGTGCTGGAAGTGAATATTTTACGTATTTCTGTGTAAAATCTTTGACGATTATTTTACGGACTGAAAAGCGTAAAGGTAAGTAGCAATTTAATATTAGTTTTTGTCATAATTTCCTCCGCTATATTATATTTACACCAAGACTTAACAAGCCGGCTGCACAAATTATTCCAGCATCGGTAAGCACATACAGGGTACAGGGACCAACTAGCTTTCGAAATAAATGATTTATTTATTAATAATCCTACTAAAGTACAATTTTGTTGGAAGTTCCTGTTGATGTGAATTTTATATACAACAAAATTGTAACATCCATTTTAAATGTAGGTACATATCGGAGTAGGTACATGATTATTCTTACTTTTAAAGGAATAACTAATTTATTAAAAGTTCGATATAAATGTAAAAGTGCCGCGGTAGCACGTGCATTGGTATACTACCAGTAGGGTGGTATATGACTAGATACATTACTGTTTAAAACCCTATTCTGCCATACGTTCTTTGTGATTAACAACGGAACGATGAATCATCGTTGTGAGTAACTGGGGGAGACAGTAATCTGCAGAACAAGGGTGCCCTAGGTGTGTACGAACATAGGTATGTATATTCAATTTGCAGTCAGTACACGTTTCTTACTTAATCCTTATTAACCATTCAATCGGGCGTTACCTACTGGTTAGACGATCAAATCAATTGACATGCCTTAATATTTGAAACTAAAGCTTTGGAATAATTCCTTAGAATATAATTTAATTCCTTCTAATTTAACATGTCATTGTATATAAAGTGATAGGGAAATTTAATTTTTAGATACTACATCTAGCCGTTTAGTTTGAACTGGAAAGCTTTATAAAATATGAAACATTTACGAGAATTAAACCCGACGGTTTAATTTGTTTTGGGCACGCCCAAGTAAGATTTTCATTAAGAAGCAGTGGCCTGTGCAGACCGTTCTACCAGTCTAATAAATGAAATGAAAGTAACAACTAGAAATGTTTGAATTAAGTCGATTTTTTTCATTTATGTCAACAAAATAAATCATTTATAGCTTTTGATCTAAAATCTCAATAATTATTTTTACAAGTGTGTGTAAAAATTGAAAATAACAATTTATTTAATAATATTATCATAGTTGTGTTAAAATGTGCCTTGCTTTAAAAACGGTTCTACTACTTGTTCAACTCTTGTTGCAAGCTCAGTATGATGTACACAGTATATTATATACTAAGGATAACTACCCAATTTGAATAAAGAAATTGAGCTGCAAGGTGTTTCGCAAAATGTGGTTTTTATTAAGATGCAGGACCTCATTTATTATTTTATTCCCCTTTATCTCTCTATTTCGTAGTTAAGAATTACCATATCTATAATATCGATTGTCGTGATAACGATTCCTCGAAAATGCTAAAAAACAAACATGATCTTTTATCCTAACTCTTGTTTTTATTGTGGTTTTTATTATCTCTACACTCTTCTCAACAGTTTGTGTCGGTCATATTCATCAGGAGAAAATTGTTAGCAAATATTTTCCAAAATCGTGTACCTTACCGCGAAGTCTCTAATTTATCGTAAAGGAATTCACAATCCATACAAGCATAAAGGGTTTAGCAGTTAAAAGTAAAGTTAATTCGAATAAATATAAAAACTACAAGCGAGGTTTTTATTAGGTTATGTCCTAGGTACCAAAATGTTTAAGTTCCTTGACCCCAAAAGTTGTTAGGTACAGGTTTTTGATGCGCGTCTTAACTTTTATATAACCAGACTGTATTCCGCTTTGCGATACATGCAATATCATTGTCGTTTTATTTATGATATGCGGTTTCATTTTGTTTTAATATACTTAGTAGCAAACAATCCTGCGGTTTGCGTTAGTGACCCCGTCGCCGTACGGCCGAAGTGAGACAACATTCCGTTCGATTTTTATGGACACTTTCTATTAGCCAGTATTATAGTGTACGTTGGTACCATTGCTTGTATCATGGGGAGTGCTCCGAGGAATTGTTCAGCCTAATATCGGCCGCAGCTTTGCATTCTTACCACTATAATTGGCACTCCACCACTTTGCGCTCATCAGGTTTTTGCCTCGCACAACCAATCTGGAACAAATTGTTGCCTGCGGTATTTCCGGACCGATATGACCTTCAAGCTTTTTAGGAAAGAGCGTACTTCCACCTCAGAGGCCGGCACCTCACACATTCTTATAGTTGCAAGTGTCCATGAGTATCACTTACCGTCAGGGAACCTGCTCGCTTTCCGCAAAGAACAAAAAAAAAAGGGACCTGCTCGTTAGCCCCTATGTAATAAAAACATATACTTTTCTACGATATTTATAATTGAACATTTTACGAATTCACCGTTGCATATATCCGGTTTGTTTGTCTAATTGAGCATTTTTCCTGTGCCATAGTGACCGTGCCATAATGAGACCGTGTAGCTATTGCTAAATTGGTAGACTTAGACCAGGGATTCTCAAACTATTTTGGGTAAGAGACCCCTTTCCAAAATTAACTGATAACTCTTAAAATAATCCTATCTCAATTTTTTTCCTATTGATACAAAATACCAATTTATAAACTTTACCGTTGGTTAAGTGAGTTAACTTTATATTTTTTGATCAATATTTAACAAAATAAATAGGCATTTAGTCATGCTTACAACAAGTTTGTATACGTAACACAACTAATACAGTATCTTAAAAGTTTCAAATAAGGACTTGTATTAAATAATAAGGGTTGATTTTTAGACCTCATCGACCCCAAGGGGTCGAAAACCTATAGTGTACTTTCAGTTGACCTAGAATTGTCAATTTTGGTTAAACAATTAAAGGGAAAATTCCGAAAAATAAAATTAAGGAAAAAGTTGGTAAGGTAAACTTAAAAGTTTTTGTGAAAATCTAAAAAACTTGCCCATATCTTTTTATCGTGTTGACTTAGGACCTTTATTTTTATACACCTAATAAGGACTATAGACCTCAGTATCTGGTATAAATTTCAACTTGCTAGGTCCACCCGTTGCTGAGAAAATCGGTGGTGACACACGGACAGACAGACGGAGAGTGATCTTATAAGGGTTCCTTTTTTACTTTCGAGGTACGGAATCCTAAAAAGGTACATCTTGTTGGTACGAGTAGCAGAGCTAGCTGCAGTAAACTGTTTATCTCTCATTGACTTTTTTTGTGTGTTTGTTGTTTTGTGGTAATCGCATCCATATACTTGTCAAGTTTAAGGTCCAAGAAACAAACCTCATTGAGTATGTCTCCCAAAAGAATACAATCCTCGGTAGATCATAAATTGAAGCATAATGAATATAACAGATTGTACTGCATTCCATTAATACCAATTCATCATGTGCATCGTGTGAACCTATTAAACGATTAACAATGATTCTTAAGGGAATCAATCGTAAACGTAAATGGTGAATTGGATAATAAAAGAAGTTCTTTTTGATGATCATGTAACTTGATCAGTATATAATAGAGCCATGTTAATCTCTTATAATTTAATTTAATTCGTTCTCACTTCGAGGATCGAACATTTTTAGTAAGTTTCGAAAATGACTATATTTCATTCATACTAATTCATAGTATTTTCTCATAGTGTCATTTCAAAACTGTCGAGTAATTTTATCTTCTTAAGTTAATCAGTCAATAATGTTTGAGTCAAAATTTGAAGTGTTTATTGCATAGTTAAGCTTGCGAAAGAGCTGGCTTAGCGGGAACTTAGAGGTTTAGAACTCTACACGTAGTAGATGGCCCGAGGTACGTTGGGTTACCAAAGGTTTTTCTTTCTAGGTACACCTGGTTCACCGGCAACTGGTGTACCCGAGACGGCGTGCGGTTTTTGGTCGGTTCGAGTCCGACAACTATCCGACCGGTGGGTGGCATCCGAGAGGGTTTCCGTACAGGAAAAAAAAATAGTGTCTAATACAGTGTCTCTGAAGGGTGTCTCTGAGGGGGGACATCACATTTGTAATTATACATGAGTTAATAATACATATTAGTTTCTATAGCCAGTATTATATTTAAACTGATTGTGTTATTCAATTGAAGCAAGACTGCATTAGAACCGATAACCAATATTAATGAATTCTGAATATCACGTAATCAAAACTTCTGCGTGTATTGTTTGATTGAAACACAGAAAAATAAGCTGAGACAACATACATAATATTGTATATATTCTATTATATTTTTGTTAGAATATTTTTACTTATCAGAAATTAGAAAAAAAAAGGTGTAAATTAATTTAATTCGTGTCTCAAACAGACGTAATTTACAACTTTTTATGAAAATATAAAAGCTTTCGTAAATTCAAACTTAAAAAAGTTTATATTTTTATATTTTATTGTAAGTTTTTATGATTAATTCTAAAATTTAATACTGTAAAATAATTTTAATAAAATCACCTTATCTTCATCATGTAAATTATATTCAGATACAATTTAAAAATTAAGTAAAATAATAAATATTCTTTATTAGAACTTTAACAGTAGAACCTCTGTAAGCCGAACTTCAAGTTTTTAAATCTTTTTGTGACGCAGAGTCGGCAGATTATCCATATTGCAAAATAATACCGTGTGTAGCAGTCTTAAGAAAAATAACACGTACAGCCATGCTTTCACGTCAGTCACTGCCGGCGGACAGCGACGCACTAGCTAATTGGTTGAATGCACCCCCGCCCCGCGTCCCCCAAACCATGAGGAGGGCCAAGCTTACAGCGGTTTAACTATAATTGGTTTGCGATTTACATTTCAAAGGTTTAGAAGTGATACCACTGATAACTTCTTTTTTTCTCATTATCACTCAGGTATTTTCTTTCTCTTGCAAGTAAAAAGAAATAAAGGTTTAATTATTCTAATAATCTCATACAACTAGTCAGAGACACTTCTAGCGTTAATTCCAACCACCCCTCGCACGTGAAATAGGTACCTGCTTATAGTTCTTTCATGTAACATCGGTGGTGCTGTGTTACTTTGCGGTTTTAATCCGCAACTGGCCGGTGCTATTGATTTTCTACTCATTGTGCACGTGCTGTGTGGAATGGTTCATAATTCGGAATTGTATGCACCGCTTCACTATAATTGTATTATACCAAATGATTCCTTTATTTTCTCTTGATTTCCTTGAATATTTTTTTGTATTGATAAGCAATATTTTTAATGACATATATAACAGAATATATTTTTATTACGTTTTTTTATTATTTATGGGACTTTCTAATTTTATAAGTGAACTAATGTGCAGGAATATTAGGATACTACTACTATTTCACTGACCCTCACCGAAACCGACCTTTTAACAGTGTAACGATCAATCAAAATTTTCCTGAAGGTGACTTTCGGCCAAAATTTATTTAAACTTGAACTGTCACAAGTTTTTAGTATTACTTTAGTTTACTAGTTTAGTTGACGATCTTGGATATGCAACAATGCACTAGTCAAGGTCACACTTAACCTTTTACAATAATATTTAGCCACAGGTTTCGTGACTGTACAAGTCAATCCATGACACAGCTTTACTTGAGTGACCAATTCGATATGTAGGTACGAAGTCGAGTATGACGAATAAACTTTTGTTTGTTCTTATCTTAATTAAGATTGAACTTGAATTCTAATTTTAAATAAAATTGTAGTCAAAAACCTTTTTATAAATTTAATAAGAATAGGTAATAAAATTTAGAAATATTTTAATTTGTTTTTTTTTTTTTTAGTAACAACGTTTATTCTCATCACCCCACTACCCGTGTCCCGCTTTCAACAGTTCTCTATTTTCTAGAGTTACTTAATAACAAAACCTGAACGGAACCTTACTCTTGAGCGGACGCAAGTCAAGGTCACCGATACACATCAGCTCTTCAAAAACAAACCATCCCTACGTAAAAATGCCTCCTATTGTTGAATGACAATAATCAGTTTGGGTTGACTGGTTGAGCACAAAAAAAAAAACGGTTGGATAGCCGGGGAACTAAAGTCAATGACCTCAACGCGTAAAACAATTTTAAATAACTTCCCATCATGACATGATGAACGCTCTCAGTGCGATGTTCCTTCTCTGTAGATTTAAAGACAAAGAGTAGGTATACATATTAATGTATGTTATTGTAACTTTAATAGAGTTAAAAGAAAGCCCACTATACAAGCTATGTTTTCACAAATATGGTACGAATACCATAATGGGAATATACTTAAACTATACTATCAGTAATGCCGCAGATAAGAATGTAATGCTAATTGTTAAGTACTATTATTATTTTGGTCTTGCAGTGACTGTTAGACAAAGATAAAGAGAGTCCTGTGTGACTAATGTGTGGACTGTTTATATTTGTTGAGAATAATGAGTGGGATAATGAACGATAAAGGCAACGAAGCGCTGGAATTCAGTCCACTGCTAATCGTGAATGTGAACAATAACCATACTCGGTTTGTTTTACTCTCAGTTTCGTTTTAAACGTCGTAATAGTAGTTCGTTTCCTGTTCTCTGTGAGTATTGTACATTCGGTTTATTTTTTAACATTAATAAAAATAGGATGTGAAATGTGTTAACTAGTCATTTACACATAAAACAGTTCATCTTTGTGCTAACTTAACTATATTATTATAGAGTACTTGTGATAAATTGTTACAGTGAATCATCATTGTTGTGGTGAAGTTTTGTTATTTTTTACAGGAAGTAAGCTGTGTTTTATATACCGCGTAATTTTTTGTTAACGTTATGTATGAGTCAACGCGCCGTAGGTAAAAACACTAGTGATGCATCTCGTTGCACTGTAGTTCGAGATACTATTTTGGGCGGCAGTTAACATTTATTTCGAGCGAGTTCCCAGCACCGTGACCCACTGACGTGTTTCGTGTTCCAATTCGGTGCCCACTTGAATTACTTATTGTTAACTGCAGTGTTATTACTAGCATGTTTTAATTTGTAAGAAACAATAATTGAATAAATTAATTTGGATTAAATATATCATTCTTTAAAACGACTGCTGGTTTATCCTAAAGGACTAAAGCACAGTGAGACGTGTAATTTCATTGAATTCAGAAGCTGTTTATTTATTTTCACTCATCTGTACGGCAACACCCAAGGGTTCTCTTTTTTTAAATGTATTACAGCATTCTCTTTAAATGTTGTTTTTAATCATTCATGAATGATAATAATTTTCGGAGGATAGTGACAGAATTCCTGCTATACTTTTTGTCACGGTTTACAAATATACATTCATTGCAAGAATTATTGCTGTCACTACCTTGAAATAAGCGAGCTTAAAATGCTCGTAACTTGAAGCTCTCTTTTATAAGTGATCCAACAAAAAATAAAATTACATAGTTACTACGTCGTCTACTAATATATAGTGAAAAATATTTAAGTCTTTGTGAAAGAAAATCCTTTCAAGTACAATGGCTCATCAAAAACAGGTCGGTCTCTACTATAATACTAAAAAAAACAACTTGCAAAAACATATTGTACTCGTACATATTTCTTCTTCTTTAAGAGGTGCAGTCGTACAAATGACAATGTGTATGTTATTTTGTTGAAATGAAATGAAATGATACTTTAATTTCAGAAATATGGGTACATGGGCTGTTTATAGTTATTAGAACAGAATCACGTATTTCGTCAGTCTGTTCTGACATGCAAAATTTGAAACGTTCATGCATATTACAACGAAAGATTGATTTAATAACAAACTACTATGCTCATGTCAATAAATAATTTACATAATGTGAAATATATAATTGCAATGTCAAATTTTTTAATCCGATAATTTATTTCTAATATAGAACACAACATACAATAAAATATTATCAGGTGCTTTTGTATTTATCGCTCGTTTAGTTATTCGGTCACTGAGTATATCATTTTTTTCAAAAGCCATATTTTCAATTTCCTTTTAAATTTCAGTAGGGGCAACGTCTTTATGGTTGGTGGCAAGCTATTAAATATTTTGATACACATATTATAACAATTTTTTTGGAATAGTGTAGTTCTGGGAACAAAATCCAGGACTAGTCTTTCACTGCCCCGAGTGTTGCGTGGGAACATATCTTTTGCCTTTTTAAATAAACTAGGGTTACTTTTAACAAATACACTTACTTCAAAGATGTACAAACAGGGCAACGGTAATATTTCATATTTTCCAAAATAAAGTTTGCAAGATTCATAAGGAGGAATGTTAGTCATAACTTTAAAAAAAATATGTATACTTAACGTTATAATTATAGATGGTTAGTATTTTATGTCACGTACGGTATTCTAAATTTGATAGACCAACAAACTAACGAACGGATGTGGTTATCCATTCATTCCGAGTATAGTTTAGAGTTATAGTTTAGTAGTTATAGTTTAGAGTATTTGGAGAATATAAAATAAAAACGGTGGGTGTACAATGCTATAGATATTAAGACGTTAAATTTTTTGTGGGTATGTTATTTCGTGTTTTTCTTTAATTATTCAGGCCAAGATAAAGCATGGGTGCTAAACAGAGCAAACGCTCAGTTGATATAAGCGGTAAGGAGGCTGAGAGTGCAGGAGAGGTGGCGGCGTCGATCGCGGGTGGCGAAGGCCGCTTGGAGCCACTGGCCGATGCCGACGCATTGAAACCACAGCTTAACGGGGATGCACACATACACGATACGGTAATGTACACACAGATTTTGACAGACATGCGCCATTCAACAGCCGCCGTTTATTTGTACTCAAAACAAGAATGTACCGGTTCCAAAACATGCGTCATTGCGGCCTACTTGTATTGATGAAGCAGGCCATGTAAGTCTTCTCATAGGAATATAAATACTTGAAAAAGAAATTAAGTAGCTTACTGACTGAAAGTTTATAACTTACAAACTTCTCTTGAGTATCATTATGATCTGCGTAAAAAGGACAGCACACCCGCGATTTTGCTCTTGTAAGAGGTTTCTTTAATCTCCAGGAACGGCGGTTCATTTTTCTCGAATGTCCCGAAAGTATTTCGGATGATTCGGAAGTACCTGTACCTTTGATGCTCCAATAGATAAGTAAAATCGAGATAAAGAGGATTACGTTCAAATTGATAGTTTTAGTTTAAATAGTATTAATGGAGTGAATTAAAACGGTTTAATCATAACGGGGTTTTTATTGATCTGTTTACATTGCAGTCCCCTGCATATGAAATAATTAATAATACCATATGTGTAATAAATACTAGTTGAGTCAACTCAGCTACTTAGAAGAGTAACGCTGGGGCGAGATATACGAGGGGTGATCAATAAGTAATGATAATCGAGTATTTCTATAACGCACAAAAACCCAAATTATTTTTTTTCTGCTTGCTTATATATCCACTACTTCAGCTTCAAAAAAATGTATAAATAGGACACCATTACCGGGAGATACATTCATTTGAATACGAACTGTCGAAGAGAAAACATCGAAATGGAGAAAAATGAAATAAGAGCTGTCATCAAGTACCTCTGCCTGAAAAAAATGTCTACCAAAGACATACACAGCGACTTAGAGGAAACATTGGGGGAGTCTGCTCCTCCATATTCCACAGTCGCACGCTGGGCAAAGGAATTTAAGCTGGGCAGAACCTCCACTGAAGATGAACATCGCGAGGGACGCCCTTCCACGTCCCTTACTGGAGAAAACGTCAAAAAAGTGGAAGATATCATGTTGGCCGATCGAAGGGTGACCGTAAGGCATGTAGCTGAGGTCACAGGGATCTCCTATGGCAGCGTTCAAAAAATCATTGTCAACAAAATGCATATGAAAAAGGTCTCTGCGCGTTGGGTACCGAGAATGTAAACCGACGAGCAAAAACAGAAACGAGTCGACAATTCGAGGGTGAATCTTCAAAAGTTCCAGGCCGATAAAGAATTTTTTTTGTCGCGTTTTGTGACCATGGACGAGACCTCGATCCACCACTTTGATCCCGAAACCAAACAACAATCAATGACTTGGAAACGAGCTTCCTCACCAACGCCGAAGAAATTCAAAGTGTCAAGTTCAGCGGGAAAGGTTATGGCGTCTGTTTTCTGGGATGCAGAAGGAATTATTATGGTGGAATATTTGGAAAAGGGGGCCACTATAACAGGCTCTTACTACGCAGGCCAAATAAGAAGATTGCGAGAAGCTATTAAGTCAAAAAGACGCGGTAAACTGCGCGCTGGAGTGCTGTTTCACCAAGACAACGCCCCGGCTCACAAAGCCGCAGTTGCGATGGCTGCCATTGAAGAAACGGGGTTCGAACTGCTCGAACACCCTCCCTATTCGCCAGATCTAGCTCCCAGTGACTTCTACCTCTTTCCTCGGCTCAAAGAACACCTTCGGGGCAACAAATTTGAGGACAATAGTGAAGTGATGGCCGCAGTAGAGGCATTTTAGGAGGGTCAAGACAAAGATTTTTTTTCTAAGGGAATCATGGGCTTAGAAAAAAGATACACTAAATGTATTAACTTGCAAGGAGACTATGTTGAAAAATAAAATACTTTTTTAAATCTAATAGTTCTGTTTCATATTGATTATCATTACTTATTGATCACCCCTCGTATAGGAGAGCGGAGTCCCTCTCCTGCCCGCGACTTCTGCGCAGTGGTCTCTTTCGGTGAAGCTGTAATGCTCCAGAAAAAGACCGCTGAACGTGATCGGGACAGGGCCGATCCCGAACGTAGAGGACGTCGGCTCCGATATCAGCCGTCGACGGGGCCGCGGGCCGCCAGAGAGTGGAGACCTCTGGTGGCAGATTGATTCCAGCGGCAGGGGATGGAATGGCCGGCCTGATTGCATTAAGGTGCGATCGGGCTGCCATGTCGCGATTGAAGGGGGAAGTGTTCTCCCCTGGGATAGGGCCTGATTAGGCATGGTGTCAATTCGGGGAGGACCTGAAATAACATGGTCCGGGTCCTCCCCAGAGTAGGACACCTAAGGCCGGCCGTCGGGGTAGTTTTTAGTGGAATCACCACATACTCCTAGCTCCTGAGTCCCCGAGGAGCAGGAGATCCGAAGGGATTTTCCACCCCGTCAACAAAAAAAAATAAAGGGGTTGAAGTGAGAAATTGCCGATTTGTAAAGAAAAATTGAAACTCGTTTTTTTGTTAAGATGCAACATATTTATCCTCATTATCTATACATTGTTACTAAACGGAAGGACGGATTTCTGCCTTTACGATAGAACTCTGAGGATCTAGATTCGACAAACTGTGTAAAAGCATTTTGTACTGCCTCCTGGGAAGAATTTTTTTTATCACAAAAAATTATCTAACTCACGAAAAAATGGTAGCCCGTTGGAGCAAGGTCTGGCGAGTACGGAGGGTGACGTATGGTTTTTAACTGCATTTCCTGTAGAGTTACAACGGTTTCTCGTGCAGTGTGAGGTCTTGCGTTATTATGGAGCAATAATGGTGAAGATCGATTTACGAGTATGTTTCACTGCCAGTTTCGCCATCATTGTTCGAAGTTCGGCGCAGTAAACATCTGCAGTTATTGCCTGACCAGACCTGAGAAAGCTATAGTGAATAACACTATGAAGAGACCACCAAACGGTTACCATTACCTTATTATTGGTAAGGTTTGCTTTAGGGCACTGTTGCGGCGTTTGACCTGGGGTCAGCCATTGCGTTTTTCGCTTACGGTCATAGTAAACAATTCGATCCAATATTCCTTCATTTCTGTACCGATTCAACAAGGCAACACAAGTTTCGACACGCATTTCTTTCCGCCGATCAGTCAAATCATGAAGCACCCATATTTTAATTTCAGGCATGTTCATATTTTTTTATCTTATTGATTTGATGCAAATGAGTCAATATTGTAGGTAGGGTAACGATAAACCATGCCGCTAATTCCTGGGTAGTTTGACTCGGATCGGCCTCTACCATCTCCTTCAAATCAGCGTTATTCACGCGTGTGTGGTTTTCCACGTGGTTCCTTCTTCAAGTCGAAGTTTCAATTACGAAAGCGTTTAAAACACACTGCGTTCATTAGCAGTCTCCTCTTCAAACACAGCGTTGATATTGCGAGCCGAGTCGGAACTTGTATTAAAAAATGACTCGGATTTTCGAAGTATCCATCTTTCACGTTTAAGCTAAATAAAAAAAATAAAAAACAATTGAAAGTCGAAAATTGAAAGTTGCACATTTTTTAAAAGAAGAACCTCATGTGAAAAAAGTTTCAGACGAAAATCTCACACCATGAAGATTTTTTAACGGCAATGTCATACTTTAACCCCTATTATTACATATAACTATATACATTACATATAATTACTTTAATATCGTGATGGAATCCTGCAACAATCACATGGTTGTAAAAATTCAATTTTACCAAAATCTTTGCCCAATATTTTCACCAACTGAATAATAGAAATCACGAAACGAAATAAAATATTCTCCAATGTACAATTTTAACCTGTTTTATGTTATTTAGTCAACCTTTTATCCAATATGTTGAACGAAATAGAAACACGAGATATTGCTATAGTTAAATTAGCCTATTAATATTTTTACCCAGCTACCTACGATTGTCATCGTTTTTGTGACAACCCTGGCACATTTTTAGTCGAGACAAACTTGTAGCTATTTAGTGGTCTCACAGAGGAGTTGACTCACTATTATTTATTACACATATGATAATACCTTCCTCCTGTCGACGCAACAGTAGAGAATCGTTTGTGACAGTTTGCTGTCTAGGTATAGTCACTACTAGTAGGGGAGGCCTAGAAGGGATTTCGGGAGTTACTCGAGCGTGTCAGATTAAGATAGGAAGAATAGCTTACACCCAGTTGAGTACCTCCACCATACATGAGCCCTACACAGGAGCGTCTAGGGCAACCCATCAGATTAGTTTTAAAAAAATCGATGGCCAGAAATACTCGAGCAAGTAAGATTAAGGTAAGTTGAGTCAATTACATACACATTAGTGTGTATTTAAAAAAAAGTTTTAGAGGTTCACAAAGTACAAAAAACATGAACTTGTTTTTTTTTTTATTTTGAAGCAATAATGCATGAAATCTTCTTGAAATGTTTACATAAGTTTTCGTGCCTTTATTTGTCCCATTTAAAACAAAAATAGCAAAATACTTCTAATTGTCAGATTTAAAATACCCTGCAAAATTATCGTCAGATTTTTGGCCAGTATGAGAGAAACATTAAGCTGAACTGTCTGTACCTATAAAATCTAACAGACTCGGGTATTTCGCAATGGCAAATTTTCGAATTTGTAGTTGGCATTTTCAGCAATTCGCTACGAGCTTGTCACTAAAATCGTCAGACCTTTCAATGGGAGCTTTTTCGGTGTCCAAATAACATATCCCCAAAATATCTGATGCGCCCGAATGTTTTTTCTTCGATTTCTTCCCCTTATATTTTTGAAAACCTGTAGAAGCTTTTTCCCACCACTGAAAGTGAATACATTGTATAACTTTTATTCATTTTATTAATTAATCTTTCAAATACAATTAGTCCCCCCGACGCTTGAGTAAAGCCACATTAAGCATCATTGGCTCCCCTGCTATAGGAATTTGGTAATATTTTTAAATTTTATAGCTCTAAGTCATATACAGGACAGCTTTGTAAAGTCTACTTTGTGTCGAGACGTTGACTTTCCAAGGTCTATACACTAGTATTAACACAATCAAAGCTTCAAAATTTTGTAACACTCTGAAATTTGTAACTATTATATTAGAGATATACATATATCAAAATATCATTACTAAAATTTATTCGTTGTGTCTATTAAGATGTGTGTAAATAAGATTTTAAAATGTACAAAAGTAATTTCATTGTTTGTAAACTAATATTTTGTTGTAATTAATGCTTAAATATACCATTAGACATGAAGTATTGTTTGTAACGTTTATTACTCACTCTGCTCACACTCCTGTAATTTAATATAAGGGGATGACTAAGCCATAATTGATTTTTCCTCGTCATGCAAACCATTCCCGTACACGTTTAACACATATAACACGTTCAATATAGTAGTGATAGTAAGCTCATTATGTACAATTGTGTTTACACGAATACTAATTATATTATTTGTTATAATTGATGCCATTGTAGTCCGACAGACTCCTTTCCAGCTAGTTTAATAGATAAATATTTTCAATCCAGGAGGAAAAGCAAAAAGATGTCGATAGTGGCACCCCAGAAAATGAAAAAGATGCTACAACAGAGAAAGAAACAAAACAACAAGAGGAGGATAAGGAAGCGGCTCCTTTAACAAATGGAGAAAGTGAACAAAAAGTGGAGAATGGAGAATCCACTCCCACACCAGAAGACGGCAAGAAACCTAAAAAGGAGAAGGTGTGTACTATAAAATACAAAAACATAATACTTAAATAATTTAACGTGTTAGGTATTGCATGAGTGTGATTGATTATTAATATTAACACGAGCATGTCATGGGCAGGTCAAGAAGAAATGGTCGCTCAGGTCAATCAGTTTTAGCAGAAAAGATAAGCCTAAACAAGAGAAAAAACCTAAAGATGAAGAACCCAAATTAAATGGCGAACCAGAGAAGGTACCTGAGGAGGTAAGTTTATGAAATCATCACAATATTATATCGTATCTATTGATGTGTGATATTAATTCCTACAGTCAGGTTTTAAAGAATACATAATAATATATATGTTGAATGATAAATATTAGAGATTTACCGATTAGTTGACGAATAGTCCTTAAAGCCGACCATCCGGCCATTTTTGTAGTCCTTACAAATAGTGATGTGCCGGATCGTTAACAAAGTATATCCGCGGATACGGATCCGAATACGGATATTTGGTGTCAAGATCCCCGGATACGGATACGGATACGGATCTTAAGTTTCTTACTCAATCGGAGCCCGTGACCTTGATAGTTGTCGCCACTTGACGCTTTGCCGTTGATATTTAAATATTTCATTATTTTAATAAGCTAATACAAAGATGTTTGATTGATCTCAATATAAAGATAGCTCTTTCAGTACCTACGACCTGCCTAGTTGAGTACAAACGTGCCAAATATTTGTTTTAAGAAATAAAAAGTAATCTGAACAGAATTCAATAGTTTTTCATAGCTACCTAATATCCATTATTAAGGGTTATTTTAAATTTACTGAAAACTTCTGAAGTGCATATTAGTAAAATTATTAACAACAACTTTTCTCCTGGACTAACACCGAAAACGAAAGAAAAAAAATTGTTTCTCCATACAAACTAACAACATTTGATTGGTTATTTGAATGGAGAACCATTATTTTTTTCATTTTGACGTTGGCCAGAAAAAAAGTTGCTGTTTATAGTATTACAAACACATACCTAAGAGTTTTACAGTGAATACAAAATCACCTATATAGAATTTCATCTATTTAATATGTATTGAAAGATCCGCCAAAAAAGATACGGATACGGTTACGGATCTCTCTTTTCCCTTGGATATCCGCGGATACGGATACGGATATCCGGCACATCACTATTACAAATAGCATTTCGTTACAAATTTAAAATATACCGTTTTTGGTTAACGGTACAAAGACATCGACGACATCATTGTTCAGGTTCAGTTCCCATTGTATAAGGGGTAGTTCAGTGACAAGTCGTCGGGAGACCATTGGTGTTACCAAGTTAGTTGAATACGAAAAGTGCAAAACTATTCCGACGATATTCCATCGAAAGTCTGTTGATACAATATTAAAATAGCAGATTGAGTCCATGGTTTTTTAATAGACTAAGTATCTAATATAAAAATTTCTTCATCAATGCCCAACTAACGCTCACTAACAGAACTTGCTGGACAACAAGTGGACACTTTTGTTGTAGTACCACCACTGAAATAGCAGTGCAGTTCACAACATCTCCGTTCATGAGCTGCCTTTGAGTTGTCATCTTCTATTTTTCCTGATGTAAGTTGTTGGTAGCATTCTCAAAAAATAGTGTGTCGTTGTTTCCATCTTGTCTTCATTATAGGCGCCGATACTGTGTAGATCAGTTTTACCACTGTCGGTTTAGTTTTTACTCATGCAATTTTTCAGATATTCTAAATCAAAGATTTTTTATTAGAATCTAAACAATAGCATTGGTGATTGGATCCTCTGTCTCAAAATAGTAGCCTATATCTTGAATCCAACAGTGGAGGTAGGGTGAAGATTTTGTTATGCTCCAGGTCGAACCTACTCTTTAAATAATTTTCCAACAGGACCACCACTGTCACTATTTCTTCGTTATTATTACTGTAAGTATCTAAATATTTCCATAAGGTTCTTTCAGATGAGGTATAATTTTAAACACATCAGAAAGAGTAACTTGAAATAGGTTCAAAAATTATAAAATTTTGGTAATCTCTTCAAACGGCTTTAGCTATTCAATGATTTTTCTAGAATTTACCACTTTTTTTACACCATTTTCTAAATATACCGATGTTTCAGACAGACAGTATAAAGGAACAGCCCGTTTTTTGTTTTAAAAGTCGAGAATTCCATCTGCTTGATCTACTACATACATCTTGGACAAGCTTTACTTCAAGGGTATCATTTTCCAATTGATAAAAAAAAACATACACGTAACATTTTGCAATAATTAGATTTATTAAAATAGCTTAATTATGAACTATTTGACTTTAAGGAATTATCAAAACTTTATTTTTTACACAAAAAATAAACAAGGCGATGCAAACAAATCATGATCATGTGCCGACACGCTCTCACATCAGTTGTAAACGAAGCGTCACAATACCCCCGAAGTTGTGATCGAGTTAGCCGATTGATCCGGCCTTTTTACAACCGATTAGTCGGCCAAAGTCATGTCATTGACCAAATGACAAAATTATTTAATGTTAGATAAATATGTGACTTTTAATTACTTTACGTACATATATTTGTATTAATATATCTTCTGCTGTAATTATTTTAGCCATGTTAAAGTCATTGCCCTCTGTTGTTGAATTTGGTGGACATGTGTGGACAAAACTGGTACGGGGCTTACGAGCCCGTGTCATTTGGCTTACGAGGCTGCTGATTTCAAATATCAACCCAACAATTTTTTTTTGTTTTTAAATAGTTATATTGATAAGGAGGTCATCCATTAGAAAATACAATACATAAGTACGCACCGGTTCCTTAAGCGATATAAAACTAAAACGCTACACTGCCTTTTGCACATAAAATAATGCACCATTGTATCAAAGATCATTAACGATATCCTTCTTTTCGATATCGTAACCGGTAGATCTTCATTAAACACTAATTTTAATGAATTCAATCATTAAAATCTGGTGGGTATCCTTTACGCAAAAAATAACAATTGTTTTTAATTACAATTGTAAAAAATAGGCTAGACGACCTTGGCGTTAGATATAATAGATAGAACCCTACGATTTCTATGACAAGTATTGCGACGTAGTGCATTGCACCCAAACCAGCGCACTGCGAGGAACAATGCGCATTATAATTCAAAGTGGTGCTATATCCGCGCTAACCAAACGTGAACCACCATTATTGTTGACGATATCGCCTTTAAAATTAAAACTTTAACTTACTGATAGTTCAAGGCATGACATTATCATAATTCATTGAAGTTGTTTAGTTTCGCGTATTCTAAATATAGTCTGGCTATTATCTGTATTTGATAGCTACTGACGCTTGGCTTAAATTTATGATTTGTAGACAACGCTGTGATCACAATCGCCTCGTATGCTTAACGAAACAACTTTTAATTAAACTAATGTGTTATTTACGGAAATAGGTTATGAAAACAATACGCTATGTGGTCGCGATCTAATCCTTTGTGACTCGCACTTCTTCGATGTGCGGGTCATTGGCATCCAACCTCCCACTACGAAAGTACCGTAAAAAAAGTACTCGTAAACTACATTGCGCATTTTGTAGTACCAAAGTGTAAATAGCTTTAATTCAGTACTAACTTATGTCTATCAGATGCACATCAACTGGTATTGCAAAGTATTATTTTATCTTAGGTTCTGTTAATGAAATGCCTTGCAAGTATGATCAATTTGCAGTGAGCGTGTGTAAGACAATTTTCACGTACTGTCTAGGGCAATCGTAACAGCCACGTTTAGATAGGTCCTCCGTCACCGCTTCGCCCCAACAAAGATTCCGTTTCGTGTCATCCTTCACCTTCATCTCCATCTCAATAGTGATTATCTAATGCAAAACAAACAAACCATTGATTTCTAACTCAGATCAATTTTTTCTAAAAGGTTTATTTGATCCACTTCAGATTTAACTTAGGTATTCATTTAAATCTTTCATGTAGTTGAGGTATTATATCTTGTAGCGTGTAAATTTGTTACGGTCCGTCGAATACTTGTACAGTTAATGCCATTCATAATTTAAAGCCAATTTTCTGATAATACGTCGAAACTTAACAGCTGAAACGTGGTTTTGATTTTTGTTGAAATCATTGGATAAAGAAGATGTTAAAATCTCAGGAGAAGCGAAAGCATAAAGATATCTGGTATTAGAAAACTAGTTTGTGAGTGCAAAATAAAACCAGCAATCTCGGTAGATTTGCGAAGCTACTCGTGGGCGGATAGGTCCAGAATCCAGACGGGTTGTGAGACTGATACGTAGGAAGTTGACAAACTGCTTTTCTTTCAACCTCGTTGCGTGCCGTAATAAGGATACCTGTAAACTCAACTAACAATAAACAAATATTTTAATCAAGCTCATTTTATAAAATTAAATTAACGTTATCTAAAAATGGATACGCTCTCGTAAATGTAGATTCTATGATATTATATCTTAGCTGCTTGCTAGCTTATAAAGCTGACGAGTTTGTTTAGTGCAAGGTGCTAATGTCATGAACTACTGCTTTGAATTGAAAAATTCTCTTATTGTTGGATAGCCCTTTTATCGAAGGAGGTTATAACACATATAACATCACACAAATAATATATGTATTACCACAGAAAACTTATCTTCTGTGGTAACATATTGTTGCTATTATTACACTGTAATACTATTATTATTATATAATTACAATAACAATAGAATATTGCTAGTATTTTTGAGCGTTTTAACTTAAGATGTCATTAAATATTTCAACCTTTTGTAGAACTTTATTTAGTTAAATTGAGATGGCGGATACGACACTTATGATACAAAAATATGTAGGAAAATATGTTCTGCTACCCAAGCGACTTGGGGTGGGGTATATTACATCCCTATATAGTCTAGTATATAGATATATAATATTAATAGCGATTTTCATGGTTGTGTTACATCCGTTAAATTGCGTTACGTGATGCTACACCACGAGAACAATACATCGTACTCTGGGTGCATGCATACGTGTAGGTAACAAAACTGACTACTGCTAAAGGAAACACTATGAACACAAAGCTCAGATTGCATGTTTATTGAATGACGTCGGTGGAGGTAGCAGCGACTTGTCCACGACTCGCCATCCGTTGTATTTTCATAATACAGCAGCTCAATAGTGCATTGACATAACAAGGTCTCAATTTCCTCTATTGACACACGATTGTGTGAAAAAATTAGTGATGATAATAGTACAGATATTGCTAATTATTTATTACATACATACTCCTACAAACATTAACATTATTTTACATCTAAAAAATTGAAAATATGTTAACGAAGTGATATAATTTTTAATGTGAAAAACAAGTAAAACCTTTGTACTTGTACTAGTTATAAATTATTATGTCAGTAGCTTTAAACCATTAACGATCGACCCTAAGACAGGACATTCAACCTCTGATAGCAACTACGTATCACAAATATGAGTTGTTATGTTACGGCATTACTGTGGATCTACATAATATGTAAGTAAACTTACTGTGCGCTCGATACTTACTATCTCTTAAGTTGGTATCCAAGCAAGTTGCAACCGTCCGACGGTCACGCGACGCCTAATACTCTTTTGAGATCTCTTAGTTATTTGACACCATATTGTTTGCGTAATAGTAAACACGATATCAGTGGTCTGCTTTGGTCCTTCTATGCTATTTGTTGCCTTAAGATATACACATACCGTATGCACATTATGTTATTCTTAAAAGGTTTTTGATTATCCAGCAGATTATAATCGATTCTTCTATATACCTAATCTAAAATGTAGACTATTTACTTGTTGAAATTGGATTTAATTTGTTTTGCCCATTTTTGTCATAATTAACCAAACTTCGACCAGCAACGTTTTAGAGCGGAAAATCATTACCATAGACATCCGTGGTATTGTGTTGAGTTTAGTGACTGATTTCTACTGTTGCATCGTTTTTATAGGCGGCAGTTGTTTTGTAAACTGCTTCAGAGGAAGAGCTTATTATATTACTGCCATTTGACAACAAATCATTAAAAAACTTGCTTGACTAAAATAATCAATTGTTTTTAAATATTTTTTCTACATTTAATATATTGATTTTACAGAACTGCATCATTTTGTCCAAAATTGATAAACGTCCTAAATGGATAAAATAAACTTTTGACTTTATGCTGTGTTCATCATCAATTTTTTTATTCGCAAGTTTTATTGTTTTCTGAATTTAAAGTTGTTTTTGGTACTTTTCATGATTACGAAGAGTATGACTTACTAAGGTCGTCCATACGTCAAAGTTGATCGCAATCCATTACAAATTACAATACAGATGACAAATAGAGCTCAGAATGGTCAAAAACCTAAATAATAGTTTTTTTTAATTTTGATACCATCTTTGTCTATATAATAGGCATTGTTACATAACAGTTGAATTATGCTTATATAGCTACTATTTTTTAATCTTTTTTTACACGAAAAAAGATGTGGAATTCAAATATGAAAGTTTTAATTTGAACATAAAATGAAATAAGTAAATCTTCAAGAAACGAAGTGTGCTTTATTAAAATATTTTCACAGGACCAACTTAACCACTCTTAATCAACTGAGCCTATCCGGAGTAATATTGAAATACTTCAGTAATTAATATACTTTAATTGATATACTTCAGTAGAAAACATCAATGGTATCGCTGTTTTAAAAAATATTAAAAAAATGTGAAATGCTTGTTGAAAAATTTGTAACCTCACAAGGACGTATTTTTACTGAAAATTATCTGTAATTATTTATAATCATAATAATTCTAATCATTTAATTCGATCCTGTTTGAATATAACCCGTTAGCTTCCCGGGCCCTCGGCGCCGCTGTAGGCTCTATTGTTTCGTCACTTAACGGACTACGATCGTGGTTTCGTAATTTTGTATTAAAATTGGGCTAATAGTTATCTAAATAATTAATTTAACAATACATCAAATAAAAATATAAGTTTTCGTAAGGTGTATCATATATAAATAAACATTTTTAAGTAGACATTGTAAAACGAACACAGCGTCTGTGGTCTCGGGTCATTGCACCTTGTTTCTAACAATCGCTTTACAATTAAATCATAATAACAAACGGCGTGTAGGTATTATACATATACGTATTAATATAGATAGTATGTCTGCTAGTTTACATCCATTACGAGCTATGTTTAAGGGACCGGGCCTGCCTTTTATATGTACTTGTAAATTTGTATGCAAACAAATTGAAAGAAAAAATCTTAGTTGACTACTACAATAAAATAAACACTACTTACTCCAGTATTAATCGTCCAGTATTAATAAAAATGTACAAAATTGACGCTAATTTCTAGTTAACACAACATCAGAATTTTGATACCGTTTATTTAAAACAAGTTTCTAAAAGAGCGAAAATACTGAGCTGGCATGATAATGTTAGATAAGGTAAACAACGTTGATAATTGTTGCAAAAAATGTTTAACATACCTAAAATAACACTAAATGTATAATTATATATGTAAATGGATACACTCCATTATTGCACACATGTTACATAACAATACGATATTCTAAACGTGCAGAGTTCGCAATATGAAACAGCGTAAATAGTAAATAAACTCAATATAAAAAACATAATCAGTTTTAGGAGGTAACTTTCAGCGCCATTGTCTACAATACGAGGCAGCCGAATGGCTAATGAATATGTATCAATCTGCTCAAGTGCTACATTCGGGTGCACATATGTCTTTCTACATCAGTAAACAAAGACGGCCTTGCCTACTAGTATCGTTTTATTGTTTGCCACAAAGCTGCGGTTAAATATTTCTATCATATGAAATAATACATCATGACTAGTTATGGCCAGTCTGCGCTCGCGTGATATTCTTAACTTTGAAAATGACCAACTTCCATAGCCATTCACCCTTAAGAGTCAAATTTTTTAAAATCCCTTAAATCATTACCAAAATTGTAGTTAACATTCTGGGCCAAACTAGATGGTTAAAAACAACAAAATGAAATAAAAAAAAAATTTATTCTTTGCATATATTAAAAAAAAAATTGGCAGTTAAGTTGTACATGTGTTAAAAACATTATGTCAGATATGTAGCAGGTTATAACAGTCTAGAATAGTATTAGAATTCATAGAAAATAACTTGATGAATGACCGGTAGTCTTAAGAATTAGCGTATAACCCGGCAGTGCCCAGTAAGAAACATATTAATTCATAACGTTTGTAAAATATAATTCAACCAACGTGTCAAACCTAGTATCGCGTTCTATACTTATAATAATTCATAAGGAGTAGATCATGAAATAAACATAACTTGATTTTGTTGAAATAATTCAAGAAATTTGAAAGGTTTTGAAAAAATTATAAGTTTCATTTGCATTTGCAAGCTGAGACTAATTTCTTAAGCTTTCTAACTTCATTGCTCTTGCATTGTGTTAGGCATGATACCTATCATATTTTCGGCCTAATTAGCTTAAGTTTTTTTCACAACTAAAGGATTTCTAGCTGAAAATCACAAAATATTACAATGTGTATTACTTTTAAGGTAGCAATAACACTCCGGAAACAGTAGGTACACAACTATTATATTATTTAATTTTGGCAGTCATACAATGTGACAACCCTAGTCTTAATGTAACTTAATATAGCCATATGAGCATTGAAGGGTAACGTATATAAAAATGAGAATCTACCTGTCGTTACAAAAATATATATTATTTTGCGCATTTAGTCCCCCTTCAGATTCAGACTTCTTAGACCACTATCGCAGTTGCTAATCGCCATGGCCGATGATAAGGTATTATTAAAACCGGAACAATATAATAGTTAGAAACCTATTATGCTATCAAAGCTAAGTAAGAAGTTGAATCGAAGTTTCAAAATATTGTTTCTTTTATAGACGGCCGATGTCGCTTCTGAAGTGCCTGTCGTTCCTGAAACAGCTGAAGAAGTAAAGACAGCAACCGACATTAAAGAAGATAAAACGCCAGAAACTCCAGTGACCGAACCAATCACTAACGGAAGTTCTACCCCAGAGTCGCCTAAAGCTGAGACACCCGTCGTCGAAGAAGCTGCCGCTCCGAGTCCTGTCATTGAAAGGCCACAATCTAAAACGGAAGTAGAACCTGAGCAGTTACCAGTAAATGGGCTTTCCATAGCAGAGCCTACTGAGAAAACAACTGAAATTGTGAAAAATGAGGACATCAAAGAAGCATCCACCGCTGAAACAACAGAACCTGTACCTGAAATTTCCGTCAAGAAAGAGGTTTGTGTTGAACAAATGCCTTTGATAGATTCCACGCCTCCACCACTCCCTGCGAATCCTCCTCCTTCTTCTGTGGCATCCTTTGCCGCTACCACTATGGCACCAGAACTGTCAGATGCTTCGCTAGCTAACACTGCTGATAACGCAACTCTGCCACCAGCATTACCACCCTCTGACCCAGTTGTAAAAGACAAAGTTTATGAAATTGACTCCAAACCTAAAGACAGTGCAACAGTTGCCCAATCTGACAGTAATGAGCTTTCCCCTCCCGTAGAAAAAGTAAGTGAGGTAACTTCACATCCTGTTACTGAAAATGGAATAGAAAATAATACTAAAGAAACCATTATTCTCACTACTGTTCCTGTAGAATGTAACAAGCTTACAGTAGACAATGTTAAATCTGAAAATGAATTAATTGAAAAACTTCTTGTTGAAAAGGCGAAAGTATCCCCGGATCCGGAGATGCTTTCTTATCCACCAAAAATAAATGAGGTCGAAATTTCTTCTTGTAATGTAATTAAAGAACTATTAAATGACACCGAGGAGATGTCTACAAAGTTACTGCCAGAATTACCAGCACCTGCACTAGAATTAATTGAAAAATCTGAGATACAAAAAGAACACATCTCCCCAGAAAAGCTGTGTCAACATTCCGAGATGGATGTTACTTCTCCATCTGAATTCACTAAAGTCACAGAAATCGATAAGGAGATGGATCAGGTTACTGTTACTCTAGTAGAAACAGTGATTGAGGAAAAACTCGAGAATTCCGAATCAGAAATGCCTTCTCCTCCATCGGAAGATTTTGTAGTCTCTGATGACACTGATGAAAAAAATACTGATGAAGACTTACCGGATCCTCCGCCACCACTAAACGAGGATGATTTTCTTTTGGTAAAAAGTAGTGTGTCAGCGAAAAGTGAAACCACTCTAGACAAAACTGAAATTGTAGTCAATTCTGATAACATACCTGATAGCGAGGAAACGTACAGCAAACGAGAACACATAAAAGCCAATGAAATTTCAATAACGAAGTCAACAGACTCTGCGACTGAAAATTTGTGTGAGGTAGTCGAATGCAACGGCAACAGTGAGTTCGAGCCTGCTGAAGCGGTGTCCCAAATTTCCGCCAAGGAATCCTCTGAAGCAAAACCAGACATAACAAACTTAAAGTCTGACATAACCGTGACAAGCCCCGGCGAATGGACGGCCGTGGGCGACGCGGACGAGTCGCTGCCGACGCCGCCGCGTGAGCTGTGCGCGCCCGCCCCCCCTCAGGTGAATACGTCCGGAACATCTTGCTCTTGTAGTGGAATTAGTACTGTAATTTCCGAAGCGTTTGATATACCCCGTTAACAGTTCTCGTATTTAGATTCATGTGCATTTCTTTACCAGCATGTGTGGACCGTCAATAACCAGAAGAGTCATAAGTGTGATAGATACATACAGTAAAACACAAGAAGGCAGCCGGTTGGTGGCTGAGTTCCTATCCTTTCCATTCCTTGACTTGAAAAACTATAGATAAAATATGAATACTAGCATGATGATTTATAGCTTTACAGCTTTGGTGCTAACACTGTTTTGTTCTGTACACTACATAGTTAATGTTTTATAATTTTTCATATCATATCATAATTTTTCATCAAGTTTTCTTCATAAATGTATAAAAAAAACTACATGTAAAATGAAAGTACATTCATTTTTATTTATTACAACAATCTTATTCTTTCATGTTTTGTAAAAAAAAAAAACTATTAAAACATGTAAAACTATGTTATTGTCTGTGCCTAAGTTGTAACACTATTAATGAGCCCAGAATGTATTAGTTAAATGTTTGTAACTTGCATGAATAAGGCACTAAAGAAACCTTCCTTATTTTCTTTCTAATTACAAATCCTAGGTTATTGAAAAAAATATAAACTAAGTATGTACGTAAATTCTAAAAATGTGATATCAATTGAAAACTCATAGCTGCTATGAATGTAGTTTACTGTATCATATGAATTAAACTTTAAATATTAGCATGATTTTGCATATTCAGGGACCGCGTGGTATAATAATTCCGAAATTAAAAGCAACGACTGATGCCTTAATGATTTGGAAGACAATATAATATTGATTTTCTATTATAGAATTAATTCTTAGAACCTATTATTTGAAATTTATAATTTTTTCTATCCATATATTTGACCAATCCTGTTCGTAAAAATATATAAATATAAGTATATATAATTTCTATAAGTTTTGTTAATTCTTAGACATAGACATTATTTTTTGGAAAAGACAACTCCCGCACTAGGAATATATTCCTGTGTCGCGGTGGACCCCACAAACATACATGAAACGGACACAAAGAATACCCAGACCCAGGACAACAACCTGTAGTTCACACAAAGTGATGCCTCATGTTGGGATCGACCCACATCACTTGCATCTTGCTCTTGCTCCATGCAGTCAAAATATATTAACTTTAGATTAACCATTATTGTTAGATTCTATACCCTAGATTGATTCTATACCCTTTTATCATTCATTTTTAAGATACGTCTAACTACATTAAACGCTTATTAAATAAATCAAACTAACATTTCACATTCACAAATTGAATAATTCGGACTCACTAGAAGGCAACAGGCCCTGGTTTATTTAAATGATTGAAGAAGTAAGAATTAGAATGCAGTTGAGAAAGGCGGGAAATAAATTGCTTTTGATTTTACAAATGATTTATTTTTATCTGTAATTTTATTCTAGCTTTCAAACTTTTAGTTTGTTTCTAGTTATTAGTTCGGGATTTACTGCGGTCCAGTCCGCCTGTGGCCACAGTAAATTTTACTCAAAAAGATTATTTTATTTTATACTTCCATTTTACACATACATTTCTGTTCCATTTATCTTCTATAAAACATATTTCAAGGCCGCAAAAATAATATATATCACAACAATGATTTATCACATTGACATGAATTTTTCAGGAGCTTCCCCCTGTAAGCGACAAATTAGCGGACTTGATATCTGAAGTTCCAGAAGTGCCAGAATTAAAAACAGAACCGGTATGTTTGACAATATTGTATAAACGTATATCTCTGTAATAGAGTCATTTAACATAAGAAGAGTCTAAAAAGATGCTGAATTTCTTTGCAGGAGACGACTAGTGGCGATGCAGCAGTGGCCAACTAAACACTACACACCACATTAGCGCGACCCATCGTCCACGACACAGACTGTGTCTAAAATGAGCCGTTAATTTATTTGGATTTAGCACTGTGTGGTGTATTGTCGAACTAAGTTCGATCAATAATTTGCATTATCAAAAATGCTGTTTTCAGTTTGTAATGTGACGTTCATATAGAATGATTATACTATAAGTTTAGCGTGCTTTGCTTCTATAAAATTAAGATTTTATACAATTTATTAGCTAGAGTCGAGTTTTTTATAATTATATTACATTAACAAAGTTATATAGACAGTATACGGTGCGATAAGTTGGTGCCATTATTACAGGGGTATTAGTTTGACGTTGTCACGTGTCGCTCGCTCCTAAATTTACTCTCCAAGTCGCTATTATATTTCAATAATATTATTAAATTGTAACAATACTTTGAACACTGTAAAAGGAAACTGTAAATTCTTCCCAAACTAAGCATTCAATAGGACTTTTTCATTATACTGTATTATATATTATTCAGGTTTTTTTTATTCATTTCTAACTTAATATATTTATCTGTGGTTAGATGTTTCAAGATTTTGAAAAATTCGTTTCCAGAAATGACGTCTCAAAGTGGTTAGTGGTTAAAACATTCTTGCTAATGAACTATACTTCACTTTTTACATCTAAAAATCTCTTAAAGTAAGTGATCTATGGATAAATTCCTTAAAAATATACTTTTAAAATGGGGAAATACGCATATTTCTATTCGAAATTAAATATTGCAGTTTTATATTTTGTGTAACTTTCGACATCAGCGATGGTAGTATCGTCGCCTGTAATAAATATAATTTAAATCAGTTTATTATGTATATATGAATACAGGTCTCATTTTATCGCATACCTGCCTAATCTGTGAATTGTCAAATTGAAATTTAAAATTACTTTGTATATTGTTAAGTATGAGGGAATATTGATTTCTTGATTATCTCATTAGTACCTATATTCTATATAATATCCCACTATGTTTTACTCGTAGTTTTTATATTAAGTTGTAAAAAATTAGTATGTCAGCAGCTCTCTGTAATGCAAACTCATGAAAATGGAAATAGTCTTGGAAAGTTGCTCCCTGTGTCAAGTGAGATATGTAGTAAGGTTGAACGTTTAGACATTTTTTCTGGTGTGTGGTTGTTGAATCTAAATTAATGGATGAGGATGAAATTGATTATATATTTGAATTAGATATTCAGTGGCCAAGTTTGTGATTATACTATACAATTTATAAACTTATACAGACATTTTACCTTTTAGAATGTAGTAATGTGTAACAAGTTAGTGAAGGTAGCATGGTTATTATCTGCTGCCATTAGGGTATTATTTTCCACCTCATTCATATGATACAATTAGATGAATTTAAGGTTTGATATTACTATACAATGAATGTTACGGTAATTTTCAACAATAACATTCATGCCCAGCACCCATATGATTTCCAAATCATTTTTGTAATTTTATACAATTTTTATAAAATTAATTGTGACACAGCATGATTGGGGAAAATATTCCAATATATAAACAGTAAATGTGAGTGAGACATTCCATATCAAGTTCAAACTACCGTCTAAAACCATGCCATATACATACCCACTAATCATATGATAGGTGATATACGATCTCATGTGTTGATCGTCAAGTGCATACTAAAAGTTCAGCAGAGCAGCAATAGCAACATTTATAACTATTTAGAACCCTAATTTGTTAATATTGTGTGTGTTGAAACCATGTCTATTCAGAACTGAAACTGTATTGTAAAAGGGTTACCATTTGATTTTTCTTTACATTTAAATTTTGTGACACATCAACATTTGTATTGTTTAACATTACTCTCAATAAGTCGATAAGTCTAATTGTAATAAAAATGGTAACCTGAAATTGACTGAGTTTTATAAAACTTTTAACTGCGAACTTTTTGCTCATTATTCAATGTGGAATTTGTATGATAATTATAATAGGTAATTATGTTATTCCAATTATTAAAACTTAATGTTGATGTGTGAATGTCTCTAATCAATAAATTTTAAAAATATGATACGGATTTTCAATGTAAAGGTTTATATTTTATAATTATATATTTATTTTACCCTTTCACCTTCCAGGCGTAAATGCCTCGAAGTCTCTTTCACGTAAATACAACATTTATCTCGGAAATTGTGTCGCTGACCATCACTTTTTATTAAATCACTTTCCAAGTCAGTTTGGAACTTAAGTTACTAGCCGAATATCATTGACACTTACATGTGAGAACTTACATGCTGAACCCATTTTGATAAAATCTACCGTTTCTCAAGTTGCCTCCAGGCCTTTGCCCTTGCTTTAGGAACTTGCATTTTGTAAAATTTCTTCCAGCCTTGCACAGGGATAGTTTGCTGGCCCATGGTGCAAAGGCGAAAGCCGATCTTCTGGGAGTGTCACTGACCGTGACAGGGCCACCATCATGCATTTTAATTTTGATAACAAAAATTTTGTCGCCAAATATCAGAATTTGTCGGTCACTGGTTCAAAAGTTATAAGCGGTTATCTCCGAAGCTTAGCCACGTTTATATCTCAAAAACTAGAGCACCTAACGAAAATCTGTTTTCATCGAAGTCGTTTTTAGTCGCTAATTAGTCGAAATCTGTGACTTCGCGACGAATTCCGACTATAAAAATAAATTTGGGAGAAAACAGATTTTCGCTAGTTGCCCTAGTTTTTGAGATACGTGCATGGCCAAGCTGGGGAGACTGACCCCAGCAGGGCCACGTATAAACACTTATAACTTTTGAATCAGTGACCGACAAATTCTGATATTAGCGACTAAATTTTTGCCCTTTCTGGGGCTTGGCGAGCCGGGAGGGTTCTGAACCTCTCCCGGTCTCGCTCCGCCATCTCCTTCGCAAGCATAACCTGCTCGCAGAAGGAGACGGCGGAGTTTCGCACTCTCGCTCTCTCTTGCGTTTTCTTTGTCCTCCTCTTCTTCTTTTGGCCTTTGGCCTCCGCCGTCTCCGCGCTTGGGGCCGTGGTTGGAGGAGACAAGATGTCTCCTAAGCGCTGTCCCCATAGCATCATCGTCCGGACCTCGGCCAATACGCGGTCTATCAGGGCCGCGTATTGGTCCCGGTTCGGTTCAGACTGGATCGCCGGTCCCCTACTACTTTTCGTAGACACGGTTCTGCCGCTGCCGGTGCCCCCGCCGGATGCCGCACGAATTTTTGGGTGTGGCATAGGGCCCCTGTGACAGAGCTTTTCCACCTCCTCTTGTAAAGAGGCCATCTGGGAGCGGAGCGCATCGCGTTCGGCGATTTCATTCTAAACCAATCGTAGCGCCTAACGCGGTCACCGTGACGATCGAGTAGAAGTGAAATAAACTCGCACTTGGCCCTCTGGTGACCCGCTTCCTCGTTTACCCCTACATCAAATAAAGAAGTATAAGTAGTAGAAAATAGAATCCGATTACTGATTTCCTTAAAAATATGTACCTACCTACAGACACTCATCCAAATTTTGTATATTTAAGGCCCTTAAGGATTTCCATATGCATATTCTATAATTCTGATTAAATTAATGGCACCCATAATAATTGATGTTGATATTAATTGCGGCATAAATGCGTCAGATATTTGGCGTTGCGACGCGCCGCCATGCATATGGGTTATATATTATTATGTAACATGCTATATGGCGACGCAGCGCCATGCGCAAGTGATTCTGCGACTCTCTCAAGCTGATTATTTATCAAAGTGATTTAATACTCATTATTTCTACGAAATAATTTCGATGTTTTAAATCTGTCATACCTACTTTTTTGTTTTGAAATCTGCTAAATGTAATCAAAATTATAGTACTTTGGTAAATCTAAAAATTACGCTCTAATAGCGAACCGAAATAAATTTACTTCGTTATTCTAGATAACTACTTTCAACGTTTTACTAACGGCCTTAATAACTTTATTATTATTGTTTATTAGTTGAAAGAGAAATACATAATTATACATAATTTATTCTATTACATTAGAATGGAATGGAGATTTTTTACAGCCTAAACCTAAGAATCAAATTAAAAAAAATAGCTTATCCTAAAAAATAACTAGTGAAAGATTCTCTTTAATAAAATAATATCATAAATTTATATTCTTGTTAAAATATTATCAAATAAGATATTTTAGTACCGTCATAATTAACCGATAATAACTGTTGAATAGGCTATTATTCACTAAGAGTGCGTATGACAACTACCTCTTACCTCGATAGATGGCGTGCTATCATTTTTTTGGGTCGCGATATGGTTTCGTTACATCATCGTGAAAGCTCTGGTTTTCTTTCATAATGCATAAATCTATGGTCTTAATAAAGATTTCCATGGAGGGGAAGACGTCATAGTTTCGTAAACATTTGGAACGTCACTTCACTATATTACCTCAAATTTATATTATCCGCACAGAAAAAGGTTGTAGGTGGTTTAATCTTCACTAACAGTTAAATCATTCAACATAGCTCTAATAAAATAAACGAGTTTATTTACCTAATCAAACTTGAAATTAAGGAATGAGCCACAGTTATTGATGATTATTTGATTTATGCTTCTGTAGGTAAAAGTTTTACTTTTAATAATAAACTTTCTTTAAGTAATAAATGTATTTACAGTATTAAAAATTTGTAGGCTAGTTGCAATGAGTTCAGACTTACACAAAAATCATGACTATCAGGACTATGCATAAAATACATTAAACAAAATAAACTCAACTTATATTTTCTAAAACATTTATCATCTTCAGTAACATATCTTTATTAATATCATATGTAATTCTATTCTGACCAGTTTTATTAATTGTGGTCACTAGTAATTGTAGTAATGGATACCTCAATGTTTTCAACTCACTTGTTCCAAAAATAAACTTGACAAGCCAATTAAAATTGGTTACAGTTTCACCATAATTACTGCTATAATGATTAAGTGCTGCGTTAATGAGATCGGACCAATATTTTTCAATTAAAGCAGTAAAGTAGAGTACCCTCTTTTGATCCCACCCTTTGTTGTTAAAAAGCTTGATTACATTCTGAATGTCAAAATCACAGTGGGATATAATTGTTTGAAGCTCTTGTTTAGCTTTTTCATAGACATTTTGTCCTAATTGTGTGTTGCTTTCATTTCTTGTGTAGTATAAGCTTGATAATACTTCTTGTGATTCCTGAAATGAAAACAAATTAAAGATATTAAATGAAATATAAGTGTCTCATAATAATATACAAGGTACTTAAAAAAGCTTTTTAGTAAACTCATAGTATAGGCTAACAACACAAATTAAATCTGTTTTTCATTTACTCTATAGTTAAGTTATTCATAAGAATTACTAGCAAAACACATGAGTGTATTAATTATACACTTACATAGTATTGTAATAGACTCTATTTTACAGCATTGATGATAATATTAAGTAGTTGAACGGACTAGCTGTTTTTTACTTATTTTACTAATCCATATTAATATTATAAATTCTAATGTGTGTCTGTCCTTCTGTTTCCTCTTCACGCTTATACCACTGAACCGATTTAGATAATACTTGGTATACCAAATATTATCTAAATCGGTTAGATAGTTTGAGTCCTGGGAAAGGACATATAATAGATTCCATCCCAGAAATAACCCTTAAAAAGGATGAATAGAAGGGGTGACAGTTTGTATGAGAATAAATAACTGTTTAACCAATTTAGAAGCAATTTGGTATGGAGACAGTTTTAGTTGTGGAGAAGGATATAGACTAGTTCTTATCCACGAAATCCCTTAAGGTTGTTAATAGGGTAAAGGAAATTTCTAAAGAGAATCAATAAAAAAGGACTATTGGAGTTGTATCATTTAACTTTTTATTAAAAATAAAGAATGTTTATGCCTTTTTGACTAATTGGTCATCACTTTAGTGGGTTAATAAAGGGGTACAAGTTTGTATAGGGAATCTTAAAAATCAAAAATTTATTTAGTAAAGAATGTAACTCAATATTATTTTACTTTTCCTAAGATTTAAAGAATGTTACTGCCGTTTTATAGGTTAGACCTTTAGTAAAGCCCCTGTTACAAGTAGTTAGAGACGGTTTGTAGAAGAATAATTATGTAATATCTATTTTTACTGGTTACTACTACATACATGTGGCATTTTACTTATATTTTTTGCCTTATACATGCCATATTCTTACATCAAAGTCATTATGAAATGACAGCTATTCCAAATTAATCGTGATCTCATAATAAGTAATAAGTGTACCTACACAGAGCAGAGACATATCTAAGGCCCAGTACATTTTAGGTACATAAAATGCTATACATTGGTGGATGAAATGCAGGAACTATAATAGGACGCCTAGCCCTGAACCAACAACTATTCAGCATAAATGCTCTTAATGCCATACGCTTTCACGCAAAAACGGCTGAACGGATCTGAAGGAAATTTGGCACAGCTATTGATAATAGTGTGGAATAGGCTATTTTTTTTATACCGAAAAAATCTAGTGTTTCCGTTGGATGTACAACAACAACCGCGGGTATCACCAAGGGGCAGCTAGTATTAATATAATTAAGTGATTTTACTATTAAAATTTTTAACTATGAATTTTACTCACTTTTTGAAAAATTTCAGTAGTTTCCAATTGAAAAATAATATCCATCTGGATGTATACTTGGCCGTTTAAAAAATATTATGTTGCTTTCCAGCCTTTCACAGTAGTAAATATGATAATAAACTTCGAGCTGTAGGTTTTGTCACAGATGAAATCTATCATAGATTTGAAAACCTGTTAAAGTCGTCACAAAATAAGAAGCCCGTTTTGACGTTTCTCATTTGACATGCCGCGATAACTTTGTATGAACGTCTATGTAAGAAATTGAAAAAAAAAAAACATAATACTATTTAATTACTACGTTACCCATACACTATCACAACGCGTATCATAAATAAGCATCAAGTTTATAACTTTATATTGAAAAAATGCACAAAACACGAATTAATCGTCGATTAATATTCCGACAGGACTTTACTACAATGTCATGTCTTTGGGTTGGTTGCCGTAGTGTTGTAACCGTTAAAAAGCCGTTTTATGGCCGAATAAAATAGAGTTTCTGAAAATCGTTTACAAAAATTACATTAAAAAAAGAGATAGATGTGTAATTAGTGTATTATTCAATATTTAAACATATAAAAACAAAATCTGATCACATATAGTTTTAGCTTTATTTTGATATTTAATATGAATATTTTGATATTATAGTAAATGATTTGGTTAAAAAACCCGGAGTGGACTCCGGGTTTTTAACCAAATCATTTCATCATGATATTGATGAAAAATAATTCATCCCTCATTTTTCTGTCTCAAACGTCATGTCTCATTTTGCACAGTCACATTTGACAACAGTCCTTAAAAGTCAGTCTATAAAAGAATGATCAAAGCCGTACCTATAGAATGGTTTGTCTATGACCAAGCGGCACGTGATCCATGCGCGTACCGCGTACTGCGCAGTCTTTCGTTCGACATCTTGTGAAGTTGACTGTGCGCTCGTTTATGTTTGATATTTTTTCTAGACTCGGCTTTGCTTTTGGACTGTTTTTGTTTACTATCACGTTGACCTTGGCTCTTCTATTCCGGACATTAATTAGACATAGCGATTTGGACTCGATTTTGGTGTTTGTTGTTATATTGTACAAACTCTGTTTCAATATGTCGAAAAGAGGACGTACAATCAACAGCCAATCACGCGAATTGGTTGTGAAGTTAACCGAATACTTCGAACGCGAATCAGTTAATGGTGGACCATTGTTACCCGTAACTCAAGTGCAAGATCGCGTAGCAGAAGCACTTGGAATCCGCAAAAAAACTATTGGAACCATTTTGAAGGAAAAGTTGGGTCTTCCGGTACTGAAAAAAATGTGTTACATACGCCTAAGAAGAGGAAGAAAAGCAAGCCTGTAACAGGTATTGACACATCTGACGCAGATGCTATTCGAAACCACGTATGTGCATATTACACGAGAAGTGAGTACCCAACTGTAAGTAAGTTGGTGGTATCACCAAGAGAGGCTGGCCTGTTTAGTGGCAGTGCAACATCTTTAATAACAATTATGAAGCAAATTGGTTTCAAATACAAGAAAACCGACAAGAGGAAAATTATGATGGAACGATATGATATAATTTTGCACAGAGTATCATTCTTGAGGCAAATGAACAAAATTACAAATTGGGATAATGTCATATTTATCGATGAAACTTGGCTGAACTCGAATCATACCGTGCCACAGTCATGGACGGATGATACCAAGGCATCTTGTTCAAAAGTGCCAATGGGTAAGGGTGGACGCCTAATAATCTGCCATGCCGGATCAGCCGGGGGAGGTTTTGTGCATGATGCTCAACTCGCATTCGAGTCCAGAAGTACAAAACAATACCACGAAGAAATGGATGCAAATAAATTCTTAAAGTGGTTTACTAAGTTGTTAATAAACCGCCCCGAACAGTGCACAATAATTATAGATAATGCACCTTACCATTCAGTTCAAATAGATAAGGCACCTACTCAAGCAAGCAAAAAGGCAGATTTAGCGGCGTGGTTACAAAGAAAAGGCGTAGAAGCTGACATGAATTTATTGAAAGCTGAACTGCTGGAATTAGTAAAACAAAATAAACCTGCAAAATTAAAAAATTAAGATATAAAATCGATGAATTGGCACTTCAACATGGTCACAAATTGATAAGAACGGCGCCGTACCATTGTCAGTAAAATGCTATTAAATTAATCTGGGCTCAGGTCAAAGGATATGCAGCACGTCATAATACAAAGCCACCATTCTCCACTAAGAATATGATGACATTGTTAAAAGAAGCTTGTGATAAAATAACGTAAGAAGATTGGGCAAAAGTGGTAGAAAAGACGCGAAAAATAATAAAGGAAGATTATTATAGAGACGTCAATATTGATAATATTATAGAAAATGAAATAATTATATACAAAGGCGACGATAGCTCATCTGGCTCGTCATCAGAAGAAAATGATTGATTTCACTTTTCTTGATTTTGTTGTGATTGAGCTAAATTTTTAAATTAAAGACAAATTGACATTTCTTTCCATTGTATCATTTGAAATTGCCTATAACATTAAAGTTTAAGTTATATGTTCTAATTATTACTTAAAGCCAATGCACTTTGTGATATATAGTCAAATCAATCAAATACTCTACAAGCTTGAATCGATTTATCGTAAGTATCGTGCACCGAGTCGTATGGTTAATCACTAGTTACGCCACCATGACAAATGTTAAAACGAGCTTCTTATTTTGTGACGACTGTAGTGTTTAGTTTATCTATGTAGGGATTACTAAAGTCTGTTATTTAATCTCGTAGACTAAACTGACATTACGAGTGTTGTCACGTCACACATCAACAGCCTTTACTGGTCCACTGCTGGACATAGGCCTCTCCTTAGAAAGGAGGTTTTGGCCTACTATACCACGCTGGCCAGACGGGTTGGTATAGGGTTTATTTCAAGTTTTCCTTCTCTCTGCAGTGCTGTTGTCCTGCGTAGGTTGCTTCCTTAGTCGCCTCTTACGCCACCCACGGGATGAATAGGGGTGGTGACACTCAGTATTCTTAATGCGTCACCACACGGGTGTTGTCAGTTTATTGTAATTCTTAAATAGTGATGTGGCACAACCGAAACTTAGCGTTAATAAAATCAAGTATCGTTTTTTTACAATAAGTTATCCTGAAATAATGTGTAGGTACTTATTTAAAACGTAATAATACAAAATTAATAATGTAAAACATATTTTTTAAATTACATAACTTAATTGCAGGTATTCGCGTTAATCTGATTCAGATAATGACTCCATGTCTGAGGAATATTCTGAATCATCAGAATCGCCACCTACTTCTATGATAAACCTATCAGTAATGTCGTCGGTTATATGGGCCAGATGACACATTTGATCTTCAATTTTAATTACATGGACTACACAGTCTTTCCAACGGTGCGGGGTCACTTTTTTTTTTTTTTTTTTTTTCATTTATTGACACAAAAAAATACATTACGATGTTAGCTGTAAAACGTCACAAAACCTTAACAGGTTTGTCTGGACGTTGAATCACCCTTGAGCAATCTGTTAACATCATTTCACTTAGAAATAACTTAAAACTAAAAACAATGTTTATAACATGGAACCGACAATAGGCTAATACTCCTTATCGCTAAGAAACCGGTTCTCGAGCCGGCCGCTGCGATCTGTGTTGTGCTATGTGGTGTAGTTACGAGTATGTAGAAGGAGTGTTGCACAATGAACAGGATGTTGCACTTTGTTCGATTCATCTACTATCACGGTTTGGCCTGTTATGTTATTACAGCATAGAAATGAAGTATTTTTTATATTTATAGTTCTTATCCGTTAACTTGACGAAGCCCTTCTGCAAAAAGGCTTCGTACTTCATTCATTTTGAATGTTTTATTATTTTTAGCGACATGCCCCTTTACTTGAGCGCAGACCAACTCAATCGGGTTTAGCTCGCAGTGGAAAAGGGGCAGTCGCAAAATAGTGACACCCCCTTCAGCATCCATCTCGTCGACGACATACCTTTCATGGGCTTTCGGGAAATTTCATTTAATTCGGGCTTTATCATTGTCTCGTCATATGAAATATTTTTTGATTTTAGCCAATCTTGGATTTGCCCTTTTCGCCTACTAGAAGTAGGTAACGATTCCAACATTCGTTTTTTTTCGGCGTCTCGGTTGGAGATTCGGTTTTCTTTTCAGAATATACATATTTGTAAGCGTTCATGATCATTTCTTTTTCGGTTTGGCTAAATGATTTGAGCTTTCGTTTTTTTCTTGGCGATAGAGTTTCTTCATTACGCCTACGCGACGAAGTTAAAGGCTGAGCGTCCATCATAAATGATTCAGCGAAAACAAACGTAACGTAACAAACGTTTGGTAACGTAACAAAACCACCAAACTTAACAAAAAACAAACAAACAGAAACAAACTCAACGAAAATATAACAAATAGCACTTGAAATTGTATCAAGACACAACGGAAGCATTCGAACACTTCAGAGGTTGAAGGACGAATAAGGTAAACAAAATGGCGTCCAGTGTTGTTCCTGTGAAATTTAGGGTTGCTGTATTCAAAATCTAACATTTTTAAAACTCCCATATTATCATAATTATTTTAAAAATTGCATTTGTTCGTATGGTGTCAAGTTCCATAATTGCCGTATTTTTTAAGTTCTGTCGTTTCGTAAGAGAAAAGGGTTAGAGATTGCCGGTTTAACGCGTAAGGGAACAACACTGATGGCGTCTATGACTTTTTTTTGGTTTAATTTAAAGGCATCGAAACATGGTCGGATTACGCATGGCGTTGCGTGGTCAGATTTCCCTGGCAGTTTGTAGCACGTTGTGCAGCCGTGTGTACGTACGTGAATTTTAAATATAAAACTTTGAATGAAAATTAAATTCGTCTATTATAAATAAAAAGTTACGATTCAACAAACCGGTATCGTAGGCACAACACTGCACAAAAGAGCTGGCAACATTATTTGTAAATTTGACATTTGCATGTGTCAATTTAGTCTACGAGATTAAAAAACAGACTATAGGGATACGCAAAAAGTATCGATACCTCAGGTTAT